ACATGACATTGACAGTTCTATACGCTGTATAGTCTATCATCTTGTTCTTTTATGAGAAAATCCAATAAATTTACTTTTCCTTACTAGCTATAAGTAGCAATAGCCTTTGTATATCTTTCACAATCTTTGCATAGATAGAAGTACTTACTAAAATAAATAAAAAATCGGTCAAGTGCGAGTCAAATTCGCATACGAAGGGTTCCGTACCGTGTACTTTTTAATACTGATGACTTAAAACTGACGCAAACTAAATATCCTTTCCGAGAATCGAACGTGCAATACACTTAGTTAAACAAGCGACTTACTCTCGCTTTACCCGTCCAGCTGACAGCTGACCTTTACATTTATAATCCGTATTATAAATCTGAAAGTTTATGAGTATGGATGTTTGTTACTCTTTCACGCCAGAACGGCTGAACGGATCTAGATGAAATTTGGCACTGAGATATATCCTGAAATAACACATAGGCTACTTTTTTATTCCGGAAAAATGTACGGTTCCCGTGGGATAGGTTTGTTTTTGTTTACCTAGAGGCGAACCCGGGCGAAGCGAGGGTGAGTCGTAGTATTATATACAGGTAGCGCCACTGTTTGATAAATTTTGTTTCGAAGAGTAACCTATGTATATATTACTTCAGGTTATACAATTCATCCAAATCCGTCCAGCCGTTTTAGCGTTAAGAAGTAACAAACATACACACTAAATTTCGCATTTATAACAGTAGGTACTTTAATTTGAATCTATTTTGCAAATTTCTATGATTACAAAAATTTTACACTTAAAAATACCCTGTTTGCGAAGCTTTCAAATGAAAGCTGCGAAGGTACCGTTAATTAAAGCGCTTCTATTAAATCTTTGCCAGTGGTAATAGGTTTTTGAACGTCAATATTCAGGGTTGAAACTCATAAATATAATCGAATAATGTTTAGACTCGAAACATTAAATTCTTAATTTTTTTATTTCTAGCGAATTAGACTCGCTTATGAAATAGTATTATATTATACTTTTTATTTTAGAATAATATATGGAAGTCTGCCCGATTTGTTTTATGTTTGTATTCCTCCGCTCCCTTGGGTAGTAGCATGATGATATATAGCTTATAGCCTTCTTCAATAAACGATATATCTAATGCAAAAATAATTTTTCAAATCGGATTAGTAGTTCCTGAGATTAGCGCGATAAAATAAACAAACTCTGCCTCTTTATAATCTATACCTACTAATATTACCTATAAAGAGGTAAAGTTTGTGAGTTTGTGAGGTAGTAAGGGGTAATCTCTGGACCAATTTAGATGAAATCTGGTAAGAAGATAGTTTGAGACCCTAGGAAGGACATAGAATACTTTTTATCCCGGAAATCATACCTTAAGGGGTGAAAATAGGGATGAAAGTTTGTATGAGGAGTCAACCTAGGGACAAACCCGATTGAATCGAGGGTGAGTCGCTAGTATTAGTATAAAGAGCAGCACATGGTTATTCAAGGTTTCAGTTATTTCATACCAATCAGTTCAGCAATTTCCGCATGATGGAATAACAAACAAACATACTTTTACATTAAAATAGTAGTGGGATAGGTGTTCCCGCCTTTGTTAATGCTCAGCCCTTTCAATGCTCTACCCGCCAATAAATCTTTAAAAATTTATTCAGCCATACATAAAGACAAAAACATTTAACAGTTGTTGGTATGTTTTGGTATAAATGAAATGGCAGAATAAACCTAATTTGGAAACAACTAAAATGAAAAAAGTTTCTCATCAAATAACACGATTAGGGGCCGACGTCCGACAGTCTATCTATAAACATTTTTTATTCGTCGGACTTAATCGAATTTATTATTCAAGCATTTGTCAAAGTGTTTGATTCTATCAGTAAACAAATAATAGGTATGTCGTTTACATAAATGTTATTTTCTACGTTATTATTACTAAGAAGACGGTAAAAAATATTTTACAAAAAAAAGAAAACACGTTGTTGGAACACGGTATTATGCAGTCGGAGTCATACATAATACGTCGCAAGATTCCAGACTATAAAACATGTACGAGAGAATATAGGATCGGACATACACACATAGATACAGGTCAATACATAACCCTCTTTGGACTTCGCCGTAGTCGGGTAATTACTCGTTACTCGTATAATAAAATTGAATATTTGCACTAAAATCTATACTAATATTATAAAGAGGAAAATTTGTAAGTTTGTTAGTTTGTGAGTTTGTGACGTTGCAGGGGTAATCTCTGGATTTACTGAACATATTTAGATGAAATTTGGTAAGAAGATAGTTTGAAACCCTGGGTCCTTCCCATAGGGTTATTTTTATCTCGAAAATCAGCCCTTAAGGGTGTGAAAATGGGGATAAAAGCCTGTATGGGGGACGAAAACGAGGGTGTGTCGCTAGTTACATATAATTTTACAATTTTAAGTTTCCTTAACATATCTAAGACATCAGTCAAATTAAAAATTTGGTGCAGATGACCCTAAATTTGTTAAAAACTTAGGATTATCACGATCAAGGAATAAATAATCACACGTTTTAAATTTATTATATTAGTTGAATCATTGGCAATAATACATTAATAATGTAGCCAAGTTACATATATCGCATCTAAGAATAAGATTGCAAAATTTATTTCTGTCTTTATAAATGATACTAGAATTGACGTCAAAGCAGCTTCCTGGAGATTTTAGTATAGGCAGATAGGTATAGATAAGTCACGATTTGATTTAAGGTAGACCTTAAGATTTTACTGAATGTACTTGTTTATATTATTATCACACATATCAACACAAATTGGGTACAATAAATAATTGCAATGCAAGCACTATTAAAACATCTTCTATACACAAATGATATCTTATCGTGACTTGTTTAATTTCCTATTACAGATTATAAGAATTTTGAACATAGTTTAGACATAAGGCAAGAAACTGTTAACGAAATGTATGTATGTACCCTGAAATTAAGCTTGTTAAATATTTGCGAAACGTATGATTTTAGTTTACTTCGAGTGTGCAAATTCTGGTTTTGATAATAATATTGACTCCTATGCAGCCGTACGCAAGTTTTTTCTAAAGTAGCAGAGTAGAATTCAAGCTTCCAACCTTATCGTTGAATTAACATTGGTTATACTTAAAAATATATAATTAAAAGATATAAATGTTATTAAAAAGTATAATTATGTTTGTGAAATATTATAAAATTAAGATTTTTAAGTAAATACATTAAACAACAATAAATAATAATAATAATCGAACGACTTTTATAACTTAGTGCGAAATGTGTATAAAAGTAGTGGATTAATTTCAGTTAAAACTTGACATCGAAATTGGAAAACAAAAGCTAGATTGCCGTAATTAAATTCGGATTTAGAAAAAGATTTTTTTTTATTTTTATTTTTTTATTCAGTATTTTAATAACTACGTCTTGACAACCCTTACGATACGAATCGTCTTTCTCGTCATTTTATGTTTGCTTCAGGCCTTTATAAAGAAAAGTGAAGTATTTTAAAACTCATTTCAATTCCATTATAATATAAAAAAGCTTTTAATACTCATAATACTTATTATAACATAAAATGATTGCTGAATCATATTCAACAAAAGTAGAGTTATAATTTAAAACTAAAATTTTCCTAATTTTCATTTAAGGCAGTAAATAACACTAATACGTTTGTATTTTGCCATTTTTATTTTTCGTTTATTGAAAGCGTGCTGGAAAATGTAATCAATATAGATCTTTAAGTCAATAATTTAATAAATTGTTTTCTTGATCAATTATTATTGGTAAAAGCAGCAACCTGGCCGTTCACAGTCACGACTCACGAGGTAGAGCACGATAACTTATTTATCTTTAATCTCTCCACGACCGCGGACACGCCGGCGTGTCAGTTAACAATAGATTTCTTAGAAATTTACCTGGAGGTGTGTATTATTTCTTACTAACGACTTACCCTGGCTTCGCTTAGTTACGTCCCTATGAATTGTAATATTATGTACAGACAATAAAAATTTTACTACTAGCAGCAGCTTATGTGTTACATCAGGTCATAGTCTATCTTTTATCTATACTAATATTATAAAGAGGTAAAGTTCGTGAGTTTATGACGTTGTAGGGGGTAATCTCTGGATTTACTGAACCGATTTACATGATATTTGATAAGAAAATAGTTTGGGACCCTGGGAAGGACATAGGATACTTTTTATCCCGGTAATCATGCCTTAAGGGGGTGAAAATGGGGATGAAAGTTTGAATGGGGAATCAAGCTAAGGACGAACCCGAGCGAAGCGACGGTGAGTTGCTAGTTTATTATAAATTGTTTCAACGTGAAGGAGTGAGACATAAAAAGATCGCGTTTATAATAATAGCGTAAGTAGCAGTAGGAAAAGTTAATTTAAAAATTCAAATATTTATCTCTAGTAAGGAAAACAATAGCAAGATAGGTTATTTGTATCCGACGATACCCACTAATAAATATTTTATCGTCCTTGGCCACTATAAAATGTACAACAAAGATAATGTTCAACACGCGAGTGTTTTCTTTGAAACGAAGTCTAACACAATCTTTTATTGAAAAATAATTGACTTTTTAACTGATGTATTACGTTACATAAGAAAGTTATTCATTATCTTGGCCTCAAATACAAGCTATGATGACCTCTGAAAAACGTTTTCTTAAGAAAAATTAGGTATTTTTAACAATAATTATGTATTTTTCTTATATAAAAGTAGCCTAAGTTATTTCTAATGACATCGACTATTTGCCGGTGAAAATCCCGGACAAACAAACAGGCAGACAAAAATTTTAAGTACCGTATTTACATACTTGTAAAAATCTGTTATTTTGATGTTACACACAAACAGTGTCTGTTCTGTTCAATTAAAAATATTTTTATATAATTCAATTCAATTTTCAATTTCCAATATCAGGTTGTAGAATTGAAAAAAGACTGATAGGTAGAAATTATTATTTATTTATCAAATCTATATCTGTTAACAGGAAGACATGGTGTGTCTGTCATGTACAGCCACAGGAGAGAGAGTGTGTCTGGCGGCAGAGGGGTTCGGCAACCGGCACTGCTTCCTCGAAAACATCGCCGATAAGAACATACCACCGGATCTATCACAGTGCGTGTTCGTAATTGAGCAGGTGAGTAATGAAATATTTGTAATCTTTTAATATATTATACAGTCTGTTATTAGTATCTTTTATTGTGATTAATTTGCCAGTTTATCTTCTGTGGGCTTAATTTTAACCGACTTCCAAAAGGAAGGAGGTTCTCAATTCGTCAGAATCTTTTTTTTATGTATGTTCACCGATTACTCGAAGACGCCTGAACCGATTTGGAATTTATTTTTTGTTTCGAAGAGTATACTTCCCAGGTGGTTTAATTTAAATTTTATCGGCATCGGTCGAGCAGTTTTTAAAAAATCAACAATAAATTATTTTTTTAAATAAATTGCTTAATCGAATATGTTATTAAAAAACTTTCCACTTACAAATTACCTGCTTATTACGTCTACACTAAAAATGGAAAAATAAAAAACTTTTTAAAATAACATAAAAACCGACTTCCAGGCACTAAAATGAAAAAAAAAATAACTAAACGGATTTCATTTGCAATAGATACCTAATCCGATATTTTCGAAGCCGGTGCCAGGTGTTTAAAAGAAAATATTTATTATTCGGTGAGCAGACGGGTGAACGACCACATAGGGTTTTCTACTACAACGGAACAATAAATAAATAAAAATTAGAGTTCCCTTCGAAAACCCATTTTCCATTTTCTGTCACGCAATATGTAACATCTATTTTGATTTATTGACCATTCGGCGAATATTTAGGTATATCGGTTGGTTATGTCTGCTTAAAGGTCTATTTCACTATCTGTTTATTTTGATTATATTCTAAACATATGAATAATTCCTTTCGATAATTTTCAACTATTTTCCCTTTCTGCGGAGGTTTTTGATTTCAGCAAGTTCCGTACATATTTATGTATACACTAGCGACTCACCCTCGCTTCGCTTGGGTTCGTCCCTACTTACGTTTTAACATTTAGTATAGATTTCTCAGAAATGAGATATTTTCCCGCAATAAAAAGTATCCTATATGTTGACCCGGATAACCAGAGAAAAAATCCGAAAAGATTTATTTATTTATTTTCATTTAAGATGAATAATTAATAATTATTGAATAAAGAGTTAGTGCATACGAATTTCAGTTAAGAATTGAAATATTTCATACTTTTTACAGTGCATTTTATGTGTTGTTTGTAGTCGATATCTAGTTTTTTAAACTTTTTCTTTTGATTTCCTTTAGATCCTTGAATTTTCACATAGTTTGTTCTTGATTTTATTTCAAGAGCGTGACGATTTTATCTAAGGAAAGTTTCGGACTGTGTACGTGACTTGAATGTTATTTGCTTAGTATTTTCAAATAAATTTGTTTTATTGAAATATTTTTTGTTTATGAAAAATATTTATTACATTTAAAAAAAGCCAAGACAAAAAAATCTTTGTAAGAAAGCTAGCTATTTTTGATCGCGGCGCCGTTTCCATGTTAAGTCTCATAATAACTCATGTAACTTACGTGGCGTGCTTCCTGAATAGGAATTTATAGTTTTAAAATATACTGAATAGAAATCTCTATGGATATTTAAAAAAAAACTTTGATTAAATCACAGAATTTCTTTAAAAAAACTTTTTGACAACCAGTTCTATAGTTTCAGAGTTTTACCTCCATTCAAAACACATACTTTTTGTAATGTAAAATTAAACCCTCATAATTTCCTTTTGAGATTTTATAAAGTAGGTATACGTATAGTACCTGTCGTATTCACACATAAAAAATAAAGTTCCAGAGCTGAAACAAATTAAATATAACTAATATGTTAAATTATCATAATCATAGAATTTACGAAAAAATAATTATACTACGTGATTATAACAAACAAACAAATGCTCTACATATCTACGAGAGCCTCTTTCGCTTCTTTCATTGTCATCATTACCTTTTGACATGACAGCTTGTTAAGAGTCCCTCAGATTTTGAACTGATTTTTTTAGGATTTATAATCACCTGGGCTAAAGTCCTTGTCTACACAGTATTATTATAATAACTTTCTTTTACAGGCGTTGTCGGTAAGAGCCCTACAAGAATTGGTCACGGCCGCCGGCTCGGAAACCGTAAGTATTGCCAACGATTTTATCTTATCTTAAATATAAATGTAAATGAAGTAAAATTAACAATGGAACACCTGTCCTTATATTACTGTGTATCTTTAAATAATTTTCAGTAAATATTTCTGACTAAACTAAAGTCTTAGATTTTTTTGAGTCAATGATTCTAGTTTTGTAACATGTTATATTTACATATATAAAATATATAATATAAAATACATATACGTATTATTAAGTCATTTTAAAGAATTTATATATAATATATTAAATATCTACTATTAATTTCTTTCCATTTACTATTTTTCCTACTATCTACAGAGTTTAATCTAAAAAACTAAGTCATTTAGACGAACAGATATTTACTATTTTAATATGATACTCGTATATATGATAGCAAAACATGTTGCAAAATTATCATAATCTTATTACGAAAGTTTTAAGAAGCAAATCTGTCTATCAACACGTTGTAATATTGTGTTTAACATAAATGTTTTTCATTTGTGAATAATATTACTCTTTTTACGTACTAGCTTCGTGTTTAAATTTTACAGGGCAAAGAAAACTTATTAGTGAGTATACGTATATATGAAATTTCGGTAACAAATTCGGTCACGATAAGCTATATCTTGAATTTTTTTTAAATTATACTGAGTTAGGTTCTGTCAAATATATATTTTTTTCACATTTTTTTCTAAGATATTTCTTATCGTGGCTACTTTGCATGATTTTGAAGTCACATTCTTCGTCTTGTGACTGACAAAACTGATTATTATTCAAAAAAAATCGTTTTCTCGCTAAACTGTTTTACGTAACCAAATTTATTTGTCTCAGTCGAATTCGTGTTTTAAATATTTAATTTTATGTTAGATTAGATTTTTTGTTTTTTCCACTCGAAGATATCAATGTAAATGAGTCTATTACTGTGTTCTCACAAACAAATTTTTGTATTAAATACACTGAATTAAAAATGCGATATTTTATCTCATTTTAAGAAACTATTATTTGTAGATTATTTTTTAACCTTTACTGTAAGTAAAGCAAATGAATATTGTAAAGTCAGAAATCTTATATATTCTTAATATAAACCAATTTATATAATATTTTTAGTTAATATTTAATTTATCTACTTAATAAATTAAAATTAATACTAATTAATAAATATTAACATATTTGCGCATGTTATTTTTGATATTACTATTATTTTGATAATCCAGTATTCAAAATATGCATGAAACATATTTTTTATATTAATAATGAAAATTTAAGCACTTTTGCGCATGACAAAAAAATACATTTAAACCTTAATTCACAGGTTTTGCTCAAAACATAACGCGATATGCCAATATTACTAACCTTTATCGAGTAACAAGTAGTTATTAGATCTACTTACCTATAATTTCCCCATTGAACTTATTTTCATACAAGTTTCGTTTTTACTGTAAATAAAATATAGGTTTTTTAATTATTATTAATAAAATTTATCAGTAAAATTTTAAGTCTTTATATATTTTTATTTTTTTAAATAATTTAGTATTAATAGTTCTAGTAAAATGTAAAGTTTCCTAAATATAAAATAATTACATGAAAAAATATATGCTAAGTGTAAAATTTATTTTCAGGGTAAAGGCACTGGGTCGGGACACAGAACTTTGTTATATGGCAATGCTATTCTATTACGTCATCTTAACAGCGATATGGTGAGTTAAATATGTATATGTTTTTGTGCTTCAATTTAAGTTTTCACTATTTAATAAATGCACTGCAATTTAAAAAAATACATAGTAACATTTATTTTATTAAGTTAGGAAATTTTAAATATGTTGGGACATTAACACACAACACCATCTGGTTCCATGGTAAGCTACGAGGCTTGTGTTATGGATATAAATAGTTGATACACTACACATATACAAATTTTAAATACATACATACAAATATAAACACCCATGACTGGAGTACAAACATTCGTGCTCATCACACAAATGAATGCCCCAGCGGGGCTCGAACCCGCGACTGCTGGCATAGCAAGTAGGGTCACTATAAACTAAGCCAATCGTGTCGTCAAGTAATAAATTGTTTAAGTAATGATATGATTAAACAAAAATTTAAAAGAGTACAATGGAGAGTGAGTGCTTTTGACGACAGATTCACATATTTATTCTTATGACTTTTCGACTTAAAAAGATTACTGTGTCTACATTCACGCTTACATTTTCAAAGCTTTTTACCAAGCGAGTTTCCACGGATCATATAAAAGTATAAGATACATTCGCGATGTCTCTTTAATGAGGATAGCGAAGTTTGTTCATTTTTGTATAAAACTTGAAGGCTTCTATTACTAAAAACTTCTAAATAGTAAATCAAATTACGATCCATTTGTATTTTTAAAGGAAAATCGCTAAAACATGCTCTACGTGGTATCTATATTTAATTTTAAATTAATATGGAGAATAAACTTTATAATAATTGAAAAAATTGAAATGTTTCCTATGCATTCGAACGTCGAAAAGTAAAACCGCGATAGATCCACCAAAATGGTTTATTTATAACTAGCAACTGAACCTCGCTTTGCTCGGGTACGTCCCTTGAGAAAGACAACAACAAATCTATCCCACGGGAACCGTACATTTTTCCGGGATAAAAAACCCAAGTGCTTTCTAACTCTGTGCCAAATTTCATCAAGATCCGTTCAGTCGTTCTGGCGTGATTGAGTAACAAACATCCATCCAAACTTTCGCATTTATAATACTTTCTATGGATAGAAAAGAATTATTAAATAGAAATTACAATTTCTTAAAATATGTAGGTGCAATTTTGATGATATTTTAATTCTAATATTTTATTTGATACATATTTTTAATTAAAATATCTTCGTTACATACGGTAGTGGTGTCACGTAGTGGTCTCATTTGTTGCTTTGTAAAATATAATTGGATAACGTAAGCTGTAGTCTCTGCATTGCGCAAACGTTAAAACAGGTATATAGGTATGTTTAAAACACGTTTTATTTAAAATTAATAAGTTTTTATAATGTAAACTACGATTTAGATTAAACTGTTTTTTTTAATTAATCAAAAATACGAAAACTTACCATTAAAATTCATATGAAGTCCTACCGACTCATACTCGCTTCGCTCGGCTTCGCCCTTAGGTACGCTTTAAAATTTAGTATGGAATAGATAGACTATTATACGTAGGATGAGTTGTTGTGGGTTGTATTATAACGTGTTTTCCCATGGAAATGAGATAATTTCCCGCGGTAAAAAGGAGCCTATAACACTCTCCAGCCCTCTATCTCCACACAAAAATCACGTCAATCCGTTATTTACGTATACAAACAAACAAACAAACTTTACTTTCACATTTATAATGTTAAAGTATGGTTTTAGTAGAGATTCTGCTTTTTATTACTACTTTTTGTTAAAACGGCTTCTATACGACATTGTAAAAACGTTTGTGAACATTCTAAAGTACTTCATAAAAGCTTTTATTCGTATTCACATGAATAAAATGTAAATTGACAACATAGCACTAAGTTACGTTTTAAATTAATTTTAAAACCATTTAAGGTATTGCTGAATTTCAAAATATTTAGATTGGCCTTCTAAGGAATTAAAAAACTAAAATAGATTGACTTTGAGGGTTTAGTAGAGTTATATTCAGCCCTTTTTGTCATCCCACTGCTGGGCACGGGCCTCCCTTCAATGAGGGATCAGGCCATAGTCCACCACGCTGGCCAAGTGCGGGTTGGCGGACTGCACAATATGTCTTTTGAAAACTTGCTAGGCTCTCTAAGTTACATTCGCACATGAAAATATCATAGGTGCGAAATCCAGGATTTGTACCCGCTTCTCTCGGTTTCCCAAGCGAGCGCGGTACCACTGGGCACATTATCAAACAAAAAATGCCTATAATCGTTTAGGTGTTTATTTAATTTTACTATTAAATAAATATACCTATATATATAAAATAAATATACATGTAAATATTATGGGAAACGTGCACGATGTTTTTAATTGACTATGGGCCAATAAACTGCTGTTCGCAATGCTTCAGTAACTCACAATAATTACTCATCTACAATATACATATTATTATAGTTTTATATAGTATTTGTATGATGTTATTGTTTGTTGATGTTATTGTTTATTTTATAACAAAGTTAATTTACATTGTAACTCATATACAAACAAAATTTATAAATCATTAACATTGTATGACTGACATAATATATAATATACGGTCGGAACATTGACATTTATTGGTTCTGAGCGTGACTCGAACCCGCTGCCTCTTACATAAAGACTACTAAAATGAGACGAGCACCTATAGATTAAAATACCTTCCGCGGTTCTCCTTTTATATAAAATACCTCGAAATTCTAATAAAATATTCATTTTTAGTACTTGGCGTGCCTTTCGACATCGTCGTCGCAAGATAAGTTGGCTTTTGATGTCGGTCTGCAGGAGCATTCGAAGGGTGAGGCTTGTTGGTGGACTCTTCATCCTGCAAGTAAACAGAGGTGAAAGGAATATAATAAAATTATTATTTTATATCACTTGCCAACCAGTGTGTAAACCATGTCCGTAACTATTGATTTCAAAACGTTTAGTTTAGACCCTTATTTTATCGCTCCGCTCGGGTTCGTCCCTAGTTACGTTTTAATGTTTAGTGTATATTTCTCAGAGATGAGATATTTTCCCGCAGTAAAAAGTATCCTATATGTTGACCCAGATAACCAGATATCAATATCATCGTACCAAATTTCGTCAAAATCCCTCCAGTGATTTTCTCGTGATGCGTTTTCAGACAGACAGAGGAAATTTCTAAAAACTATAGATTCGGCCTCTGTATCGATAATAATGACTATTTCAATAAAATTTTCCAAAAAAAAAATTTAATGTAAAGATTCGAATCAGTTAGAATGTTGTTATATGTAGGTATAGGTAAGTGAATCACGTATAGCGGACAGCTTAAGTTGGAACTTTAGATAAACTCTCTGCTTTTAAACGAATAATATAGAGGGTGTCTTATAAGTAATGTAGGTTTTCATATGTGAAAATTCCTACGCCTCAATTTAAACATATCGTAACTTGTTAAGACTAGTCTCTAATTGTATGAAGAGTACAATTGCTTTACTTTCTTTTAATCATTCTCTCTTTGTTTATTGACGACGTACTACGTTTTTATAATAAATAGTATGGAGTGTGATAAATACGAAATTCGTGTATTGTTAAGACATTATTGGAAACAAAAGTTTAAAGCAGCTGTGGCAGCAAGGTAAATATGTGAAATTGAAGGGGAAGACACAGTTAATGAGCGCACGGCACAGCGCTGGTTTAATCGTTTCAATAGTGGAGATTTGACGCTTGAAGATTGTTCGCGCTCAGGTCGTCCACCTGCGTGGGATATTGAGGTTACAAGGGAAGCAGTAGAAAACCAACCTAGTACCAGCACTCGCCGATTATCGGACTCCCTTGGACCTTCTAAAGATACCATACATCGCCATTTAAAATCATTAGGTAAGATCTATAAAAAATGTCGAATAGTGCCACACGAATTAACCGAGATTCAAGCGAAACGTCCAGTAGAGGTGTGTAAACAGCTCCTTGCCCTGCCAAAAGATGATCGTTTTATTAGACGCATTGTTACTTGCGATGAAAAATGGATTTATCTAAGCAACCCGAACATGGAAAATCAGTGGTTAGACAAAGGACAAATACCAGAACCCGTCGCAAAGAGAGGTGGATTCGAGCGAAAATTATTGTTATGTGTCTGGTGGAATTATGAAGGTTTGGTGTACTTCGAAATCATTCCAGATAATCGAGCTATCAATGCCGAGATATATAGTGGACAGCTGATGCGAATGTATGAGGTTTTATCGGAGAAATATCCAGGTTTAGTTAACCGAAAGCGGGTTCTCTTACAACAAGACAATGCTAAACCACATACTGCGAAAGTTACGCGGAATAAGATCGAAGAACTTGGTGGTATTGAACTCTTACCACATCCAGCATTTAGTCCGGACCTTGCACCGTCAGATTACTATTTATTCAGATCCATGGCAAAATTCTTGCGTGGGAAAAAATTTGAATCCAAAGGAGATGTTGAAAATGCAGTGCGACAATTTTTTGCATCTAAACCCAAAGAATGGTTTTACCGAGGTCTCAAAGAGCTTGCTGAACGTTGGGTTAAAACCATAGAATACAATGGGCTATACTTCGAATATTAAGGCTTTCTTTTTGTATGATTATTTAGTAAACAAAATGAACTTGGTAATATACTAGTGATCTCCTCATGTACGAAAATCATCATAATTCATTAAGTTTGAACGTTATTGAGGTTCTTTTGTCAAAGTTACATAAGTACCATGCAACTTTCCTAATTAATAGACTACAAAATGCAAAAAGTTTTTTCCAAATAGTTTTGTAGTTCTAAAAGTGTATAGTGTACTAAATGTATATGTTGCTTAGTTATAGTGCAAAAAACAAAATAATATTTAAATGGACAGACAGGCATAAATGGACTACGCTTTGAATAACGTAAAATTTAAAAACACATTGCGAAGTTCTGAATATTAATTATGAAAAAAATATCCACGCTAATTTTAAATTCACGTTGCATTCATGAAAAATGAAAGAGATCCTATAGCTATATATTTAAAAAATAAAAGAAACTTACATAAAAGATGAAGCAAAGATTTTCCGCCCTATTTCTTTATATCTGCTTACTTTGTTAAGGACGTGTGTTATGTCGAACCCTTTTTAACCAACTTATAATGAAGGATGAGGTGCTCAATTCGAGCGTGTGTTTATTGTTTACATTATATGTATATTATTTTCTCCATTTGTGAACCGGTTCTCAGGTTTTTATTTTCTAAATATATCAAGAGTCGATATATAATAAGAAAAGTGGTATTATGTATTACTTTTGAAGTGATTTTGAAATCAGTGAACGGATGTTTTAGGTTGCAAAGTACCTTAAAGAAATGTTACCATAAAACTTAAAGCCATATTGTTACCATAAAATTTAAAGCAATTTGAATAATTTGTGGTTACACGTAACCGTCGGTACGATAATCTGACTCGCCCTTGACCTAATCTTGAATCGAACTTAGATTTTAAATTGAAAAAAAAAGAAACAAAAAATTTGCTATCTATAATAAAAAATAACGTTATATCTAAAACAGCAAATAAAAATGGTATTAGAATTTCATATACTACCTACTTCATTTCAAATGCGTTGCGCAGTAATCTGTTTCCAATCCAATCCACAAATGGAGAGAGCGATTGATGGTTCAGGTACTAACATTTATTGTGAACATTCCAATGGGAATTACTTTTGCGATCTCGTGTAAAGTGAATGGATGAACGATGACTATAACGATTAAAATTTACTAAAACCATGAGGTCTTATTAGGATCAAAGAAAAATAATAATAGTTTATATAAATATTATTTCTATCGCATTATATATGTATCTATATAATATAAAAAAATATATCCTGAAAAAGATAGTATGGATTAAAAAAATTTCTAAGTGAAGGAAAATGAAAAAAGGCGCTCATAGATCAAAGCGTAATTTTACTTTAGATCAGCAATGATTGATGAGCGCCTCATTTCGTTTTCCTTTTTTAAATTTTAAACTTAACTGAAGGGCTAAATCTATACATATAATAAAATTGAAACTAAGCCGAATCTGTCTGTTACCGCATCACGGAAAAGCCACTAGAGGGATATTGATGAAATTTGTGATGATGGTAGCTGGTTATCCGGGTCAACATATAGGATACTTTTTACTGCGGGAAAATATCTCATCTCTGAGAAATCTATACTATACGTTAAAACGTAACTAGGAACGAACCCGAGCGGAGCGAGGCGAGTTGCTAGTACATAATATAAAAAGAATTATAATTTTTATATTAATTTAAAATATTCTCAATGTATTATTACTTAATATTATTATTACAAGCCCGTAGTGTCCCACTGCAGGGCAAAGGCCTCCATACTGTTCCTACTTAATATTTATAATATTTTTATTATTCATTATTCTATCGTAGTCGATAGAATTTATGGGAAGGCAGCTTTTATGATGTTGATAGAAAAATAAAAATCATATTTTCCAATGGTTTACCCAGTTTCATCATTTTACAGATCTGAGGGTGAAAAAGTACGTGTCGGTGATGACTTGATTCTCGTGTCTGTGGCCACTGAGAGATACTTGGTAAGATTTGGAATTATTTATTTAAATATATATTTTATGTAATTTTAAGTGAATAATAATATAGTGAAATCTGTTAGTTCGATGGCCGCACTTTAATAACGCACTTAAGTAAATTAATATTGAGTACACAAAGTATATTTGTCCCCATCTACATGTTTTAATATCTATTAATGAAATTTGTAATTTTTTAAAAATGACTTTTTTCTAAGAAGGATAAGCACTATGCTCTAAATATAGTAGTAGTACAGAAGGATAAGCACAATGCTTTTTACTAATATATCTTAATTAGGAATTAGGATAGGGACAATTAGGTTATATTTGTATGGTTTTTAATAAGATCATACAAATATAACCTAATTTGTTACTAAATAAAATAACTTCGATATTTCCCATTATTTCAGCACACAACAAAGGAAAACGAAGTATCTATTGTGAACGCATCTTTCCACGTGACCCACTGGTCGGTGCAGCCGTACGGCACGGGTATATCGCGTATGAAGTATGTGGGTTATGTGTTCGGTGGAGATGTCCTTAGATTCTTTCATGGGGGCGACGAGTGTCTCACAATACCTAGTACGTGGAGTAAAGATGGAGGGCAGAAGTAAGTTGTTTAAATATTTATATATATTTCTTACTGTGATAAGTATTTGACTATAAATTGTTCATTGTATTCTTAACTAGTTGACCCGACCGACTTTGTCCCGCCCCAATAAAATTATTTGTGATCTTTGAAGTCCTATAAAAAAGCACGACAAAAAGCACTTTCAGTTTTACTCAAATTTCCAATTTTCGGGCCAACTTTTCCAAATTTTTCGTGCTAAAATCCAAAGCCAAATTGGTTCTGCTATTGCTCAAGTAATGCGCTTATCAACAAACATTCTTCATTTTTATTTATATAGATTAAACTTTTCTTTATTTCGTGCCAATTTAATCTGTGGTCATAATGACATTTAAATATGGTGAAAATATAATAACAAATATTACATTACCAAAACATTATAATATAAAATTTTATATAACTATTTATAAATAGAAATAAGACATTTATGAGAGAGATTTAAATGTAGCGTAACACAAGGCAGTATTATCTTGATAATTGGATATAATACAAAAGGCGCAATTATTCTAAAACCGCTCGTAATCGTCGGCTTCATGTTGAAAACGCATTGTCTTTTATTCTTTCTCTAAAGCCTATTATAATTATACATATATTTTAATGTAATTTTACAAAAGATGTGTTCTAATAAATATCATTTATAATAAAAAGTATTTGTATACAGTACCTACAGTATGACTTTTTCTTAATGATTAAGTACCTGGGCTTCCGAGCTTCGCTCGGAGTTTTTGGACAAAAAGCATTTAAAAAAATGAATAAATATAAAAAAACAAAAGTATTACTTTGTATCCGACCGGGATACGAATCCAGACACCTATGGTTGTCAAACTTGCGCCTTGGCCGCTTGACCACGATGTTTATGTCCTAGCGTGCGAATTATCGACCATATTTTGCGTGGAATAATGCGAAACAAAACCACATGAAAACTGGAAATCACGCGTTTTCCCAGACATAAAACTAATCTAGATCGTTTTATCGCCCCTGAAACCCCCTGCATACTAAATTTCATGAAAATCGTTGGAGCCGTTTCCGAAATTCAGATTATATACATATATATCTATTAATATATATACAAGAATGGCTCATTTAAATATACTAGATAACAAGCTTTTCTTTCTACGAAAATTTGAATAGTGTTAAATACAATTGTGGATTGATACGGAACATGTCGAAACGTTGATTACCTGAAATTTATTAATAACAAGTTGTCTTACAGTTTAATCTTGAGATAATCCAACATAAAACAAGAAAAAAATTGTCCTACAAAACAGATGGTTTAGATCAAATCGTCCCTCTCTCCGAACTTGTTAAAATTACAACGTTATAAAATTTATTAATAACAGGTTTATTTTCGCAGTATTTATAATTAAAAATATGCATAGTTAAATGACCACATTGTCCTACAAATAAAATGGTAAGATTTCTCTGTCCTACGCTCGGATACTGTCTCCCGCTCGGTGAGAAATCGTAGAAAGTTCTCAATGAAAAAGAACCATCGAAATTGGATTCCATAAGGCGGCGATATCCAATACCCCCTTTTTGGCCCTTTTTGGAGGAAGTCCAATCAAAAATCCCCAGCAACAAAAAATCTATAAAGTCGTAAAACCTGTATACCAAATTTCGTCCAGATCGGTTTTTAAATACGACCAGTAGAGGTCTACCGACAAACTGAAGGAGGAAAGCAAATTTTGCCAGATTTGAAGCAGAGACGCTTGACTCGCGTGGCAACAATATAGATATGTACATAAATTATATTAAATAAATATTTTCGTCATATAAAACTTTTGTAGATATACGCGAATATTTGACATTTCAACTATTGTTTAATCGTTTGTTTATATCATTTTCTAATATTAATTCGTATTTTTAGTATTGTAGTGTACGAGGGTGGTTCAGTGATGTCTCAGGCGCGGTCTCTATGGCGCTTGGAGCTCGCTCGTACGAAGTGGGCCGGCGGTTTCATAAACTGGTACCATCCTATGAGGATCAGACACATTACCACCGGCAGATATCTGGGTGTGAACGATCAGAATGAACTGTATTTAGTTAGCAGGTAATTATATATAATCTGCTGTGTTTTTATCTATAATTTGGATTGCTAATATATAATTTCCTAGTACTTCCTTGTACTTATATTCTACTTACTATTTAAAATTGTATGTCCTACTAATAAAATAAATGTGAAAGTATAGATGTTTGGATGTTTGTTACTTAATCAAGCCAAAACGGCTAAACGGATGGGCATGAAATTTGATACAGAGATAGACAGTCTGGAACAGCACATAGGAACTTTTTATCCCGCAAAAATGTAGAGTTCCCGTGGGATAGATTTGATTTTTTTCGCTAGTTTTTTTATAAATACTTACTGAAATATATAATTAAATGATTATCATTTAATATTAAAATAAATAATAAATATATTTTTTATATAAATACATACTAATCTGTACATGTAAGTTACATTCGAAAAGATGAATAATCCCAGGATAAAACCGTATATTACATACAAAAAACCGTCCATTAACAGAGAAGAAGCCACAACAGCATCATGCGCGTTCTGCCTTCGCCAAGAGAAAGACGACCAGAAGGTAGTATTGGAGGACAAGGATTTAGAAGTGATCGGTGCTCCCATCATTAAATATGGTGACTCCACAGTTATTGTGCAACACTCGGAAACTGGGCTTTGGTTGTCGTATAAGGTGAGATTTTGTTTAAAAATGGTTAGACTATACCTACAGTTATAAATACGAAATTTTGTTTGTTGGTGTATTTGTTACGACTGTCCTTCACGCTTAAGCGAGTGTTTTTTTTTTCAAGTGAAAGCTCGAATGAAGTTTTGTATTCAGCCCTTTTTAACGTTCCGCAACTGGGCACAGGTCTCTCTTCAGTACGAGGGATCAAGCCATAGTCCACCACGCTGGCCAAGTGCGGGCGGACTGAGCATGTCTTGCAAATAAGTACTTGCTAGGTTCTCTCAGACATGCAGGTTTCCTTACGATGTTTTCCTTCACCGTAAGAAAAGTGGATTTGAACCTGCTTCACTCGGTTTCGTAAGCGAGCGGGTTACCCCTGGGCTACTGAATGCACGATGACTAAATGAAGCTTTAGCGAGCTTTAATTTGTAATTAAATAAATTGTATTAATAAATAATAAAACATAATAATACTATTTATTATTTTTCTCAGTCATATGAAACCAAGAAGAAAGGTGTGGGAAAAGTGGAAGAGAAACAAGCCATACTACACGAAGAGGGTAAAATGGACGATGGTCTAGATTTTTCTAGATCTCAGGAAGAAGAATCTAGAACAGCCAGAGTTATTAGGAAATGCTCATCGTTGTTTACTAAATTTATTAAGTAAGTATTATTTTTAGTTCTCTCTAGTAGTCTAATAAGTTTATTGTTATAGATAATTTATTAATAAAATAGTTTAATTATGAAGTATTGAACTAATGAAAAATAATATTTATTGATATTTAATATAAAATTTTTGAAAGTAACTGTCGATCTGTATGTTACCTTTTCACGCTTGAACTGCTGAACAGAGTTTGATAAAATTTGGCCAGCGTATAGATTGCACTCCGAGGACAGACATAGGCTACCTTTGATCTTCGTACTGGTTATCATGCGAGTGAAACCGCGAGCAAAAACTAAACTAAATAGTATCATATAAAACCTTAGCCAACCAAAAATACAATACGGATTCTAAATGATTTTATAATCAATCAATCATTTCGTGTTACAACACCTGTTCCTTTTTTTCTTATTTGTAGGTTTTCTTACAATATTTTATTCTATATTATTTTTATTTCTAATAGTCAACCTATACCCAACCATTCATACGATTATAATATATCAAAGAAAAATAAAAAATAAAATAAACGTCACTATCTCAGGACAAATTAAGATGAATTTGGAACCCAGTTATACTATGACCTGGAGTAACATATGCCCTGTTAGGTACCTAGGGACGTATGAGTAACTTGTTAGTTATCTTCATATATTAATTAAAAAAAATGCTTTCAGTGGCCTTGAAACTTTGCAAGAGAACCGACGCCATTCGATGTTCTTCGCATCTGTAAATTTGGGTGAAATGGTCATGTGTTTGGAAGATTTGATCAATTACTTTGCACAGCCCGATGAAGATATGGGTGAGATATAAAGGATATATTATAGTAGACTATATCAGTTATATTATTTGTTTCAAGGATAACTAATAATTTATAGTGTTGTTTACCTAATAAGTAAATGGATTTTTTGGGAACTGAAATAAGTGTAGCATTTTCCATTGGCTTAATATAAGTAATATTTTTAATAACAAAATGTAATAAAGGAACGTTTCTGAACTATCTGTTCTTATTAAACTTAAGTTTTCTTAACAGAAAAAATCTTTTGCTATCGTATTTTGGTATGATACCAACAAATTACTAGCATAGCACTTAAATTAATAAATTATTGAAAAAAAATTGTGATGTTTTCAAAGCATATAAAAATTAAGAATCTATGTAGATACGAGTATGAACATATTTTTGTATTAAAAATTAACCTAAGATATTACGAGCATATACTATTTTTTTACTCAATAAATATTTTTCATGTCCAAACGCCACAGAGCACGAAGAAAAACAAAACAAATTCAGGGCTCTCAGAAACCGTCAGGACTTGTTCCAAGAAGAAGGAATCCTAAACCTGATCCTGGAAGCCATAGACAAGATTAACGTGATCACCTCCCAGGGCTTCCTGGCGGGCTTCTTGGCTGGTGATGAGTCGGGACAGAGCTGGGATATGATATCTGTGTACTTATATCAATTACTGGGTAAGTTATTTCTCGTCTATTGGCCAAAATTAACATTATTACCTAAGTAATCTGTATCCCATTCAGAATATCTATTAAAGAATTTATCAGGCGTATAACATTCGGCATTTATTTCCAAAAAAAGAACATAGTTCACTAGGTATTAGGAAAATTATATATAAGAAAACTTATGTAACTAATTATGCAGTAGTGCTACTTAAATCGGATATTTCGAAAGTATGTGGCTGTTTAATTTCTTCTTAAATATATTAATAGATTTTGCATCTTCTAGATCTTTAGGCAAGGAATTGTATAACTGTGCTCTTTCAAAGAGAATCGTTTTTATACCATGTAATTTTAGTCAAAAAATTCGCCATCTTAACTGAAATCGTTCAGGATACGTCATTATATTTCAAAAAACATTTTGTCCACAGCGGCAATAATCAAAGGAAATCACACAAATTGTGCACAGTTCGCCAATTCCAACCGTCTCAACTGGTTGTTCTCAAGACTCGGGTCGCAGGCGTCCGGCGAAGGCACAGGGATGTTGGACGTACTGCACTGTGTGTTGATTGATTCACCTGAAGCTTTGAATATGATGAGGGTGAGTGTTTGTTCTTATCCCATCATGTCCTAAATAATAAAACCGCTACAATAAATTAGACCTATTTATCTCTCGGTACTTAAAATTTTTCAGATTGACACTAAAGTTTCGGTTTTGTAAATTAGATGAGATCTATTGATTAAAAAATATATTGTGAAAATGGTAGAATAATGTTTTTTTTTTGCGTTATGCACTATTTCCTGTGTGAGTTCCTTGCAGTGTGAAAAAAGGCGTATTATAAAAATACATCTTCACGTGTAATTATTTTTTGTTAAATAAAATTTGTTTAGTTGTTAAAAAAGACAGCTTTTTCTTTTAAATGATTATAAAAATATTTTTTGAAATTGAGTAAAAAAACCGTTATTTTACCCTTATTACAACTTTTTATAAAATATATTTCAATATTTAATACAATTTAAACTTTCAGGATGAACACATAAAAGTTATCATCTCACTGCTAGAGAAGCACGGACGAGACCCCAAAGTCTTAGACGTGTTATGCTCTCTATGCGTGGGTAATGGCGTCGCGGTGCGATCTTCACAAAACAATATTTGCGATTATTTATTGCCCGGGAAGAATTTGCTATTGCAGACGCAGTTGGTCGATCATGTATCTAGGTGGGTAATGAATTATATTTTCAGTTCAATCATGTATGTTAATATTTTCTTAGATTTACACGAATATTTGACATTTTAAATAAAACTGTCTTTTCAGATTTTTTCGCGGATTTATTTTGATTATTGGGAGCCAATAATCAAACAAATCCGAAAGAAAATATCGAATAGATAGTTTTATTCTCAAGTGTGTTCATTATCAAATTAGTGGTGTTAATCTTTAAATAAGTAAATAGTTTTTAGATTATTAAAGTGTTAGTCTGTTATTTCGGGGAATATTTTCGCTTCCGTAAATAAAAATTATTTCTCTTCTTATATTTTCATCGAAAGATAGATGGAAAATCACATATTTTTTGAAAGATGGAAAGTTTAAAAGTACTTTAAAAGAACAAAATACATACTTTGGTTTCATTAACGCCAACATTTATATACATATAAATAAAATTGAAGTATCTGTTTGAAATGTTAAAATAACGGCTTTTTATTAAATGCATATGAAAGTATGTCAGTACTAATAAGAAATAATCATTTTTTATCTGTATGTTTATTCTGGCTAATCTCTAAAACAGCTGGACCGATTTAGACGAGAATTTCAGTGGCAGATAGCTGTTCTTATAATGAGTATTTTAGGCTACTTTTATTTTAGAAAACGAATTAGGGTTTTGCGCAAAAATTAAAACGCAAAAAAATGAAATTGTAGAGGAAATCCGCGTACCTAGAAACTCGAGCGAAGCGCGAGTATTAATATAGGTACTTTTCAATTGTTCGTGAATTCCCTAATCTCAACAATTAATGTTTTATTTGTTGAGATTGATATATATATATATATATATATATATATATATATATATATATATATATATATATATATAAATTTATGTATATATGACATTATGTACATTCTAGTGTCCGTCCAAACATCTTCGTGGGGCGCGTAGAAGGGTCAGCAGTGTACCAGAAGTGGTACTTCGAAGTGACAATGGACCACATAGAGAAGACCACTCACATGATGCCGCACTTGAGGATCGGATGGGCTAATACTACTGGGTAAGATAACTAAACAAACTGACAAATAAAATAATAATTATGTGTATTTAAAAATATGTAGAATTTTCATGTAAAAAGATACAATTCAAAATAATTTTTTAAGTATTTTTTTTAAAGAAAATTTAAAAGTTGTAAATGAATTAAGTGTCAATTCTATAGTAGATATTCAGCTCATTCCATTCCATCTTTTTTTTGAAATCGGTAAAATAACAATATTTATTTAGATTACCAAACTTCAGACTACTGTTATAAATTTTGTATGTGTGTATGTTTGTTACGGATTACTTCTACACGGCTGGACGGATTTCGATGAAACTTAGCACACATCTAAGTCTGCATCTATAGTACCTATTAGTACTGAAACGCACCCGAGCGATGCAAGAGTAAATCACTAGTATGTAATATGTTTATTAATAAATATTATAAATATCAACGTTCTTTCAGGTACGTCCCATATCCGGGTGGAGGAGAGAAATGGGGTGGTAATGGTGTAGGAGATGATTTGTATTCCTTTGGTTTCGATGGAGCATTCCTATGGTCTGGTGGAAGGAAAACTCCCGTTAATAGGACTCATGCTGAAGAACCCTTTATTAGGAAAGGTAATGTATCAAATGTATGGATTAATATTTATATGTAACTAGGGTTCCATAAGAAAAATGCAAAAACGGAATCTGTATAGTTTGGTCATGTTACGGACTTACATATTGACATTTAATTTAAAAATTGACGATTCGAAATTGCTTGCAAAAGTCTATGTGTATAAAGTATATTTATTCACATAGACGTGCGTATAAATAATTCTTGTCTTTGCATGTTTTATATTGTTTATTATATAAAAAGTATTCATACAGTGAGTGTCTAGTACATTTTTATAATCATAGTTGAAATATAATTATCAATCAAAAAAAATATGGTTATCTATTTAAAATATAATATTCATACTTTTTAAACATTAAAAAACATGTTTTTAACTACCATTCTCTACGATCCGCTATGCAGGCTTACAACATTATAAAATAAAGCAGTCATGAGGACTGCCGACAGAAATAAAAACTTAAAACTATAAACAAACCGTTTTTATTTTTGGATTTTCAAATTAATTGTTTGATCTTAAATTAAAATTTCTATATTAAAACTGTTTACATTTATCTGGTTTTGACATCTATCGGCGCTCTGAGTGTTAGCGTTAACACGTCGCGTGACCATGTCGATGACGACTTACATGGATTTACTCCCCATACAAACCTGCCTATAGAAGTTTTCACTTCAATAATCGTATTTCCTTATTTTTGTATGTGAACTTTATTTCCAGGTGATGTCATCGGTTGTGCCCTAGACTTAACCATACCGTTAATAAATTTTATGTTCAATGGAGTGAGAGTCACCGGTTCCTTTACAAACTTCAACTTGGAAGGCATGTTCTTCCCTGTCATCAGTTGTTCTAGTAAATTAAGGTATGTATTGTACATATATTATGGATATAGTTAGAATAAGTATATACTTGGTTTTGGCGTCGTTTTGATACAACTATTATATTAACATTAGCGTACAAGTAGCCTAATGGTCAGGTTACGATTTTATGGAGGAAAATGAGTTTGGTTCTATGCACTGAGATATTTTTATAAACAATATTACGATTATTAATTATTAATGCGAAAGTTTGTATGTGTGTTGTTAAAGTATGTGTGTGTTTGTTACTTCGTTACGTTGTAACACCTGAACGGATTTGGATGAAATTTAGTATATACGGATAAACTATGACCTGGTGTAACACAGAATATTTAGCACCAGCGAAGAACATCGATATTAAAAGTTATACTTCAATATCTTTAACCATATATAATATTCTTACAGTTGTCGTTTCCTTCTCGGCGGTGAGCACGGTCGTCTCAGATACGCAGCACCTGAAGGGTATTCCCCATTAGTAGAATCACTGCTTCCTCAGCAGATCCTCAACTTGGAGCCGTGTTTCTACTTCGGCAACTTGAACAAGAGAGCCCTGGCTGGTCCTCCTCTGGTCCAGGATGATACGGCGTTTGTGCCCACTCCAGTTGACACTTTGTCTGTGAGTATGATGGGCTTGGATTTGAAGTTACACTTTATGAGTGTTCTGCTTATGGTTTTTTAATTCAAAGTTACACTGTTTTAAGTAATATTTAAAGTTATTATTGTTATTAAATACTTTGGAATGTTTTATAGTATCGATATGGATTTATTTACAATTAAATAATTTGGTAATCGTATTACTTGTTTTTGTTATTAGAAATTTTAGATTTTTCTATTGAAATTTTGGGTCCTTTGAAGTTTTTATTTGTTATGTTTTTCTATTTTCAGATAACTTTGCCAAGTTACATTGAACAAATTAGGGATAAACTTGCTGAGAACATCCATGAAATGTGGGCCATGAATAAGGTAAATATATTTGTTCTTGATTATATTCAGTTAAAAATTTGAAATGATTTATTTAATATTTTTTTACATTTTATTGTACCTAAAAAGATATCCTCAAAAACTTACATGCTATAATAAATTCAATCTAAATTTATAAATGTACACGTGTTAATTAATTATTCCACACTTGCCACAGATTATACCTTACTCTGACCTACCAAAACATAGACAATTATTTCATTATGATTAACAAATTAACACATCCCGCCACCAGATCGAGGCGGGCTGGTGCTACGGCGAGGCGCGCGACGACGCGCGCCGCGTGCACCCCTGCCTCGTGCCCTTCGAGCGGCTGCCGGCGGCCGAGAAGCGCTACGACGTGCAGCTCGCGGTGCAGACGCTCAAGTTAGTATTGTATATATTAATTTGACAGATTTATGTGGTTATTTGAAATGGTAAATTGATAATGGTAATGATAAAATGGTGAGTAGCTAGGGTTTTTTTGTGAAAAATTGAGCTATAAAGATAAACTTGAAAAGCAAAACTTTATCTAAAAACAAAATTTGATCCAAATCGTTAGAGACTTTTCCGAGATACGAGTAATAAGTTTATATTTATTAAATAAAACTATCTTTTCGGATTATTTCGCGGATTTATTTTGATTTTTGGTTCCCGACGTTTCGAATGCTTTACAGCATCCATGGTCACGGGAGAGACTGCGGTGTTACATGTCTTGAATGTATAGTTGTTACAGACAGCCTACCCACAATTAACAAAATGAAAAATGCACCAATTACATTACAATATTTTTAACTTTAAACATTTTATAATTTTAATTATAATTGAATATGGCAAATTATTTATTTAATTTTTGCTATTATTTTTATAATTATTACAATTTTAAAAATATTAATTAGTAATCTATATTTAGTGTTGCCATTATTATATTTATAACCATAAATAAAAATATAAAAATATAGTATTAATTATTAAAGCCATATAATTGTTCTATGTGTAATTTAAAAAAGTTAAAATTAATTACGGATAATCATTTTAATTTAGTTTGCTATTATTTAAAAACAACTTACTAAGCAACACTATTAAAATATACTTTTACAAATTGTAATAATTATAAAAATAATAGCAAAAATTAAATAAATAATTTTCCATATTCAATTATAATTAAAATTATAAAAAATGTTTAAAGTTAAAAATATTGTAATGTAATTGGTGCAATTTTCATTTTGTTAATTGTGGGTAGGCTGTCTGTAACAACTATATCTTTAAGACATGTAACACCTCAGTCTCTCCCGTGACCATGGATGCTGTAAAGCATTCGAAACGTCGGGAACCAAAAATCAAAATAAATCCGCGAAATAATCCGAAAAGATAGTTTTATTTAATAATGTCAAACATTCGCGTAAATCTAAGAAAGTATTAAGTTTATATTTATAACATATTAAAGAAGTTGTCTTTTAATATTATAAGATAAAGAAGTAAAGATTGTAGGTTTGAAAAAGCGTTATTTGTGCTACAAACACAGAAGAAAAAAAACAATTGTAAAAAAAAACATGAATATTGTATGTTTATATGTCGGGGGTAATCTCAGAAATTACTGGTCCGATTCTAAATTTTTTTTTAATTTACTAGAAAAGTACATTATCGCCGAGTATTATAGGATACTTTTTGTTCTGAAAAAATGTGTCTCCTGACAGAAGTGTTATTCGTTCTTTTTCAGAAGTTAACTTATATTTATTTAAACGAATAATATATCACCTATACAAATAAACAAAAAAGTCGATCTGTGTCGTGGAACACCTGTAGGAACGAAGTTCTTTTCGCTATGTGCCTTTGGCTAATAAATTAAGTCACAAAAATTGTCACGAGTACTAAAGTATGAGAAACGTTAAAGAATGAGCTTTACATCCCTTTATATTTTATATGTAGGGTCCCGTCATAAGAGTGTATACGACCTACTTACAATAATATACACTCCTTAACATTTACGATCACCTGATAGTTATGATGATGTCACACGGAGTGCTCTTAGTAAATAATAAAAAGTGTCGTGATGGTCGAATTATTACACTTTTTTCTATCTAGCTCTCGTTCCCAAAGTATGCCAAGTATAACGTGCGATAAGGAACTTCATTCCAAAATTCAATTATTAACTTAGGAAATAATATATAATAATAATAATATATTCATAGAACGATCCTGGCTCTGGGCTACTACATCAGTTTAGACAAACCCCCAGCTCGCATACGTAACGTGCGTCTCCCTAACGAACCTTTTATGCAAGTAAGTATCGAAAATTTGTTATTTTATAAATATTACATTCTATTTGGTCATTTTTGTAAATATGTCGGACGATGTGTGAATAAACAAAATAAAATATTGGCTTTAACACAAGCTTAAAATTTTATTTAAAGCTCACAATGTTTATAATTAAATTACCGAAAGTTACAATTTTAATGTGTAAGGAAAAGCTTAAAATTACTTTTTTTTGCTGACTATGATAATCAATGGCATATTTATTGTGTCTAATTCAAATACCTTTATTGTCTTGAACTTCAATTCATTAAAAATGTTTTTTTTTAAAAAAAAGCTCCTAAATCTTAACCAGAAAATGAATGAATATATTCAATACATTCAAATTTTTTAATTGAATATATTCATTTCAATTTTAATTCAAATGCCTTTATTCAACACTTAATAGTAAAATTCAAGCTATTCATATAATTGTTTCCAGTCAAACGGATACAAACCAGCCCCATTGGACCTGAGTGCTGTGACGTTAACTCCAAAAATGGACGAGCTCGTGGACCACCTAGCTGAAAATACACACAATCTGTGGGCTAGAGAAAGGATACAGCAGGGATGGACTTATGGACTTAATGAGGTAGGTAATACTTATATTGGGTTTTTTTTTCAAATGTGCGTGAATGACCAAATAACTGATTTTTTCCTCAGCGAATTTGAGCCTGTTATTTTAAGACATTTAAATACATTCAATTGGATGCATTAGAATTGAATCGTGCTCAGTTACGTGCAAAAATAACTCCAGCATGCTATCTAAAAATATCTAATCGATATCATCTATCGAAAGCGAGATAGACTTCAAAATGATACCGAGTTTTGTAGTGAATATTGATTGTTAATCTATATAAATTAAAGTTTCTTTGTATGTTTGTCCTCTATGCGTTCCAAAACAATTAATCCCTAGGTATACACCGACAAAACACCGACCGAGCAAATAACACTATAAAATAAACACTATTTTATTACAGGACTCCGACATGCACAGATCTCCACATTTAGTGCCGTATCCTAAAGTAGATGACGCCATCAAAAAAGCTAACCGCGATACTGCCTCCGAAACTGTCAGAACTTTGCTTGTATATGGCTACAACCTAGACCCGCCCACCGGAGAACAACATGAAGGTGAGTAATAATATAAGATTCCCATTTTATTTCAGTAACTTGTGCAGATAGAGAATGGAATTCGATCATCTTCGTGTCAATAATTATTAAAATTGTACAAAAGACTCTTAAAAATGTTAGAATTTAGTGTTTATAACATCGTTATTTCTACATGACATTACCGAAGTAGTCTGTGCTCAACTGGCACGTTTTAAAGCCATTAACGAGAGAATTGAATTGAATGAATGAGACTGTGAATGGCTTCGAACTTTCGAACGCCTTTTCCTCGTTTCACTCACACTCGTAATATACCTCAATAAAATGGTATTTATTATATTATTATTTTCAAATTTATTTTATATACATATGTATGTATTTTGAAATATCATTAAAAATTAAATTTATTTAATTATTTACATTCAATATTTGACATGTTTTTTTTTTATCAAAGTAACGTAAAACCTCATAGTGTATAATTTTTCTTTCTAAATATTGTTAGAGTTAGAACATTATGAGCTACATAATTTCTTGTAACCTTATTTCCATAATAAATTATTGTCATTTGAACTTATATAAATGTGCAATGTATATTATTCATATAATATTTTAAGGCAGTGCTAGCTCAGTGGTAACGCGCTCGCTTGTGAAATCGAGTGAAGCGGGTTCAAATCCTTTTTATGTGCGAATCAAATCTTATATTTTCATGTGTGAATCCTCCATGTCTTACGCTGAAGGAAAACATCGTGAGGAAACCTGCATGTCTGAGAGATGCGGGCTGAGTACACTATAATGTTTATATATTTTACAAGTCCATTGATGATAAAACTTTGCTCTCAACAGCGTTATTGGCGGAGGCGTCGAAACAAAAACAAGCGGACTTCAGAACGTACAGAGCGGAGAAGAACTACGCAGTCAGCTCCGGGAAGTGGTACTTTGAGTTTGAAATTCTCACCGCGGGACCTATGAGGGTGAGTGAAAATAATTAATAATAAAATATTATTTAACAGAATATAAGTCCTTTATATTATTATTACTTTAGTTGTTTTATTTTCATAAAAAATATTTTTAGGATTATGTAGAAGATAACGCGCTATTTTTAGTCTGTTTTTAGGATGGGTATCATTTGGGCTAGAAGAATTTTTGTTTAATTTTCTTTTGCACCTCAAATATTGACTTAGATGCTAAGCTTAATTTCAATAGATTATAGATTGAATAGGATAACTTAAGCTAAAGCTCCAGTTCAACTTTCATATTAAAAACAATTAACTCCATCTAATTTATCATTAAAGGAGTGCGGGAATAGTAATATTCTAATTTAAATATAATGCAATTTTAAAAATATTTGTAAAGTTAATTAAAATAAATGTATTTATTGGAATTCATGGACAAACTCTGTTTGATCGAAATATATATTATATTATTATTATTTCATAGATTAACTGCTTATTATTTATACATGAGTGTAGAAGTACTTTTACTTATATGTACATCCTTTAATACCTTCTTCACAGAACCAAATCTCAAAATAAATCCGCGAAAAAATCTAAGAGATAGTTTTATCTAACACTTAACATGATAATATAATATTTATTATGTATATTTTATGTTATTTTACCAGGTCGGTTGGGCCCATGCCGACATGGCGCCTGGTATGATGTTAGGTCAAGATGAGAACTCTTGGGCGTTCGATGGCTATAATGTAAGTAATTTGGCGATGTTTTTAAATATAGTAGTATTAAATGTATATTTTTTCAATTTAAATTTATCTCCAAGAGGAAAAAGAACAAGTATATTATGCAACGTGGAGTGCTTAATATCGTGCTTTCTGTCTATGTCGGTTATGGGTTCGATCCCTATTAATATAACAATGGTTTTGTGTTTTTTTTAAATATTTTATATATTTTTTATTTCTATATTTTCATGTGAAGAGCCCACCGACACGATTTATGTTATTAATACCTACCGATATTTTTTGAAGTAAAATGTTACGCCTTTAAAATCTCTTATTCCACTATGAGTGGATTGCATATTAAAATATGTATAGAATCATCTTTGACACAAATTCATTAAAAAATCATGAAAATCGGTTAACTATTAACGAAGATATCCTGTGACATACAAAAAAAAACAATTAGGTGATTCATCCTCCATTTTTGAAGTCGGTCACATTTAAAATGATTTATTAACATACAGTCTCTAAAATGGCACGGTGGGACGAGTGACACGTTCGGACAACAGTTGAAAGTTGGAGATATTGTTGCTTGCTTCTTAGACGTTCCCGATCAAACTATTAGTGAGTCATGGGAATACGAAACACTTGTCTGATAAATGTTCTTATGTTTTTTTTTATAAATAATAAACTATCTCTAATCAATTGGCTAACTTTCGTGTACTCTAGCATGTAATTATACTGATGTTGTATACTAAAAATGTAGTATGTTTCTTATTGTATCTGTGGTATTAATTTCTTTATAACTCTTAACTTAAGCTAATGACGTTAGATCGAATTGGTTGATTAAGAATGTTGCCCAACTCAATGATTTTTTTTTACCAACTTGTGATTTAAAAAAAATTTAAGGTATTTATAGGCTGAGATAGGCAAATTATTAATAATCCCATCCAAAACATGAAAATGTATGACAATAGTGAAAATTATTGACAGTAAATAAATTATCTTTGTAACGACGTCAAAATTTTGCCTTTAAACATTTATCAGACAAGATACAATGTCGTTGTGTTTTATGGTATTATTATCAAGGTTTTGTCGTCCCGTGGTATCGAATATTGATGTTTAGAATGGTATATGCATTCCCTTTCCTAATGTCATTCATTTGTAAATAAACCCTAAGTTCCCTAAAAGATACCCTTTGCCCTTATTCATTAAAATATAACAAACGTTTTAATTTTACTGGAGAACATTACATTTCACTATACGACAATATTGAATTAGGATTTTTACATTCATACCAATCAATAAAAAAAAATTAAAAAATAGGCAAAGGTTATGAATCCTAAGTATCATTTAACTTTTTAAGGAGGAAAAGGTTTACTCCGGTAGTACGGAGTCGTTTGGCAAGCAATGGGCGGTGGGGGACGTTGTAGGCGTATTCCTAGATCTCATTGACAAAACGATAAGTAAATAATTTTGACTGGCAACACTTAGCTTGCTTGGACGACGTGGTCAGAGCATTTTTATATTATATGTAAGATAAAATATAAAAAAAATGAATGTGAAGTTCATAGTTGTATACTTGTTGTTATTAAATATCAAAGTGACCTAAGCGAAAGAAATATTGAATGTTTAATGTTTATGAATATTAAAGCCGCCTATTAAAATTTACTTTTTTAATAATTTTTTAACACTTCTTGCTTATTAAATCAAAATAATGAATTCTATTTACCGAATAAACTAAATGTTTGTATAAAGATGTTCTAACCACTTCAAATTATCACGCCAGGCTTTCAAACATAGCTTTTAGGCAATCGGCAAAAAGCGTCAATAGACGTAACATCATCGCTTCGCTTTTAAAAAAATCAAAATTAGATTTAATATTTTTTATCATCGATGGATGACGTCATCGAAGCATGTCTAGACGATGGACCATCACATAAATGGTATTCAACGCACAAATTGCTCTATACCGCATTTTGAAACATGCAAAAGTAAAGAAGGCCTATTTTTTACTTAATTTACTTTAAATAAAGAAGTTACTTGAACACTTTACTTAAAACAGTAAAACATTAACATTGATATTGACAAAAATAATCTAAGCGATTATTATAGAACTCTTTTGAATTTACCCCTTCACATATTTTACTCTACACAAAAACTATAATTTGAACGTTATAGGTTATTTTGATGCCCTTTATAATGCTTGCTGTCGTAATTAACTATACCTATGGATTGAAGCTTGACGTTTAGTTTGTATTTTTGTGTGTAATAACATGATTTTTACTCGATTAGTTCTCGAAATCGTACATCGTTATTCGAATGCATGACGGTTATCGATTTTAAGTATTCGATTTAGATACTATAACTATTATTATAGGTAGGTAATTTAAAATGTGATTTTTCTATCACACATTTTGACTTAATTTTTTAATTTACGACGATTTTGACACAGATTATAATATTTAAAAGTAACTTTAAAACTTCAATTATAATTGGTATGACCATAGTAAATATTAATTTAGAATTAGGGATATATTTTAATATTTCGTTTATCAATAGGTTTCTCATTAAACGGAGAATTACTAATGGACGCTTTGGGTGGAGAAACGACATTCGCCGATGTACAGGGTGATAATTTTGTACCGGCTTGCACTCTTGGAGTCGGACAAAAAGCAAGGCAAGAATACTATTTATTAATAATATAATAATATTAACGTAAATATTTGACATTTTAAATAATACTATTTTTTTCAAATTCTTTCGCGTATTCTCTCTTGATCACATTTGCTGTAAAACTTTCGGAACGTCGAGGACTAAAATGTAAAATAAAACCATGAAAAAATTTAGATTTTTTTTAATAAGAATAAGACATGTGTAATTAATTTCTTACAATAAAAATAATATTTTAAAAGTTTTATATATTTTTAGGCTGTCGTATGGTCAGGATGTTAACTCTTTGAAATATTTCACAACGTGTGGTCTTCAAGAAGGCTATGAACCGTTTTGTGTGTAAGTACATATTTTTTTACAGTACAATGCTTCGTGTTGCATCTAAAAATATCATTAATTTTAATAGGAACTAGTGATCTTCTCTTGCTTTGCTCGAATAGGGAAACCTATTTTATGAAGTCCTCTGCATTTATAAAATTACGGACGTTCTCACAAAAGATGAATGTAATAATTTTTCTTTATTTAATTCACCAAAATGATGATTTTGTTGATTGAGATTTAAATACCGGTAGCTTTTTTTCGTATTATCCTTATAAATTATAGCTTGTAATCGCTCTAGATAATTCCTCTATGTATAAGTGATAACCATATAAAAATCGGTACAGTATTTTCCAAACACAAACGCAGTGCGACCGTGGACTACATGTATAGCATGTTGTGATGATAATAATTAATCGGTAAACTCTTTCAGTAATATGAAACGTGACGTCACGCATTGGTATACAAAGGACCAACCGATATTCGAAAACACAGATGAAATGGCCGACACTAGGATAGATGTTACTAGAATACCTGCTGGATCTGGTAAGTTGAAAATAAATCGAGTCTTTTATTATATTTAGCACACAAGTTGTTTACGCTTCTAAAAGAGACCAAATATCATGATGCCAGTAGATTATTATTTTGTAATTTTTTTAAAATTTTTACCATCTTATTGATGAAAATCGTATAAAATACGTTCTGTAGTTTCTCAGAACGAACAAACACAAATTCAGCTGTAATTTATAATGTATAGTCCGTATAGTGATTATGTGTTAATCTATAATAAATAAATTAATATAAACCATAATCTATATGTATTCTACATTTTTAGATACTCCCCCATGTCTAAAGATTTCCCATAATACTTTCGAAACGATGGAAAAAGCGAACTGGGAATTCCTTCGTCTCTCCTTGCCCGTCATATGTCAAGCTGAGTTTATTGAGTGAGTAACATTTCTTATTACAATATGCTCATTGCTTAATATCTAAGATAGTAAAAATAATAAATTTAATATTTTTGTGATTTTAATGGCAATCTTAAGTTTTCCAGAGTTTCATATGTATTTTTATAAAAGCCGTATAACATTCTTTTTTTTGGAGTTCCATAGCTAAAACGGAACCTTTATAATTTAAATGTGTCCGTATGTCACAGTCTTTTTGTGCGAATAATATTAGAGCTACTAAAATTTTGTAGGTGCGTGTTACATGTAATTTGATTGACAATTCTGTGGTGAAATAATAAAAGAAAAAAGAATAGGGGTGGCACTCCATATATGTAACTGAAGGGTCGAAGGAGTTCTTTTTTTTAATCTATATATGTAGGTATCTCAGAACAGATTTTAAAAATTCAAATAGAGATTTCACAGTGACTTTTTTGTTCACGCCAATTGTTGCAGAATTTTTGTTCACGGCAATACTTGCAGAATAATTTGCTGCAAAAGTCGTTAACATTCTGCTTTATATCATTATAAGTTTTGCCCGCGACTCCGTTCGCGTAGTTTATGCATGTATTAATAATTCCACTTCTAATGGCCTTTATATACCAATAAATAGGCCATTAAATACACATATATATATATATATATATATATATATATATATAAAGATATATATATATATTCTCAATTTCATATATGTGTTTATATATCAATGTTTGTGTGTAATATAACGTGTATTAAATGAAAAATATTTTAGTGAACAAGAAAAAGCGCGTCGTTGGGTCGAAATCAAAGAACGCCAACAGGTACTGATGAAGGAGGCGACAGAAGCTCAAATGCCTGCACACATCGACCAGATCATGAGGAGTGGTTTCACTATAAATGATATTAAAGGTATGTGATGTGTCCATTTTTGCATAAATTTGAGTATTCTATGTTAATTGAAAATGGATAAAGATTATGGAAATTGTTTTCACTTATGTTTTTCAGAACATTGTAAAATTTTTAATCATTTAGTGATATGACTACTTTTGTAATGTGATAACTATTTATATATAGATACTTTATCTTACTGTTAATTGAGTTTATTAAAAATACAGCGTGATAGATATTAGCGTAGTTAGTTTTTTGATAACAAAAATGTGTAAGTAACTTTAAATCCTGTAAATATAACTCGTTTTAGTGTCTATGTCTTTAAAAATACCCTGTTTTATACCCCTTTATGTTAGAGTTAATTTTCGCCCCTGTGTGACCCCTGTATTTTTCCAACCCCCTAAGGTCTGCACTATGATGAAAATCAAGAAGAAATGCCGCCTACAAAAGCTAAAAAACAACCGCCAAGACCCCCTCGAAAAGGTTCTATCCCTCGAGGGGTCACGATACAGAATTACAGTTTGCAACCAGGTTTTGTAGCTTTGTTCAGCATCCAATAACCTGTGCTTGGTCTTCCTTAACAAATATAACTCAAACCTTCTTCTTTTCGGTTTTATCTGATCTTATTAGTGCCAAGGATGGGACTTTGGTTTCTAATGTTGCTTTGTAATATTCAGAAGTTTCACTGAATTTCATCCACACATATTATATTAGAAGCAAGCCTTTATAGGAAAAGTGGTTTTTAATTAACAAAATTTTAAAACATTTCTTCCCTAATAATTTTACAATATACGTAATCATAACAGAAACATCAAACTCACTATACACCATAACTGCATTATTTTAAAGTTCAATTTTGCTTAAAGGTACGGTAAATGGAATGCACAGATCAACAAGTGAAGCGGAAATGTCGAAATACGAACTCGGTGTTCAAAACCAACCCGAGGACAAGAAGGCTGATAAGAGAGGAAGATCGCCTTTCAAGTAATAATTTAATCTTTACATAGCCTAATGTTCATTCATTATATTCATTATAGTTTTATTTTATTGTAAATGATAATTCGCATCATATTTTTTGTCAAGATTTTAATATTTATTATGTAATTACAAGCACCCGACAGAAAAAAAGTTCAATAAAAAATCATTATTCATACAAAAATACTATAGAAAAAAAAGCAAAATTTTTTCTCATGCAACACCGATCCAGCCGTTCTCAAATAATACTCTTACCAACGGTCAGCATTTCAATTTTATTATATTTATAAATATTTTGTGTAGGAAAAATCATAAAAAATAATATTTGTTTGTCAATTTTACAGATTTTTCCGAAGCAAACGTGCGGAGAGTGGTGATCGTGCAAAAACTCGTAAATCTAAAACACCGGATCCTTTAAGTGATACTGAAGTGTCTCCGGAACGTGGTATGAGGCGTCCCAATCCACAAATTAGAGTTTCACAGGTAATTTCAACCTTATGACCTAGACAATAAGGTCGGCTAAAGAAGATAAATAATTTCAATAAATAGTGATGAGAATGGAATTTAATGTTTTTTGTCATTTATTCCTTATCTATTTTTGGCCTATTTCGAATTATAATGTAAATTGCTTGCATTCGATTAGTTTGTAGATTTTTGGACTTTTTGGTTATACCTAAATCCAACTCCCTTGATTTTTTACATAAACCCCCCTTTAATATCCAGTTACTTGTTATGATTTGGATTTTTGAACCATTGAATTTTGCATTCGGTGTTGATATCTAAACATTGATATGTAATGAATTAAAACTGCATTTTGTTTTTGTTATTTATTTTAATGTGTTTTTTCTAAGGCGAATCAAAGGTATAATACGCAACCTAGGCAGAGTAGGCCCAATATATATGGAAGCCAGACCGGCTTAAATGTAAGTTTTATGTAAGAGTATGTCTGAACTGTCTTGGAACTTGGACTTTTTCTAACTTTTTTGTTTAATTATTTCTCTAATAAGTTTATTTTTACTTAATTTCTAACCTTAACCGTAACCGTACCGTACCGTAATTTAAGTTCTATCAGTTATTATGTATATTATGTATTTATATATTTTTTATATCTAATATTTATACGCAACAAGGTGTAACTTTTCTTTTAATTCGTGTGAAAGTAGAAATCTAGTGAAACTTAATGTACTTCTTATGTTTCTATTAGATATTAATGCTTATTTTGGATCTCAAAATTGTGCTAAATTGGCTTTTGGCTTATATAGATATTTCTCCAAAAAATGCCTACATAAAAATTATTTAGTAGAAATGGCGATGAGGACGTTTGTTTACAATAAAAGATTTAATAACGCTGTAAGAAATATAAACTTTTCATGATTCTATTAGACATCAATGCTTATTATGGATCTCAAAATTGTGCTAAATTGGCTTTTGGCTTACCTAGATATTTTCTCTAAAAAAACGCCTACATAAATACATACATACTTCAATAAAAAAGGCAATGACCACGATTGCTTAGAACTAAGTACAAGTTTTATAAGAGAAACTAGTGACGTAACTTCGCACGGCTACCACACAGTAGCCAATATATTACTTCAACTCATAGTCTGTCTGATGCTAAATTTCTTCTAAAATTCATTAATAATTTAAAAAGCATTGAGGAGCAACAAACATACACACACAAACAAACTTTCGCATTTAAAATAGTATTCAGCCTATTTTTAAAGTTCCACTGCTGGACATGGACCTCCCTTCAAAGCAAGGGGGGATCAGGCCATAGTCCACCACGCTTTCCTAGTGCGAGCGGACTGAGCAGTGAGCATGTCTTGCGAAAACTTGCTAGGTTCTGTCAGACGTGCAGGTTTCCTCAAGATGTTTTCTTTCACCAGAAACTAGTGGTAGTCATGTTAGAAATTATTAGTGAAAATATCAGAGGTTTGAGACCCGGGATTTGAACCCGCTTCACTCGGATTCCTAAGCGAGTGCATTACCACTAGGCTACCACTGCCTTATTATATATACTTATGAATTTGTAATACTAGACTGATATCGATTTCTTTCACAGACAAATCTAACAGTCACAACGCCGACCCAAGACCGTAAGCAGATGACAGCCGGGACGCTGCAAGCGGCCGCTACTGAGACGGTCGGCAATGAAATATTCGATGCTGATTGCTTGAAACTCATCAATGAGTATTTCTATGGTGTTAGGTATGTTGGAATTACCATTGTGAAATCGTTATGAGTATTAGTATATAGAATAATATACAGGTTCGATTTTATACTTAGTCAAAACATGAACAATCTTATATACTAGTGGCTTATATGGCGTTGCTACAGTTTAATAGGTCTTTTTAAGAAGGATAATTCCATAAAACATTGTTTTTATATAACTTTATTTGTTTTCGCGGTGCATGTTTATAAAGTTCCCAGTTGGTATGATTTTTTTCCAACACCTTCAACAATCATCGTCAATTGTATTCAGCCTTTTTTAACGTCCCACTGCTGGGCACTGACCTCCCTTCAGTACGAGGGGAATCAAGCCATAGTCCACCACGCTGGCCAAGTGCGGGTTGGCGGACTTCACATGTCTTTGAAAACTGGCTAAGTTCTCTCAGACATGCAGGTTTCCTCAAGATGTTTTCCTTCACCGTTAAGGCAAAGGGTAATCATGTTGGAAATGATTCGCACATGAAAATATCAGAGGTGCGAGACCCGGGATTTGAACTCGCTTCATTCGGTTTCCCAAGCGAGCGCGTTACCACTGGGCTACCACTGCATTCATCATCGTCATATTTCAGCCAATTTACATAAAGCCTTAATACAACTAAACTTTCCTCACGAATCACTCTGTGTGTTTTTGTGAAAATCGTCTGAAAAACCGTTCAGTAGTTTTTGAGGTTATCTCGTTCCGATCGACACACAGGTAGACGTGGCTTTATTTTATAATATGTAGTACTCAATAGATTGCAGAAGTAGTTGAAAAGTGAAAAATGTAGAATCATTTTTATTTGTTTTTTTTTTATTGGAATATAGTCTAATAATAAAAAAGTTATGGATAATATGAAATAATGTTTTCGTCTTTCCCAGGATTTTCCCTGGTCAAGACCCAACACACGTGTATATCGGCTGGGTGACCACACAGTACCATTTACATTCTAAGGACTTCAATCAAAACAAAGTTACCAAATCTTCAGTTATTATAACGGATGACTACGACCGTGTCATTGAAAGGTTGTGTTTTTTTTAATTCTAATGTTCAATATTAATTTACTATTGAAAATGTTTTTTTTTTATTTAACAATGCATATTTCTCTCCACTCTCCTGCAAAAGTCTTGTTTAAAAAATATTCTAACTTAATTTTCTAACATATGTTCACCATTTTCACCCCCTTAAGGGATGATTTTCGGGATAAAAAGATCTTATGTCCTTTCCAGGGTCTCAAACTATCTTCTTACCAAATTTCATTTAAATCAGTTCAGTAGATCCAGAGATTATCCCCTACAACGTCACAAACTTTACCTCTTTATAATATTAGTACAGATAATAAAATTGTCTTTCAAATTCAGCGTAAATCGCCAATCATGCTACATGGTACGAGCAGATGAGTTATACAACGAAGTTATGGCTGAAGCAACAGCCAAAGGCGCATCACAAGGCATGTTCATCGGCTGCTCTGTGGACACCTCCACAGGTACCGTCGCCTTCACTTGCGAAGGGAAAGACAATAGCATCAAGTTTAAGGTTAGTTTGTGTTGGAATAGTAAACAAAATATTTAAGTGTAATTTTCTAAATGAACAGTTTAAACTTGTGGCGGTTGTGTGCCTAATTTTTTCTTTTATATTTAAAATTGTCATGTTCCATGTCGCTGTAAAAAGTATTACCGGACAATAAACGTTGTTAAATTTTCTATTTTATTATAATTGATTTTCTACACTTTGTTTTGTGGTTGGACCATGGTCTGTCATCGAGTAAAGGGAAATAAGGTTAAATAAATGTCTGGACAGATGTCGTTCTGGATTTATTGTTTAAATTATCCTTTATATGTATGTTTTAATTTCAAAAACTTAGAAAGAGGTAGAAATAATGAGTTTTAATTGTCATAATTTACCAATGTTACTGATGATTCAAAAATCAATCAGCTAATAATGTGTTGTGTATTCATAGATTGCCCTTTTGTTTATATTTTCCATTTTTTTTTTTATTTTGGTAGCACACATTTTTATAAAATAACCTAATGTGACAATTTTGGATAAGCGCCATCTATCGTTTATACTGACAAAACAAAATATCCCAAATTAAGCTGTCCATTTTTTTCTTTTCGGTTTTCGATCATATTTAATTTTAAGATAGTATAAGGTAAAAGAAGGTAAAAAGGACTTAATATCTGCAAACAATTGTATAAGCGTAGTTCATAACTTCGATATAACAAACAACAATTCAACAATATAACCAATATAGAAACCTCTTTATCTTGCAGATGGAACCCGAAACAAAGCTGTTCCCGGCGATATTTGTAGAAGCAACATCAAGGGAGATCCTACAAATAGAACTAGGGAGGTCTTCAACCAGCTTACCTTTGAGTGCTGCCGTGCTGCCTACTAGTGACAAACACGTCAACCCACAGTTCCCGCCCAGATTGAAGGTGCAATGTCTGAAACCACACCAGTGGGCTAGGGTATGTGGCTATATCTATTTTATATATGTATGTATTTGTGTGTATGTATGTATATAGGGTATCTTAAAAATTTTACGGCCTTAAAGTTTCTAACTACAGCCAAATCCACACAGATATGCTTGAAAAGTCGGTAATATTGTTTGCTTCTCACCTTCCAACTTATTTATGCAATATACTTATGATTTTCTACCCTATACTTCATAGGGTGGAAAATTATAAAAAATGAGATAGATATTATATTTCTTAAGATAAAGATAGTTCCAAAGTAATTTCGCTAACGTTAACGTTAGTTATTGATGCTGAAGAAGTAAGCTAAAGTTTAATGAGTATTTGTTTTATAAGTTTATTAAAAATTCTTTAAAATTGCTGATTGTCTATATAAGTTAATTTTATCAGAACTGTGTCTTGCGAAAGCTATAGTATAGAAAAATGTTAATTATCCCATACATAAATCTAATTTGTGACCTTCAAACTCAAAAAACCACCACTTAAAAACGATTCTTATATATTTTTCCAAAACAATTTTAGGTGCCAAACCAATCGTTACAAGTCCACGCCTTAAAGCTATCGGACATTCGAGGTTGGTCCATGCTTTGCGAAGACGCCGTGTCGATGCTAGCTCTACACATACCTGGTATTATAATATTTATTTTGTATTTAAATTTATTATTACTAATTTCTTTAACAGGATTTATTGTTTCTATTGAAATAAGATGTTCTTGAAAATGGTGATTACATTCTATGTAATATTCTTTAATATATAATTTATTGGTTAAATTAAAAATATATTATTTAGACATTATTTTGAAAGAAAAAACATTCGTTTAATCTGATGGAACCATTGCTTATAATTAAAAGTATAATAATTTTGAATTTGGATTAACGTGTCCCATATATTTATATGTATAGGACATAATTTATTAAAAGTTGCAATTTTTTTAGTTTTTTTTTTAATATTATATTTATTTTATTATAGAGGAGGATCGTTGTATCGATATACTCGAATTAATCGAAATGGACAAACTATTAAGTTTCCATTCTCACACACTGACGCTGTACGCGGCGCTTTGTTACCAAAGCAATTACAGGTGAGGCAAACAAATGAATTTATAACAATTAATGAATTCTAATAAATTTTATCCGAAATCATTTTATAAGTGGGAATAAATAGGCTATTTTCAGCTATTGGCTATATTAAGATTGTTATTTGTTAGTATCTTTTGTAATATAGAAAGCTTAACCGATTTTCAAAAATGTTGTAATAACTTGTTGTGAAAATGGGGCCATCAAACAATTGACATATTTTTTATCTTAAAACGTGATTCCTTAAGACTTTTCGTATGTCTGAAACGTCGATCAAAAAGTACTAGATACGCAATCCTATGCAAAAATTCTCCTAAAGTTGTAATGTTTAGGTAATTATTGTAGTTTAAATAAATATACAACAATGTAAATTGTACCTTAAATGCAATGTTTAAAGTTGTTTCAAATTCTTAAATGAGCGCTCATTCGGTGAGGTCACTTGTTGTCGCTGATTGTGCATCTAGTACTTTTTTGATTGATGGGCTGAAATAAAGTATTTTTTTTAGAGAAATGGTGTTTTGAACTTATTTATGGTGTTTAGTATATTAACAAGAAAAAAACTGTGTCAACTAACTGTATAATCTGTACTAACAAATAGCGTTTAAAAAAAATAAAAAGTAAATAAAAAAGCGTGTAGTTTATCGATTGAGCGAACGTCTCTGCTTTAAGTCATGCAAAATTTGATTTCCTCTGTCACTCTATTGGTATTCCTCTACAGGTCGTTTTTAACAACCAATCTGGACGAAACGTGGTATGCAGGTTTTACGACTTTATAGATGTTTTTTGTCGTCTGGGATTTTTGATTGGACTTCCTCTAAAAAGGAGGCTACTAGATATTTCCATCTTATGAGATACGATTTCCTTGGTTCTTTTTTTTAATTGAAAGGTAGTTAAACTTAAAGTTGGTCTCATAAAAATTTAGTGATTTTGTTCGCGAGATTTGCTGTTCATAGAACTACTAGCTTAGCTACTAGGTGCTTCATCACGGACTGACTACACTGACGCTTACATTAAATTGACGATACAAAAGCACTTGTAATAAATCTAGTTGAATAAAGTTCTTTTAGATTTACGCGAATATTTGACATTTTAAATAAAACTATCTTTTCGAAATATTTCGCGGATTTATTTTGATTTTTGGTTCCCATTTGTGTTTTGGTGGGAATCAAAAATCAAAATAAATCCGCGAAATAATCCGAAAAGATAGTTTTATTTATAATGAGTAAAGTTTATTTCATTAATTTTAATATATTTATATCACTACTAGAGCTGCGCATGCGCTGTGCCAGCACGTGGACCAGAAACAGCTGCTATACGCGATCCAGTCGCAGTACATGTCGGGCCCGCTGCGCCAGGGCTTCTACGATCTGCTCATCGCCTTGCATCTCGAGTCCCATGCTACTACTATGTGAGTGTATTGTATGGAAGCAGGTTTATGTGTTAGTTGTCAAAAATTGATGGCCGAATAAAGTCCTCTATTCTAGTTATCTTTATGGGTAAGTCTCATGTCAGTGAACACGCAAATGATCAAACTATGGCTTGATCTTCTTTGACTTGATAGAAGGACTGCAATGGTAAAGGGGCAAAATTATTAGAAATCATTCTTATTATAAGTTCTGTGGGATTTTAAATTTTGCTTAATATGTAATGTGCTATCTCATCTATTTGGGATATCAGCTATTTTAGCTATTTTCCTTTTGTTATTATTTACCTTTTATATAATACTAGCGGACCCGACAGACGTTGTCCTGTCTACACGTCTTTAATTTAAAAATTTCAAACTTTTTTTAATAATTTTTTTATGAAAATTATTATTCAAATTGTGAATCTAAACTATTCCCAGATCCCCTTGAACACACACAAAAAATTTCATTAAAATCGGTCCAGTCGTTTGAGAGAAGTTCAGTGACATACACACTCACAGAAGAATTATATATATAAAGATTATATACTCGAAATATCGGAATTCTTTCTTGTTCTAGTGTTAAAGGTAACTGACAGTATATATAGTACATTTATTAGGAGTATAAGCTGTAATTATGCTCAATTCATTATTAAATTTTGTAATTTTACAATTAAAAGTAACAATCAGATATATCAATACATAATATATACAGATAAATAAAATTGAAGTGTCTCTTTGTAATATCAAAATAATATCTTTTTACTAAATGCATATGGAATAATTTATATATGGTATTTATAAGAAAAACACATTTTTTTTTAATTTTAGTTATATTTTTACTTAAATGCTTTCTTGTTGTGTCTATTATCATATTAAACTTTCTTTTTTCTAGGGAAGCGTGTAAGAACGAATTTGTGATTCCACTAGGACCAGAACTGAAGGCGTTGTATGAAGGCACGGAAATGAGACACAGTCTGAGGTCGCTGCAGACGGAGAGTGTGAGACCGCAAATGAAAATGACTGATATTGCGTGAGTATATTTCTTAAGAAGAAAATATAATATTTGGTTAATTATTGTATTGTGTTTAAAGTTACAGAGTTAACGGAAATGCGTCGCCTTTATGCTTGTTTGTTCGAACTACCAATGCTTGTTGTATTATACAGTAGAGATATTTTAAGAACAAAGGTTTATTGAATTGACATGTAAAAGTCAATAATTTTGTATTAAAAACTTTTTCGGTAAAGTGGTCGTTTGAACGAATAACGTCTAATGGTATAAAATGATACTTAATAGTACTCTTATTATAAATTTCGATACTTTTCATATTTCATTTTGTTTTCATTTGTGAGTAAATAACCAAAACTATTATAGTTAGTTACATATGTTTGGAATATTTTCATTGCAATTTGTTTTTTACATTACATGAATTTTTCACAATGTACTGTTATATTATCAATTTTTTCCACCTTTTCCAACAGTGAGAGTATAACAGAGATCGGCAATCTCTACTCACCGTACTTCCCATTGGAAGTGGTGAGAGAGTTCGTAATGCAAGCCTTAGCAGAAGCTGTGGAGACCAACCAAGTACACAACAGGGACCCTGTGGGAGGCAGTAATGAAAACTTGTTCTTGTACGTGTTTGTGTTAAATATTATTATAAATATAGATAATAATGTCCTAATGGCCGATTTCGGACACGATGGCCATTCTCACTGAGACTAGCCAACTACAGGAGATGTTATAGTGCACAAGTGAACAACCCAAGACTCGAATCCAGGAACTTTGAATCTGCAGTCGTAAATTCTAGCAACTAGACAAACAAGGCAGTGACAATAAAATATTATCATCAAACTGTACTTGTTTATTAATTTTAGCCCTTGTTAGATTTTTGTCTTATGTATGTATATAAAGGCAGACAGGCTATTTAGTTATAGTGTGATTTTTATCTGTGGCTTATTCTATTATTTTTTTATTAATTAATCTAAATTGTTTTCACATTTCACACATACATTCATAGTCTCATGACTATATTTACTCTAAAGCATTTGAAACGTTGGGAACGAAAATATAAAATAAACCCGCGACAAAATTCGAACAGATAATTTCATTTAAAATATTTTAAGCTATTTTTGTTTGGTGGAAGTGTATAAATGTGTATTTTTCAGACCACTAATTAAGCTGGTCGACCGCCTGCTACTGGTGGGTATGATGCGTGATGAGGACGTAGAGAAGCTCCTCATCATGATCAACCCTGAAACTTGGGATCCCACTTTTGATAAAGGTACGGTTTTTTTTATCTCTTTATTAAGTTCACTAACAACTTAACATTTACAAAAACACAAGAAATAATATGAAAATTACAAATCTAAAATGCAAAGCCTTAGAGCCAAAATTACATGTAAACAACATGCATCACTTAAATATATAATACTTAGGCGGTAAAAATAATCATTATATTATAATTTAAATTTTTTCTATAATGAAGACAAAAAAAAACATTAAACATTAAATTATGTACATTTTAAGCATGAACGAATTAACCACTGGACCAGACATATAAGCGGACGTACCTTTAACGGTCATGTCAGTAACCAGGGAATTTTAGCCTAGGTCGTTTGTTTTTTGTGTCAGTCTCAAGCGCTTACTTGTCAACAAAACATCTCCCAAAAATGACTAAATGTTCTGTTAAATGGTGTAAAAACTATAACGGCGGAAGCAGCACTATTTTTTTTCACTTGTAAATACATTATTTTATTACATTTATTGTTATTTATCACAAAATTTAATTAAATGTAAAATAAAATGTCATATTATCCAACTATGTTAAATATAGTCGATATTTCTATGTATTGTTGACATCTGACAACCATCATATAGGGGCTGGATTATACCATTCAGAACAAATGACAAAACTGTCGAGTGAGTCCATTTGACATCGACTAGTGCTTGACAATGTCGAAAAATATATCGATATTTGACGAAATAACTCAACGAATTGTGTTATTTGTACAGTACAATAACATAAAATACTTCTATCACAGTATCCTACAATCTGATGACAATAAATTTATAAAAATATTTTCTAAATCAAATAAAAATATAAATGCAAAAATTATAATTAGTATGTGTACTTAATTTTTTACTTTATTTTATACCACATTTATATTTACTTTGGAATATTATTCCATTGTAATAATAATAAAGATCATTTTATTTCAACACATAAATTACACAAAATCACACAATAATGTTTTAGCACTAAACTTCTGGGTTGGCGATTTGTAATAAAACACTTTACCACTTGCACTAATTAATTTACTTTTACGATCCCACACTCACTTTTTCACAATTTGCAATCACTTTTTCTTTTTCCTAATTTCACAAATGTTTATTAATAACTGAGCAATATTAGGACAGTATCACATTTTTATAACTACCCGAGACAATCAATTGCTAATTAAAATAGTTCAATAACAGAATCAACAAAGTCACTTTATTTAATTAAATTACCTTAATATTTTTTAATCCTTACAAAATAATATTTATTATATATTACTGGAATATACACCCGATATTCATTTGTTTATTAACATTATTATAGGCCAACAGAATGTTGCCATCAATGCCATCGTATTTATATAAATCAAATTAAAAAATAATTATTATTTGACACATTATTATTGCCTCTTTAATTCATTTATTTTAATTTATTATAATAAATACAGATATTTTAAATTAAAAGATATAAAATATGATGACTATGCTAACCAATGTCTAAAATGTCATTCATTGGTTCATCGATATATGTATTTTATCGATTACGTTCAAGCACTAGAAATATTGTATTGTGTATCAGTGTTAATAATAATGTAATAAAATCTTTGTGTGCGTTAGGCGTCACTTGGTTGAACTAGTTTTCATACATTTGTATTTTATGTCAGGTCCAGTCTCTAATTCGTCCATGATTTTAAGCTACAATTATATTAAATTAATACTTCTATTATTAATTTTCGAATTGGCACTAAATAATTGAAACAAATAAACTTTCAGTAGTGTTTCTAAGTATACATATATTCACAATCATACACATTTGAAAATCATTACGTCCATCAAATTATTACTAATAGCATAAGCGAAGAGCGAGCGAAGTCGCGGGCTCTGCTAGTTTCTTATAAAATACACGACTATATATTTATATTGGAACTTTTTTCATTTACAGAAGGTAAAGACGAGCACAGAAAGGGTCTCCTACATATGAAAATGGCCGAAGGTGCCAAACTACAGATGTGCTATTTGCTTCAACATCTTAACGACATACAGCTAAGACACAGAGTGGAGTTCATCATTGCGTTTGCGCACGATTTTGTTGGTGATCTACAGACTGATCAGTTGAGGTAAGAATTGGAAAAAAAATAACCAATCTATTGAAATATTTGATGGGTTAAATGTTTTCCAATTTCTTCCTATGTTGAATTGGACATTTTTAAACCAAAAATTGAAGTTTCGATCTCATATTCGTTTCTCCTTTTCTCTCTCTATCTTTTTCTTTTTCTCTATAGGTGCAAAAAAATAGCTATGAACTGGAATTTGAAATATTTAACTCTATATAAACAATACATCTTGAACTAGCATCAGTATAGCTTTGCTGAAATTCTGTAAATTATGGTAAAAAATAACCTTTTACATTCAGAAATAATAAATTTGAATACTATCTTAATATTTTCAGACGTTACACAGAAATCAAGCAGTCCGACTTGCCGAGTGCAGTCGCCGCAAAGAAGACTAAGGAATTCCGCTGTCCGCCTCGAGAGCAGATGAACGCCATACTCAGTATGTTAATCTTACAGTACAATATTGTACACAATTATTATTTTAAAAGAGTTATTGTGACTTTATTTACAAAAAAGAAAATTACAAATATACTTAATTATATATACAAAACATATGTACACTTAGTTATTACTGTACAAGTCTTGTCCGCGTGGAATAGTGGCAAGAATGCTAGCCGCATTCCCCCGTTGAATGGCAATGCCGATTCTTTGGGCTAGCTTCTAGCTACTGTTGAGTTTCTCGCTAGCTCTTCTCAGCAGAACTGCTTTCCAAGCCGATGGTAGATTACTCACGAACTGTCTACACTGACATGTAATTTAAATTTTAAATATATAAATAATATTTATTATGTATGTTAAAGTATATTTTGATTTGATTAATATTATTAACAGTAGCCTATGTGCTACTCCAGGTCGTAGTCTATCTGTGTACTATAATTTAATCCAAGTCTGTTCAGTCGTTTCAGCGTAAAAGAGATAAACATACAAATACATAAAAATATATATTATTTATAGCGTCGTTGGTCTAATGGTTAGCAGGTAAGACTACACATCCTGAGGTATTGGTAATGGGTCGGGCTGAGTATATGTAGTTATCTGGTTTATAAATGGAAATCAATGGTGTTCAACCCTCATGTTGAGTGAAACTGCCAGTACTGCACTTGATATATTGTCAAATCCTTGCCTAAAAGGGAGACTATTTATTTTCTGGCATAATACTTTCTTAGATTTACGCGAATATTTGGCATTTTGAATAAAACTATGTTTTCCTTTGAGACATCTAAAATAATCTCTCCCGTGATCATGTTTGCTATAAAGCATTCGGAACGTCGAGAACTAAAAATCAAAATAAATCTGCGAAAAAATCCGAAAAGATGGGTTTATTTAAAACGTTTTATCGTAGTTCCACCTGTTTCTCTAACTTAGAAGAATTACTGCGTTCTCGTAATTCATAATGTGATGTAAGATAACCTTCTTTAATAAATAGGTCATAAAGGCCCAGTAGATCGGAAATTTAGTCCGTTCAGACAAACTAACAAACTCTTCAGCTTCATATATTAATATGGATATAACTAGCAACAAATTGTCTTATTTCAGGTTTCAAACATTTAGAAGACGATGACCCAGAAAACTGTCCATGTGGGGAGGAGCTCGTGGCGACCATGAATGATTTCCATGAAAGTTTGATGACGCACGTGTCTCTGCATGCTTTGCAAGAGCCCGATGGAGATGTAAGTCTTCCATATTACCTAACCCAAAGGTTGTTTGGAAGAAATCGCTAATTTACGATAAGGCCATCTTTTGTGCACGTTCTTTATACTTTTTCTATTTTTATTATGTCAATATAATAATATTGATAATGACTTATAATAATTATTTATATTGGTCTTTTAAACCGACTTCCAAAGGATAATAGATATATGCTATTGCACACTTTTCTGTAGGTCTTTTTAAGATTTACAAATTATTAGTATATTTTATATATCCCTTAAGATTTAGTCAGCGTTGTTATGTAAACTAAAGTCGACTCGACAGAACTAGCTATTGTATTTTCCCGTGGGAATGAATGATTTTACTGTACAAAAGGAAGGTATCTTAAATGTTGATCTGAATAATAAGTTATCACAACACAAAATTTAGTTTTGTTCAGACAATTTCCGTTCTTAAATATTATACATTGAAATTGATTTCTAAGAATCTGAGAAAACTATTGAGATGCCATTATGTGCGATTTAAAATGAAAAATAATTAAAACACTTAGACCTAACGTAAAAAATATCAATTACAATGTACTTCTAAATGGAGAAATATTGGAACCGATATAACTTTTTAATAGCAAATTATAGTTAACAAAATTACTTTGTAATAAAATATATATTATACTTTTTTCTAGGAATCGACAGAACCTGAAACAAAATCAGGCGCAATGGGCAAGCTGTACAATATAATTAACACTGTAAAGGAATTGGAGGAAGAACCAAAAGTAAGACTAAACTAAATATGGAAAATTATTAGACATCTCTTCATTCAAGTGCCTTAATTTAGTTGTATTTGAAGTGAAACTTCTTTAGGCGCAGCATAAGAGGGAAAAAAGTATTGGCTATCGCCATTATTTGTATTTTGTAACGAAAACAGTTGTTACGGAAGTTCATAAATAGTCAATTAAAATTTATTTATAGTATTAAGTTAATAAAAATTCGTATAATTTTTTAAAAAATAGATAAAAATAGACTTGTAACAAATAAAAAAAAACTTCTTTCATTTATTTTTAAATGAGCGATGGAATCATATCGAATGAATATTGTTACAAAATTATTTAAAACATAAATTGAATTTCATGAAAAGTACCGATAACCTACAAAAGTTTTAAGTTATTGCGCGTGATTTACATCCACTCTTTCATATATATTTTTTCGGTTTATTTGGATTTTAAATAATGTATTATTCATATTTTAGGCAATAGAGGAGCCAGTAAGGAAAACACCAGAAGAGAAATTCCGAAAGGTGCTCATACAAACAATTGTGAGTTGGGCGGAAGAATCCCAGATTGAAACGCCTAAGCTTGTTAGAGAAATGTTTAGGTAAAATATTATGCTTATTAAGTGATATACTAAATGCAAAAGTTTGGATATATGTGTTGTATGTTTGTTACTCGTTCACTCTGAAACAGTTGGGTGGATCTGAATAAGCATACAAATAAATTGACTTGTAATAACACAGGTTTCTATTAATAATAAAATTTGCCAATAAGTGGCGCTGATAGTTTGCCAAAATGTCGAATTACCCTTGATTCGTCCGGTGCTTTCCTAATGTTGAATGGCTTAGGAACGCATTTAAGACAGAAGTCCAAAGCAACATTCTTTTTTTTTGGTCCAGTAACTTCCGTAGACATATACAGAATAATCTACCAGAGCTTCATCACAATCGGACCAATGGCTTAGAAACGCATAGAGGATTAACATATGAACATTCATTTTTTTGTATAGATAGACGATAAAGAAATGATGTTTGAGTATTAAGTCTCAAAAAGCACCTATTGAGGAACCCAGACGAAGCGAGGCTTAGCTACTTACTTACTTACTCTTATAAGTTATAAAGATAACTATAAATAAATAGGGTCTCGATGGAATGTCCCATCAGTAACATACATCCATATATTAGAACATCCCTTCATAAAAATCCACTACCTCTCAAAATCAAAAATACTCCAAACAAATGTTTTCAGTATTCTTTAAACTTCATTTAAACTTTCAGTCTACTCGTCCGTCAGTACGACGCAGTCGGCGAGTTGATACGAGCGTTAGAGAAGACGTACGTGATAAATGCTAAAACAAAACTCGATGTAGCAGAAATGTGGGTCGGATTAAGTCAGATCAGAGCATTGCTACCTGTGCAGATGAGCCAAGAAGAAGAGGAACTGATGAGAAAGCGGTTATGGTATGCATGTTTATTATTTATGGTCTTTTCCTTTCTGGCCGTTTTAAAATATGGAATTTCTTGGCCGTCTAGTAGCAACAGATGATACTGGGATGAGTCCTGGGTCGGGCCATGTAGAGTTATTGGCATTTTAAATCACTAGAGATGGTCATATTATTGTATAGCATTTTGTAACTTCGGGAACCAAAAACCAAAATAAATACGAAACGATAGTTTTATTTAAATTGTCAAATATTCGTGTAACTCTAAGAAAGTGTTATAGTTATTGAGTTTGTTGGCTAAAAAATTGCTAATGGCAGAGAAGAGCTGGAAAGTTGGCGGTGTTACACCTCTGTCAGAACACATAAAGCAGTCGGTTTTACGCCTAATGTCTCATCTGACTATGAGAGTGCGCATTATATTTGCTCTCTCCTTCACACATTTGTTATAATATCTCCTGCAGTTAGCCAGTTTCAGTAACATTTGGAATCGATCAGGAAGATATTTTTATTATTTTTTAGTTGTTTCTTACATCTACAGTTACAAAATAAAATAAAAACTAATAATTATTCATTTACTTTCAGGAAACTTGTGAATAACCACACGTTCTTCCAGCACCCAGATTTAATAAGGTAAGTTGATAAGTAGATATTATAAGAATTAGTAAAGAGTAATTGTTTATGTATATTTTACAAGCTTTGATTTATATTTCTTAAGAAAAATAAAAATTAGTTATTCGGGTAGAATTTTTTGGTATAATAATCATGTTTGAAATAAAAAATATACATATTACTTCTTTTAAATTTAAATTGAACTACCAGTAAAGTGTAACACAATCTTTACAATTGAGATGCACATAATGGGTAGAAAATGATCGTGATTTCGTCAGTTGCATCCCAGTCCCTATGTCGTAAACAAGGTATTTTACGACTTACGAGTATACGCGTTCATTAATTTAGGATATATTGTTATTTTTGTATAATTATGAAATGCGAGAATTTATAATGTTTATTCTGTTCTACTGTATATAAATAATATGTATAAATACTCGTGTAGAGTGCTCCGCGTGCACGAGAACGTGATGGCGGTGATGATGAACACGCTGGGGCGGCGCGCGCAGGCGCAGTCCGACGCGCCCGCCGCCGCGCCGCCCAGCGCTGAGGACAAGGAGAAGGTGCGTGCTTGTGTCTGTATGTGTGTGTGCGTGTTTATGTGCTGTTCCCGCCCCGACGGCAAGCTTGCCGAATTTGCTCCAAAGGTCCATTCTGCTATTGCTATATATTCTGCTGCTGAGAAGTACCAGGAGGTGGGCCGCCTCCGAGTGTGCTTTTTGGCTTCACGCCCGGCTGGGTTGCCGAACACTAATAAGTCCCCACTTCGACAAGATGAATTCACATTGGGGGGATATAGATTATGGTCTGGAGTAACACATAGTCTACTGTTAGGTAGCTAAGGACAGAGTCAAGCGACGGTTTTGGCTAATAATAAATAATTAACTCTAACTAGCAATTTTTTGATAAGCAACTGACAGATTTGATTTGATTCTATAAACTAACTATGTTTTTGATATAACAGGACACTTCACACGAAATGGTAGTTGCGTGCTGCCGTTTCCTCTGCTACTTCTGCAGGACCGGTCGTCAGAACCAGAAGGCTATGTTCGATCACTTCGACTTCTTATTAGAGAACTCCAACATCCTTCTATCGAGACCTTCTCTCAGAGGATCTACTCCTTTGGATGTAGCTTATTCGAGTTTGATGGAGAATACTGAACTTGCTTTGGCTTTGAGGTTTGTATATTTTGTGGATAATTTTATTATTATTTCATATTTTATTTAAGGTGATTGAAAGTTAAGGATGAAATATAACGATTGATAAGGTGATAATACCAGAGTATATTAGCGACACAGTCTCAGTACATAAAGTGATCAATGAAGAAAATTTTATACAAATGAGAAGCCATCTTTAATTAAGAATGTAATCTTTTGTATTCTTATCAATAAGTAATATGTAGAAGTTTTTAATAAAATTAAAGTAAATTATGATTTACCGTGTTTTTGCGCTGAAATATCAAAAGTTCAAATGTAGCAGTAACATTTTAAGGAATACAATAATCTTATGGCCCTTACAAAAAGAGCTTAATATGGTTTATTCTCCATTTTAACTTTTTTTATAACTGCTATCATTTTAACTCTAATTTTTTATGTGAATATATAGAAAGAAAATATCTATTACATTGACTTTCAACAGGGAACACTATTTAGAGAAGATAGCTGTGTACCTCTCACGTTGCGGATTGCAAAGCAACTCTGAATTAATCGAGAAAGGATATCCAGACCTTGGTTGGGATCCGGTGGAAGGTGAAAGATATCTGGACTTCTTAAGATTTTGTGTTTGGGTAAGATTAATTTTTATAACTATTTGTAGATATTTTATAATATTCCTCGATCTAAAAATGATGAGAAAATGTTCTTTGTCTTAGAAGTTATTTAATATTTTTTTAAGCTCTTTATTCTCCTAGTTCATTGCTCTTATAAAGCTTAAACAGTAGCTCATTTTTAGCAATTTTTATTATTAGCAAATTCTGGAAAATAAAACATAGTTTAGATTTCTCACTTCCAAACATATGTATTTGTAATTTAATAGAGGTTTTTATTTCTCTTATTAAGAATATGCTGCATTTTTTTAATGAAAGTAATAAAACTATAATAATTCCCAATTTGAAACAGGTGAACGGTGAAAGTGTAGAAGAAAACGCGAATTTAGTAATTCGTCTCCTAATCCGTAGACCAGAGTGTCTTGGGCCAGCGCTGCGTGGGGAGGGTGAGGGCTTACTCAAGGCGATAGTGGACGCTAATAAGATGAGTGAAAGGATCGCTGATAGAAGGAAGCTGAGAGAGATGGAACAAGAAGGAGATATTAATGTGAGTGTTGAATTGAAAAGAGGAGGTTCTCAATGTGTTTTTCATCTATTTCTTGAATTATCCTATACTAGCGACTCACCGTCGCTTCGCTCGGGTTCGTCTTTTTAACTTTAAAAAAAACTTCAAAAAAAATCAAATTTGCATCCCCATTTTCGCTCCCTTAGGGGATGATTTCCGGGATAAAAAGTATTCTATGTCCTTCCCAGGGTCTTATACTATTTTCTCATTAAATTTTATCTAAATCGGTTCCGTAGATCCAGAGATTACCCCCTACAACGTCACAAACTCATAAACTTTACCTCTTTATAATATTAATATAGATTAATATGAATGAACAAACAAACATATGCCCCACCCGCAGTTCAGCCACCCGCTGCCACAGTCAGACGAGGACGAGGACTACATCGACACGGGCGCCGCCATCCTCAACTTCTACTGCACGCTCGTGGACCTGCTGGGCCGCTGCGCGCCCGACGCCGCCGTCATCGCTCTCGTAAGACACAGTGCTATGTGCATTGCTTACACACTTGTACTATACTATTGACGACACGTATGGCTCAGTTTGTAGTAACCCTACTTGCCATGCCAGCGGTCGCGAGTTCCAGTCCCGGTGGGGGGCATTCATTTGTGTGATGGGCACGAATATTTGTACTCCAATCAAGGGGCTTATTTTTATAATATGTATTTATTTAAAGCTATATATGTGTAGTGTATCAACTATCTGTCTCCCAATAACATTTTGAATTCTTCAAGAGTTGACATATGCACCAAATTTAATTTAGTGAAAATTTTACTAATGTGCGTTTTTTTACGCAGGGAAAGAACGAATCTCTAAGAGCAAGAGCCATTCTTCGTTCTTTAGTCCCATTAGAAGATTTGCAGGGCGTGCTCAGTCTACGCTTCACCCTTAATAACCCTGCCGCGGGCGAAGAAAGACCCAAGTCTGGTAAGTTTAAAAGATGTTTGCCTCATGCAAGAATCAAACCCGTTAGATTTTTCACGTAGTTCTAAGTAAACCACATAGAATAGGCTATACCCTCATATACATAGATGAAGCTTACATACACATATCACTATATATACATACAATTAACAATTTTCTCTTTAATGTCTTCTTATTCCATTATTATAATATATTAATATTAGCAATGCCACGTCGGCCAAACTCACAGACACTATTCATGAGCACTATTTATTTCACTCTCAAACTCCGGTAGGACAACAAAGCGTCATAACCGGTGAGATACCAGGCTTTCCTCGACATTCGGGTGTAGTACTACCAATTTCACAACTCATAGCTGTTACTTAAGATTTCTGTACAGAACACTTCATAACAAAACTTGGCCTGACCCGGCACTCGAACCCAGGACTTCCGAATCTGAAGTTGTACATGCTAAACACTAAACAAACAAGCCGATGGACTATTATTCATAAATAAACAAACCCTAACATATACTCCAGTTTTGAAGACATTTCAAAATCTCTTGAAATAAATAACGCATTATATTATAACAAATATAAATGTATAATTCAATTCAATTTTCTGTTTATGAAATATAAATGTAATCCTACTTCCAGATATGCCGTCGGGCCTCATCCCTGGGCACAAGCAAAGCGTGGGCCTGTTTCTAGAACGCGTATATGGCATTGAAACCCAAGAGTTATTCTACCGACTGCTCGAAGAGGCTTTCTTACCTGATTTGAGAGCTGCTACTATGTTGGATAGGGTGAGTTGATAAATATTCAGCTTTTTTTAACAATCCACTGCTGGGGGTGGGCTTCCCTTCATTACAAGGTGGATAAGGCCATAGTCCACCACGCCGGGCGAACTGAGCATATCTTTGAAAAACTTGCTAGGTTCTCTCCGACTTCTTCTTCTCCGACGGTTTCATTACGATGTTTTCCTTCAACGTATGATATGGGATAATATTATAGGATTACTAATATTAATGTGAAAGTTTGTAGTTGTTTGTTTGGTACTCCTTCGCGCTGAAATGGTTGGACGAATTTGTATAAAATTTAGTGCACAGATAGACTGAATGAATGATGAACTAGAGTCATAGCTCACTGTTAGGAACCTTAAGATACACCCGAGCGAGGATGTGACGCTAGTATATTTATAAGCCGAGCGAATTAACATGACACCTCGCTCGAACTCGAGGCTTCCCCCTCTGCCTCGCGCAGCGCCCCGCCGTCGCCAAAAAATAATAAAAAATAAATATTGTGAAAATAACAGACTCCAGGAAATCCATGAAAGAGAATTTATTATTTCTTTTGGAGGAGAAGAAAGCTCTTCAGAAAGTGAAAGTGAACAAGATGACAATGATAGTGATATACTCGTATATGGAATAAAAGAAATTAATGAATATACATACATTTAATAATATACATACATGCAAAAAATTAAATATTATTCATTTTCGTACGAGAAAGTGAAATGGAAACAAAATCTTTTTTGCACACTGTACATTGCACAAACGTCATTCGAGCCAGGTGCCATGTTGATTCGCACGAGTTATAATATATACCTGGTTATTTTATTTTTTTTGAAACGGGCACCTATTTTGTCGGATGCTAATGAGCTACATAATAAAAACATGCTTTTTCCAGAACGACGGCTGTGAATCGGACATGGCTCTGTCAATGAACAGATACATCGGCAACTCCATCTTACCGCTTCTCATCAAACATGCTAACTTTTACAATGAAGCCGAAAACTACGCTAGTTTGTTGGATGCCACATTACACACGGTGTATAGGTGAATAAATATCTTAGTTTATATCATATATACAGGTATATATACATATATTGATAGAAAATAGTGTGACTGTGTTTATAAATTCTTTTGCTTGACGAAATATACCATTTTTAGAAAATTGCTTATTTAGCACGTTCAGTAAAGTAACATTCTTGGAATTAAATATAGCTTAAGCATTTCAAATTTGCATCTATATATGTCGTTTTATAATAAAAAAAATATATCCTTCCAAAAGTCTTCCTTAAAAAAATACATTTTGCTCTCATTTAATAAAAGTAGTAACAAAATTTTGAGACAAAAAATTATCAAGTGCCGCGTGAAGTTGTTTCTTGAAGTTGTTAAAAGCAAAATATTTAAGCAACATTATTGCTACATTTATAAATGAAAAATATTAATTTGAGTCTCTTCCGTGACCAAGAGTGCTGTAAATTATTTGAAACGCGGGGAACCAAACATCAAAATAAATCCGCGGAAAAACCGAAAAGATTTTTTTTTCAAAGAAAATATATTTATAGGTTATCCAAATGATAGTTTTTTAAAAGAATAACATTATTATAGGTTGTCCAAAAACCGTATGCTAACAAAAGGCCAGCGTGAAGCTGTATCGGACTTCCTCGTGGCGCTCACGGCCGCCATGCAACCCTCTATGTTGCTGAAGCTGTTGAGGAAACTCACCGTGGATGTGTCGAGGCTCTCTGAATACACCACTGTTGCGCTTAGGGTGAGTTAAGTTTGATTATTTATTTAGGATTTTTTTTCAGTAAAAATCTTTTAGAGGTATTTTTTTATTTGTAAAATCTATATGTACTATTCTCTATTGCACTTATATGTAAAATACAGAGAGTAACAAACAATAAAATTAATTAGCAAAGGTGGACTTATCTCTAGAAGAGATCTCTTCCAGTCAACCTAAGTGAGTTAGAGAGATAGTATTAAAATGCAGGCTAAAGTGCAGTAACTCAAATGTAAATACTTAAATAATATATATTATATATACATATAACAAAATATTATACATATTATATACATAAATATATGTACATACTACTACATACACAAATACATATCTATATAATATAATGCATAATAATAGTAGTTAATATAATTATTGCCGATTCAAATCTTTGTCCCGAGATCTTTGAGATGAAAACTTAATTGGCATTTGACATTGTTTTTACTTTATTGATCGTGTAGTGTAAAATATAGGTATATGTATCTATTTTATTTAGGGATAGGGTGAAATTATATTGGGCTTTTACTGAAATATCTGTATTTCTATAAGCTAACGATAGATATATTAATGAAGTCAATAAATCATATGTTTACCCTCCATTTTGTTCTATACGAAAATAGTTTATATTTTCCATAGAAATATTCAATGACAATGAAGGCTCCATAAATTATGGGATTTGTTGAGTTAAAGTGTAATCTTTGTGGGTTTATATGTAAGTCCTGTAAAGTAGAAGTGAGACTCCATCTAATATTTCATATTTTAAGAGATTTAACGCTGTAGATCTTGCGCTTTTACTCTCACCGGTCATGTCTAATTGTACAGTTGGACTTTGAGAGCGAAATTAATAGAAAATACGTACATACTTATGCGCTAAAATATGTCTTGCGTATTTAGTTGTTTTTAATAAAATTGGCCTTAAATGAAATCGATTAGAAGATAATTAATATTATAAGAAACTAGCAGAACCCGCGGCCACGCTCACACTAAAATTACAAAAACAACCTCTAAAAAGGTACAAACTCTCATCCCTTATAGGATGAATAGGATGAATATTTATTTAATTTTATTGAAGAGCATTAATACCAAGTTTCAAGTAATTCTGATCATAAAAATTTATTTTGGATGGGATTAAAACGTATTTTCCCGTGGGAACTAGATGATCTTCCGCGGTAAAAAGTAGCCTGTCACTCTCCAGCCGTCTAACTATCATCTCTACACAAAAAGTCAAGCCAATCCGTCACTTCGTTTCGACGTGAAAGAAGGACAGACAAACAAACAAACAAACAAACAAACAAACAAACAAACAAACAAACAAACAAACAAACAAACAAACAAACAAACACACTTTCACATTTATAATAATATTAAGTATGGAGTAACACTTCTACATAACCTCCTCAGCTCCTGACATTACACTACGAGAGATGCGCAAAGTACTACGGCAGTACCGGCGGGCAAGGCATCTACGGAGCGTCGTCAGATGAAGAGAAACGTCTGACAATGATGCTGTTCTCTAACATCTTTGACTCGTTGAGCAAAATGGACTACGAGCCGGAGTTGTTTGGGAAGGCGTTACCTTGTTTGATTGCTATTGGTAAGAGGTTATTTGCGTGTTTTTATATGAAGATTTGTGGTAATTTATATTGTTTTTTTTTTTAATTTAAACTCTTTAAGATAGATGATTTGCAATATTCAGAAATATCCAATTGAAATAGTCAAAAACATCATCTAAAGAAGAAATTGTACTATATATAAGTCATATTGTTGTTTTGAGATAACAATTAAAATATAACATAGAAATACTATCTGGAAAAAAGTAACAAATTGCTGGATTATCATATATTTGAAAATAATTAGTTTTTTTTTTGTTTAGGTTGTGCTCTACCACCAGACTATTCTTTGATAAAGAATTACGATGATGAGTTCTATGGAAAAGAAACTCAAACTACAGGTAAGCTGTAACAAAGCTAATAAGCTCTTTAATTATTAATCTATACTATAATACAGCAATAACTTAGCGAAATCTAAACATGAAATATTTTTTAAAAGCAATGACTGTAACGTATTATGTACACAATATAGACCCCAAAACAGTAGTTATTAAAAATTTTGTGATTGTCTGTATGTCTGTTTATGTGCGCGTGTTTTTCGCAAAAAGTAATAAACCGATTTCAACGTGGTAAAGCGATAACTTATTCTCGGGTCAACATTTCGGGTCATATATTAAAGGCAATGTCGCGACTCACTGACTGACTTATCCATATTTAGCCTAAGCCAATGATGATAGACCAGCACCACAAAAAAGCCAGCTTTATATATCCATGCTAATATTAGATGTGAAAGTAACTCTTTTTGTCTATCTGTCCGTCCGTTACCTTTTCAAGTTTAACCGCTGAACCGATTTAGATGAAATTTGGTATGGAAATAGTTTGAGACCCTAGGAATGATATAAGATAGTTTTCATCCCTGAAAAAATCGTATATAAGGGGATGAAAAGGGGGGTGTAAGAAATGGGGAATCAAACATTTCTTAAGTAAGCTTAGTAAATAATATATATAATACATATAAAATAATACATAATATATAATGTCAGTTGCAGACAACCCGCAGTACGACCCGCAACCCATCAACACGTCGTCCGTCGCCCTCAACAACGACCTCAACACCATAGTGCAGAAGTTCAGCGAACATTACCACGATGCTTGGGCTTCTAGGTAACTGTTTCTGTTAAATTAAATCAAAATACACTCCATTCAAACAGATACATAGATATTTCAAGTCTTTTTCAATCAATTTTAGAAAATCTGTCCATGTAAGTCCGTGAGAAAGCTACCTGGTGTACATGTTTCTAAAATAGTTCCAATCCTCCTCGGTTGTGTAGTGGTTAGCATGTATGGCTGCACATCCGTAGGCCCTGAGTTCGGGTCTTTGGTGGAGCCAAGTTTAGTTATAGAGTCTTCCTGTTAAGAAAGTCCCAGTAACAGCCCAGAGTTGGGAAGTTGGCGGTGTTTTACCCCCGTGCCGAGGCAGAGCACGTATCGCGTCTGCACCTGATCACTCACACGCGAGTGTCGAATTATCATCCCATTGGTATTTGAGAGGAACAGGAATAAAGAGTACACTGGTGTCTGTGAGTACAAATACAAACTCGCTGCACTATAACATCTCCTGCAGTTCCTACTCTCAGTGAGATTGGCTGCCGTGGCTGACATCTGTCAAGAGAACATCATCATCGTCATGGTTCCAATTACACGAACTTGCAAACTATTTTGATTGACTCGTTGGTCTAATGGCTGTATAATCTATGATAGAAGGTCTTGGGTTCGAGGTTTCTCTGTCCATAAATTGTCAGTAGTAGTGGGGAATTGGGAAGTTGACGGTGTTCAACTTCCTTTACATTGTACTCCTGCATGAGTTTGAGATTAATAAGTTAGAAATACACGTTGCACTATAATATCTCCTGCATAGAAACTGAAAATGCTGTTTTCCTATAACACTTTAGTATACATCAAAGACCACAAACAAATATTGTTATGGGAACAGGACAACCTCTACTCGGTCAGCTAGTTTAATATATTTATATCGATTTTCAGGAAAATCGAGAACGGATGGGTGTACGGTGAATCATGGTCCGACAGCCAGAAGACTCATCCTCGACTCAAACCATACAACATGCTTAACGATTACGTAAATATTTATATATGATTAATAACTATAATATACAAAACACCTTTTTTTTAAGTTTAAAAAGAACTTGAATCAGCAAATGCAATCGATCTTTTTTTGTGATTTTAAAGTTGCATTAATTAGTAATATCACTTTCGGGAGAAGAATAAGAAAAACAACATTTATTAATATTTATTTTCAAGAAGTTTAAAAAGAGATATGTTAAAATGCCCTAGAATTGAATTTATGTAAGTCCTATATGACAAGAAATTATCTAATTTGGAATTCCGTTCTAAATCTAATTTAGATTCAATACTGTGTTTATAAATATAAGATATAATGTTAAAATAAAGGATAAAATATATCAAATTAATAATTATATTACAGGAAAAAGAACGCTACAAAGAACCAGTAAGAGAGTCCTTAAAAGCCCTACTGGCAATAGGATGGTCGGTAGAGCATTCCGAAGTGGACATACCCAGCACTAACCGCAGCTCTATGAGAAGACAATCAAAATCTGGCATTGTGAGTAGTTTTTTATTTACTTGAATTTCATATTATATTTAAAACTGGTAACTTTTGAGTTTATTTAGTTTTTTTTTTAATATTAATGTGTTAAATTTTTTCATTATTATGAAGAGTGTCTATTGTAACACCTTGTAATATATGTGTGTGATTTTTTTAAGTATATTAAGTACTAGGGACGAACCTGAGCGGAGCAAAGGTGACTCCTGAGAAGGATCGTTTTAACGTTTAATATAGATTTCTCAGAAATGAGATATTTTCTCGCAGTAAAAAGTATCCTATATGTTGACCCGGACAAGCAGCTATCATCATACCAAATTTCATCAAAATCAGTCCAGTTGTTTTCTCGTGATGTGTTCCCAAACAGACAGACAAAAATTCTAAAAACTATATCGGCCTCTGTATCGATAATAATAACTATTTCAATAAGATTTTCAAAAAATACTTAATGTACAGATTCGACTCAGGATTTTATTATATGTATAGATTTCAATAGCAAAAGGTAAATAAAGCTATAATATTCAAAATGACAAAAATTAGTACAATATTATGTATAGATTTATAAGAAGGTATATTAAATATTTGGTAATTTCAATATATAATAAATATTTTTTAATACTTTAAATATAAAATATCACAGGAGGCCAAAAACAAATTTTAAACATCCTCCTGTGATTCTACATTCAATTTCTTTGTTTTATTTATTGTATTCAATATAAGTACTCGTAGATACAATGTTAAAAAAATTATAATCTCATCATAACAATTTAATCGAGATTATTTCAATTTTCATGCCAGCACGAGGAGGAAATGGTAATAATCATTAATGATACTTATCAAAATGCTTCTATGTAAAAAAACAAATATACATATGAGACAAAAAAATATGTATACTAATAAAAATATGTATGTTATCACGCTTAAATTAAATGTCAATGGAACTAATACAATACGCATGTTTGTTGTTTAAGTCAAACGTATTTTTTTTAAAAGCATTGATATATAAAAAGCATAGATACACATTTCCTGACAAATATCTGTGCAAACAATGTCGTCGACATGTGACTTTAAGGCCCTTCTTCCATTACGGAACAAGTAGGATACAATACTCAAATCGAATACTAGCTGAATACTTGATTACAGCTCGACGTTCGCATATTACGCTACTGAAAAATAACAAATTGCATTCTTTTAAATTAAATAAAACTATCTTTTCGGATTTTTTCGCGAATTTATTTTGATTTTTGGTTCCCGACGTTTCATAAGATGAAAATAAATTCGCTAAAAAATCCGAAAAGATAGTTGTATTTTATTTAAAATGTCAAGTATTCGCGTAAATCTAAGAAAGTATTAAATTGCATCCTTGTTTTGTGCTTTTTTTAATGAACGGCGTAATTTTTTCGAGATGCGTAGGAGACGCGACGCGCGGACGAACATCGCGGCGGGTCGTTTACACATACGATACCGGTAGCGTAGTGTGCGAGCACCGATACAATGTATGTGCGATACTCCGCGGCGATTAGTCTCCGGAAGTCGCAAGATACTAGAGTCGCCTGGACGTATCGTAATGGGAGAAGTGTCTTAGTCAAACCAAAGAATACGACTTAAAAATCGAAATTTCTGTCTAAATACAAATTCGAACTTTCGTATACCATATAAAGTACTTTAAACGAAACAACGTGCGTTTTCATTTTGTCATCTGAAAAACGATGAATAAAGGAGACTTAAAAAAGCTCAATTCAATTTCGATTTGTGCACTTCTTTTGAGGCCACTTTTGAGACGCTAATTGTGTATTTTGAGTTTTTGTATATCGATGCTTAAAACCAAAGATTTATATCTATAGTCCTCCCATGTCTAAATATGGTCATGTTTTCAGGATTTGTTTGTTTATGCGTTACCATGGCACCGTTTGTCATGGTAACGCATACGCAAACTATGGAGTTTGAGTACAAAATATATACAATAATAACGTCTCGCTCACTCGTAATGAAAATAGTTCTTAGCTTTTTCCCTTTTACATAAATTTGATTTCTATTTGCAATATAAATTGAATGTCTTATTGAATTGTAATTATTTTTATGAACTGCATAATATGCGATTGATAACACCATTCGTACTATTTGAATTTTATAAATTATAAAACCATTTGATTGAAAAACTTTTTAACAAAAAAATAAAAACCGACTTCAAACAAAAGCACTAAAAAGTAAAAATAACTGATTGGTAGTTTTCATTTACTGTACATACCTAATCAAATATTTTCGGTGTGCTTTGGCTAAGTAATTAAAGCCTACCTATTAAATATATACCTAATCAAATATTTTCGAAATCGGTGCCAGCCCATACAAAGCAAAGTACACCGACTTCGAAAATATTTGATTAGGTATGTACAGTAAATGAAAACTACCAATTAGTTATTTTTACTTTTTAGTGCTTTTGGTTGAAGTCGGTTTTTATTTTTTTGTTAAAAAGTTTTTATTTTTCCCTTTTTAGTGTAGACAGTAGTAGCAAAGTACGAATTTTAACGTGTTAGGCTTGTCAAATCAAACAAAATAAGCCCAAACTCAAAGTATCTACTATTAGCCGTTGAAGAGTTCCACCTATCCACCTTCTGGCCTTACCATCAGATCAGGTCAACAATACCGAACCACTGTACAATCAACGGAAATAGAAACACTTGCAAAGTTTCAAGTCAATATGACAATTAGAAGTAGGTTAAATTCATCATTAGCTATTTTTCCACCCTTAGGGGTTGTATTTTTTTTTTTGAAATTTAAATGGGACCAATCTAGAAGTATACACTTTCAAACAACACAAAAATTGTCCAAATCGGTTAATAAATGACGGAGTTCTGAGGTAACAAACATAAAAAAAAATAAAAAATAAAAAAAATACAGTCGAATTGAGAACCTCCTCCTTTTTGAAGTCGGTTGAAAACAAGACCTATTAAAGGGACCAAAAAATTTGCAAAATAATGGATTATATATCAATTGTGTGTGTGTAAGTTGTAAGGCATGTTACTCAAATACAAAACACCATAACTTTATATCAAATATAATATATATGTATATTGTATTGTATATTTACGTATTTGGAGAAAAAATAATTTAATCAACAATAGAATTTACATTACCCAATAGACGAAATTTGCATTCTCCTTAAATATCAAGTATCCACCCCCATAGAGTATAACGAATGTCACTCTCAGTCATGAAAAGCAAAAATGCGGCATCCGTTGCTAATCTTCATTGCTATAGATTATAGACCATAGCTTTTTTATAGAAAATGGTAGCCACTATATTGTTTTTTTTTAAAGAGGCGTAAATTCCGTACGCAAAGTACGGAAAGAGGACACTTTAAGAAATAAAAAAAAATCAGTTATGTAATGGCTTAAATCGACTCCTTTTCGAGATATTCGGATGTAATGATTCCCACACTAGAACTATGTGAATTATTATTTGAATACAACCAGCACTAACCAGATCATATTTAATGTTTGTCATAGTTCCTAAATTTCGACCTTGCTCTGCAAATATTTTGGAAACATGGCACCGTTTTTCACCATATATCTAATATTTTTTATTTCTTTAAGTGTCTGCTGTTCATTTAAATTAGTTTCAATATGCGCTGCAACTTAAAAAATGACAGGATCTAGAAAATTTCTATACAGAAATATTAATATATAAAAGAGATAATATCGAAAAATAATACTTTTCTCGTCCAACAGACGGATTCGGCAACCCCCTTCAACTACAACCCTCACCCAGTGGACATGACCAATCTCACTTTGTCACGTGAAATGCAAAATATGGCGGAGAGATTAGCAGAGAACGCGCACGATATTTGGGCTAAGAAGAAGAAAGAGGAGCTGGTTACTAATGGAGGTGAATCATACTAATCGAACTACCATTGTTTATGCAAAAATTTGTATGTCTGTTTGTATGTTTGTTACTCCTTCATGTTGAAATGGCTAGATGGATTAGATTAGAATTGAAAAATCCGGATTAACTCATAGACTACATGACCAACTATTGTAAATTATTAAATTATAATTATTTATTTTATTTATATCTAAATTATTTTAAAGCCTTGCTAATAAAATAATCATGAAGTAAACAAATTATCCCAATACATCTACAGTTAATTCGAATTTATTTTTGTTTGTAAGTCTCAGAATTAAATATGTAATACCTGATAAAATGATACTAATCAATCTTTTATTTTAAGGCGGAATTCACCCACAACTTGTCCCATATGATCTTTTAACCGACAAAGAGAAAAAGAAAGATCGGGAACGTTCTCAAGAGTTCCTGAAATATCTTCAATATCAAGGCTATAAATTGCATCGTCCTAAAACAGCCCAAAGCGATACAGAACAGACAGCAACGGGTGTCGCCATAGAGCTTAGATTTGCTTACTCTTTGTTAGAAAAGCTCATACAATATATAGACAGAGCAACAATCAATATGAAGTTACTAAAACCATCCACTACTTTCAGTAGACGAACTAGTTTCAAAACTAGCACAAGAGATATTAAATTCTTTTCTAAGGTATGGATTTTTATTATATGTATATAATTTTGTTTTGCAATTATTAACTTAAATATGAAATTTTTACTAAATTCAGGATATCTTTGGAATCTGTGCATGAAAATATAGATAATATATTTTTTCACTTATCAAGTATTGACAGTACTTATCAACTTATAAAACAGTTTCAAATATTAAATTTTGATTGCACGTTATAATAATAAATAACTATTTAATTTAAGTACAAATAATATGGTATTTTTTTAATATCCAAAGAAGCACATCATATTCCCTTGTCTATGCTTTACACTCCATATCTTTATATTACAAGCAAAACAAGTCGGAGCTTAAATATTTCAAGAAGGTACTCTAACATTTCACGTATTTAGTTTGAATGTATTTTGTATAGAACAAAAATGAATGATTTTTATATATTTTACTAATAATTTGTTTTAGTAAATTTTGCCTTTTACTATTATATATTTTGTAGAATAATTAAGTTATTTATATTAATTTAATCATTGAGGAGTTATTATTATTGTAGTTGTTGTGCTATTGATCTATATTTTCTACTTTTTGATATATTTTTTTTACCATTTTTAGAATTTGTATTTAATTATATTATCTAATATTAAATAATCTCTAACATCTTATAAATCTCATCTTGTGATTTACTAGATTCTTGTTAATTAAAAATATTTTTTCAAACCAATATCGCAAAATCTCCTTGAAATAATGTAATGTTTTTATCAATAGCAATAATTTTATTGAATCCCTTTCAGTGGCACGGAAATGAGTATTTTCCTTTAAAACCGGTACAAGAATTTAATTTTCTTCTCGATTGAAATAAAACTATCTTTTGGGAATTTGTCGCGGTTTTATATTTATTTTTTGTTCTCGATGTTTCATGCTTTATTATAAACATAATCAAGGGATAGATTTTGATGTCTCAAAAATCATAAATCTATTACAGACGTTTATCTATTAACAAATGATAACAAAAATTAAAATAAAGCCACGACAAAATCCGAGAAGATAAAATTTAATTTTCTTTTTTAAGACCACTAATACTAATTAAACTTACACAGGTGGTTCTTCCCCTGATGGAGAAGTATTTCTCCACGCACCGTAACTACTTTATCGCGGTCGCGACCGCCACCAACAATGTAGGCGCGGCCAGTTTAAAGGAGAAGGAAATGGTCGCAGCTTTGTTCTGCAAATTGGCCAGTCTGTTGAGATCCAGGTATGAAATTTATTTTACACTTAGATCAAATGACGTTTTTTAAGTGCGTTGACGACGCGCACATTATAAACGCGCGTTTTTTCTCTGAACAACTTAATGGATTTGTATACACATCGTTTCGTAAAGGCGTCGACGGTATGCGTATTATGAGTTCTATATCATGAAGTATTAAATTTGTATAAAAAGAAAAATAATGTATTTACCCCTCTGCAACTTTTACGACTGCAATTATAAAGTGGTATTACATAGTATCTTTATGAAAATTCCATATCTCAAAAACGACTCGACGTATTTTCTTCAAAACAACTTTCATTGAAAATATTTTGGGAGCTCTACTATCTATTTTTTTTTTCAAAACTGTCTATCCCATACTTTACTACTAACTATCAAATTTCAGTAATGTCACTTCAATGGTCTCCCAGTAATAGGGCTGTGACATACTGACATATAGGCACACGAACATGATAAAATAAAAAGATCCATTCTTTCCCTTAGACTTCTCCCTTATAAGGCATTATTCATCCGTTGAAATCACCTTAGCATTTTTTTTTAGTTTTTACTATTAATAAGTCCCTGATATTTTCAAAACCCATCGTTACGTTATAATCTGTACAGGCTAGCAGCATTCGGTCCAGATGTACGTATAACAGTGAGATGTCTCCAAGTGCTAGTGAAAGGTATCGACGCCAAATCCCTAGTAAAGAACTGCCCCGAGTTTATAAGAACATCGATGTTAACCTTCTTCAATAATGTGGCTGATGATTTGGGGCATACTATCATGAATTTGCAAGATGTGAGTATGTCAAGGGTTTTATTTTATTTATTTGGATCCACTAGTGATAATTACAGTGAAATTTTTTTTTTTTAAATTAAAGACACAATGTAACTTAATCCTAAATGCATTACCTTGTATAGTGGATATAGCATGCATTAATTTTAATTCACAATTTTAATTATCGATAAGTAGTATCAATTATCAATAACAATATAAATACATAAGTACTTTTTACTATAACATCACTGCCTATAAAATGTCGTAATTAAAAAAAAACACATTAACGTTTTAAATGTTCCTAATAATGTTATTTATTTTACTGAACTGCATTCTAAATTGACAGTTACTGGTAGCTTACGTATGTTCATTGTACATAATATATATAGTTATCTCAGTGCTTATTTGTCCAAACGACCAATTTACCGAAAGAGTTTTTAATACACATTTAATTGTTAGTACAGTACCAGGGCGACCGAGCTTCGCTCGGTGTTTTTGGCCAAAAGTACAATTTTCTTTAAAAAAAATTGATTGAATAAATATAAAAACAAAACAAAAGTAAAAACTTCGTATCCGCCCGTGATTCGAACCCGGACACCTGTGATTTTCAATCTTGCGCCTTGGCCGCTTTGTGCCCGAGCGTGCGAATTATCGACCATATTTTGCGTGCGAAAGAAAACTGTATAAAAACTCGAAAACACGCGTTTTCCCAGACATAAGACTAATCTAAATTGAATTTACGCCCCCAAAAACTCCCACATACCGAATTACAGCGAAATCGTTAGAGCCGTTTCGGAGATCGCTGGTATAAATATACAAGAATTGCCCATTTAAATATATTAGAATAAATGTTAGTACACATCACAAATTCCTTGTTATATGAACATCATAATAATTAATAAGTAGTAGTTGTCTTAAAATATATTTAGAGATAATTGCACAAAATAAAATGATTTGCTGTATTACACTGTAAAGTAAGGTTGTCTCAAACTTTGATCAGACTGCAGATAATTTTATTTTATATGACACCGATTTTCACAAATAACGACTCGATACCTATTAATTATTTTCTTTAGCTTTAAATACGTTGATGTTCTTTAATTTGATTTTTTTATTAAAGAAAAAAACACTTTTATTTTCTCACAATTTTCCAAGCAACATTTATATTTTTTCCCATTCAAAACCTTGGCTTCTAGAACATTTAAATAAAAATCGCCAAATCGATACAGCCATACTCAAGTACGCTTCGTAATGAACAGGATTTTATTATTATTTAAAAAAACTATTATAGAGCCATCAATTAACACGTATAATTCTTTTCAGGGTAAATATGCACATCTGCGAGGCACTCATCTCAAAACGTCCACATCACTCGGCTACATAAATGGAGTCCTGCTCCCAATACTCACGGCCATGTTCGACCATTTAGCAAACTGCGAGTATGGCGCGGATTTGTTGTGTAAGTATAATAGTTATTAATAACTTGTGTAAATAAACAAATGGGATTGTAAACGGCGTCGATTCTATGAACTTGTTGCTCACTAACTTAACTTGGTATGTATGGATACAGACAGAGAAAAACATGTTTTTATCTGTGCTAGCCAGAATTACAGGTCAAAAATGTACTCTGGACCAAAATGCACCATAAAAGGTCCCCCAAAATATATTTTTTTGTTTTCTATTTTCGTTTTTAAAGTGACACTAGCGATTTACCCTCTGTTCGCTCGGATGCCTCCCTTTTTAGGGTTCCGTACCTCAAAAGATAAAAAAGGAACCCTTATAAGATCGCTTGTCCATCCTGTCCGTCTGTCTGTCCGTGTGTCACCACCGGTTTTCTCAGAAATGGGTGGACCTAGCAAGTTGAAATTTATACCAGATACTGAGGTCTATAGTCCCTATTAGGTGTATGAAAATCAAGGTCATTAGATTTTCTCGAAAACTTGTTAGTACCTTGTAAATTACTTTTAACCAAAATTGACAATTGTAGGTCAACCGGAAGTACCCGGTTTTGGGTCAAAAACTTACATGGTAGTTCCCGTTGATCACGAAATTTGGCAAAAAGCAAGGCCTTACAGCACAAATGAAGGAAAAATTCCAAAAAATAACTAAGTTGAAAATTAAAGTTAAACAGATTTCCTACAAATTACCAAACCTTTACTTCTTACTCTTACTATTATATTCTTATCAAATTTCATCAAAATCAGTTAATTAGATATAGAGATTACCCCCTACAACGTCACAAACTCACAAACTTAACCTCTTTATAATATTAGTATAGATTATAGTGTACATATATATACGATTACATTTCATTTATTCATTCATTCATTTACACAAATATAAAAATAAGTTAGAAACTAAATATACAAATAAACAAAGCATGTACAGAAATAAAGTTTTTATTATTCTTCTTTTGGTACATTAAACGGGTTATATGTAGTGTTTTATTGATACATTTTAATCAGTTTCGCTTGATGCACTCGAACTACTTACTTTATATTCGCTCTTACATTCTTCTTTGCATACCTTTTTAAAAAATCGCCTCTTTCGTTTCCCACACCCATATAAGGAACAAGTATTTTTTCTCACATAAGCACAGGCATGAACACATTTCGCTTGACATATTTTGCGGCATCTTCTTGCGGATATTGAATCGGAAGTTCGAAACATATGTGTTACTAAAGCACTTGCTTTTTTAATATCGTCGTTGGGATCTTTCGACTGCAATATTGAAATGTTTTATGTTAATAAATTATTTAAATAATGATACAATATACATAATATGTATATGTAAATATATTTTATTTACCTTTAATTGTTGGGTCATGTGTGGGATACATACTTTTAAGTAGTTCTGTCTAGTATAATCCTTAAATGTAACTGAAAAGATATTTCATATACTTTAGAGAAAACTTTTTCTTTATGGGCTTACTAAGTTCGACAATATCATCGTCTAGGAACTAGGATGAAGTCTGTTGTCTGCATGGACTGTTAAATTACCTATTTAGTATAGGTAATATATCGACAAAGTTTTTATGTTTTTCGAGCTAAAAAGTTATTTTTAATTCAAGATATTAAAAAAAAAATACCTCCATCTCTATATTTAGGTTTATGGTTATTTTCGTTAGTAATTTTACTGTTATCAAATTCTGCTATACATGCCGCTTTGGAATACTCATTAAAGTCATCTTTAAAAATTTGCGAACATTTGTATCGCAATTTACAAACTTTCTTCTTAACGGACATAATCGCCTGGAAAATCGTTAAATACGTTTCCGTCAAAGTTTCATATATGTATAGATCGCAGGGAAATTGTAAAATTACCCGGAATATTGTCGATCGTCTCTTTTTATTACAATATCACGGGACATTTTTAGGTAAATTATAATGTACCTAAAAATTTTAATTGATATTGTAATTAATCTACTTAAATTGTCAATAGTAGCAATACTGTGCAAAGACGAAACTTCAACGTGTTAAGATTTTCATATGTATAGAATCTAAATAGAATTTTCTTTTAATTTGAGAAGATTATTTATTAGTATTTTTAATTTCACACCCAGAACTCCTACATTAAAAAATAAATATAATATTTTGAATGTGGGCAAGGAAGTAAATTAATAGTGATAAATTGTGTCATCGCCGATAATACAAATAATTCCAAGTGAAAACTAGTATCATATTTAATTGAACACATATATCGCAAGTTGAGATTATTTTTTGTTATACATACTTATAATACCTATGAATAATAATGAAACTATTGATAATTAAAAATATTCAGTTCTATTCCTTTAATTTACTAAGTCTATGCACAGCATGAACGCGCATCAAAAAAGATGTCTAAATTGGACCACCAAGTGACCGTTCACAATTTAACTGACTGAACTGCTTAGGGAAATTATAATTAAACTAAAAATTTCCCGTGATATGTAAGAAATGGAGACGATTGATTATTACTGATTGATTTCTTACAATTTTCCGGGTAATTAAGGGTACATTCTCCGGATAATTGTAATTTCACTAGTGAAATTATAATTTTACGGATCTTACAATTTTCCTGTGTCATATTATATCTTTAAGATTAGAACGTAATCGAAAAAGTCCGCGGGCAGCTTTCTGTTTAATACTATACTTAATACTTATAGTGTGCTGAAAATGACTGTTTAATATGATCTTATGTTTTGGTTTCTGTGTTTGTATGTCACACGCCGAAACGTAATGACTGGTGTGATAATTAAAATGGAGACAGTAAGAGGGCTGAGGGATGACACGAACCACTTTTCAACGCGAATTACGAGCATATCACATTCCCACGGGAAAATAAATCTTTTATACAAAAAAAATCGATTAATGCCAAATGTTTTTTGTATGGACATTTCGAGGGGCCTTGAGATAGACATTTACAAATTTTTAATCGATTAAGTAATAGGTGCATTATCATAGAAGGCATTAAAGTGATATTATGATAATAGTGAATATATACGATCTAAATAGTGATGAAAAGAAATACTTACTTTATAACATTTTCTAATAGCTACTTTGATACATGCATTTTCGCGCTTATGTCTTAATGCACTATGCTCTTCTTTGTCTTTTACTATTCTCAAATCGGCCACATTTTCATTATTTGGCCCGCCAAATGTTTCATCTTTAACCTTTAAATCATAAGATACTAATATTTTCTTAGATTCATGCGAACATTTGATGTGACCAGCAAACATCGGAACCAAAAAATCAAAATAAATCCCAAAAGATATTACTACACTACAAATCAAGTCGTTTAAAAATGATAGAACTGACAGTCCAATGAATAAATTTAAAATTAAAACAAATTAAGTCTTCTCCATTCTACGTGGCATTGCCGAAGCAATCTGTGCTCAACTGGCACGCTTTAAACTTTAAAGCCAATAACAAGGAAATTGAATTGAAAACAAATTGACGACACGTTTGGCTCAGTTTGTAGTGACCCTACTTGCTGCGCCAGCGGTCGCGAGTTCGAGTCCCGCTGGGAGCATCCATTTGTGTGATGAACACGAATGTATGTACTCCAGTCATGGGTGTTTGTATTTATATTATGTATTTAAAAGTTCTATATGTGTAGTGTATCAACTATCTGATATCCATAACACAAGCCTCGTAGCTTACCATGGAACTAGATGGTGCTGTGTTAATGTTCCACCATAAAAAAACAACATAAGAAAGTCTTAAAAAAGTTATCTATGGACCTTACCTCTTCATCAGTACCAACCGATATTATTACAATTGTTGGCAAATCGTGCCTTATATTTTCATCGTCATTCGTTACTGAATATTGACTATCTTCGTTTTCTATTGAAATTACATAATATTTTGGTTTTACTGATTCTACAAATATATTGCAGGCTATCTATAAAAACAAGACTCTTGAAATATTTGATTCTTATATTTGTAATTCGGATATTTTTCAAACATTTCTTTACTTACTACAAAAATAATAGAAGTAGAAAATAAGCGGAACGATCGTTCATAAAACCACATTTAAAATTATTTTAGGTATTTTTAATTTATCTTTGTAATAAATCATGCTTTAGTAATTTAACCAAAGACCAATAAATTATAATTGTTAACCGATTTTAAATAAAAAGGAAACTCTTTTGTTTCTTTCTGTATATTACATCATATCTTTGCCACCTGTACTGTGAACCAATCGTAACGAGCATTTTTAATGAACAGGTAATATGATTCAAAATTTAAAAAATCACACCTTTTGATGGAATAAGTACGTCGAATGTTATTTGAAAGCTTAGTGTATTTTTTTACTTTAATCTATCAGTAAGCCTATGTGTTACTCCAGATAAAAAATATATTTTATTGACTTAAAGATTTCATTACAAGCTATTAGCCAGGGCCCCTGTACTAGGTGTAGACACGTATTACTGAGCGCCCCGCTTATCCACCACTAGAAAGTCAATAATCAGAGTGAAAACAAAATTAAATTTAAATTAAATTACATGTATGAGTGTGTGTGTGCGTGTGTGTGTATGTAAATGATCATTTATTCATGTGTGTACTAATTTACATCTAAATTCGCCCAGCCATTTCAGCGTTTAGAATAGTACTTCTATGACTTCGCTGTTATTTATTATGATAGTACCTAATACTTAGATTTACGCGAATGTTTGACATTTAAAATAAAACTATCTTTTATCTAAAAGTAACAATCCAATTGATATCCTGGTCACTATATTATATTATTAAGAAATTCTATACCTAATTTAAAAAAAGAAGCTAATTTGCAGCATTTAGTTTAGGGTCAAAAGAGAAAATTGTGGGTAGGCACTAGGCACTATTTGTAAAAAGTATATAACGCCTTTAAGACCTCTAAAACCTTAGTCTCTCCCGTGACCATGATTGCTGTAAAGTATCGGAAACGTCGGGAACCAAAAATCAAAATAAATCCGCGAAATAATCGAAAAAGATAGTTTTATTTAAATTATTAGTACCTACTTAAAAACTATCTTAATATGAATAAGATTTTTGAATTATAAGTTATACTGGTTAAAGAAACAAATAAAAGTACTACACATTTTTATTTTATTTTACATAAAGCATTAATCAGATTCATCATCACTTTCTGAATCGCTATCACAGTCAGTTTCACTTGACTCTGTATCTGAATCTTTATTTATTATAAATATAGTTTGGCATTCGTTTTTGCATGCCTTTTTTAATGCTTCAGATTTCACCTTACGGCATGAGAGTGTGGAGCATGTCTCGTTCGTAGCATATTTACAAGCACCAATACATTTTTTTCTTGATTCCTTTTGACATTCTCTCTCGTATTTATCACGGAGGGCTTTTTGTAATGATAGACCTTCAGGAGATTTTTTATCCAACGTCAAAACGTTATCCTGTAAGGAGTCTAAGTCTTTTACAACTTGCAATTTTTAATACAAAAACTTGCATACCTATTTTTATTAAACAAATAGTTGCCCACGGCTCCTCTCGCGTGGTAATAGGATAACGCGTGGTTATATTCTATGAATCTGCTAAATTTTCATCGAAATCTGTTCAGTGGTTGAAGCGTGAAGTGTAACAAAAAGATAGAGAATTACTTATGGGTATACTTATTTATCTAAAGAATTATTTAGTATTACCTTATCCCTTTGGCCTGCAAAATTGTTATATTTTAGTAACATATTCAATATTTATAAAACTGATAGATATAATTAAATGAACAGAATAGTGTAATATTCGTATTAAAGTAAAACTAACAACGTGAAACTGTAAAAATATTGAAATGTCTAAAAGAGTTAAATGCTAAATCTATATGCTGATATTGCAAATATAATATGAAGATATAAAGCTAGTATAATTAGTCAACGACAATGAATGACATTTGAAGACCAAATATTAAATACATTAAATATTGATCAAATCTAAGCAAGTTCCAGATGCAATGGGGACTCAAACTAATAATTATTGGTCTTAAATTGCCTCGGTGGTGTAGTGGCTAGCATGTACGGCTGCACATCCGGAGATCCTGGGTTTGAGTTCCGGGTCGAGCCAAGTTTAGTTATTGAGTCTTTCTGTTTAGTAAGCCACAGTAACAGCCCGTAGTTGGAAAGATAGCGGTGTTTCACCCCTGTTCCTCGGAAAGCACGTAAAGCCGTCGGTCCTGCGCCTTGACTCTCACTGGTTGTGTCGAGTACTGGTCCCACCAAAGTATGAGTGTGACAGAAATATTGAGTGCACTTGTGTCTGCGCGTACACTTGTGCACTATAATATCTCCTGCGCAGTTGGCTAGTCTCCATGAGATTGGCCACCGTGGCCGAAATCGGTCACGAGGACTTATATATTTTTATATATATTGGTATTAGCAAAAGTCACTATAAGTATGAAGTAAAGAAACTCAATGTATGTCAATTTTAAAGACCTATCTAATCTAAATCCTAAGAGCTTAATTATTAACTGGACCCAAAAATTTTACACCTTAGTTACATGTATGGAGCAATCAACCATTTTTTTTTTATTTTTAGTAATTTGACTTGGTTCTCATGAAATACAAAATTTCAGCTTAATTGTTCCAATAGTCTCGGAGTGTGACTCTGATGGACGGACAGACACACGCAAAAATTTAAGGGTTCCCGTTTTTACTTCTAACTACGAACCCGAAAAAGCAAAAGTTCTTGCAGAGAAAGTATCGCTTATTACTATCTTTGTCACTCCACACGTACTCGTATAAATCAAATATTACCATCTGGTCCTCTCAATAGCATCGGTCGAACTTTATCTTTATTAGCCTTGTGCTTATGTTCATTTAATTTTTGTTCCGAATCTTCGTATAAGATTTTTTTATCGCAACCAATTTTTCCATTCGCTAAGAAAGCAGTTTTAAATTCTGATTTGCAATTAAAGCGTGATTTGCACACGTCTTTGATTACCATCTTTATTACCTAAAATGTTATTTTATAAGAAAACCTTTAGGTATATGTATAGTTAATGAAATTATCTGAGTGAGCAGTATGTTTGTTGATCTTCGAAAAAAGAAGAAAGGCACAATATAATTAAAATCCCATACTTAAATTTGAATATCAATCAATCAATTAAAACAATACTCCCTAATTTCTACTATTGAATAAAATATTCTCGTAGTGGAGAAGACCTTTACAATGCAATAAACTCTTACAGCTGCCAATCTTATTGTACTGATCTGTAGCCATAATACGTAATGCTATTCTCGAAAAGTTGTTTGGTTAAAAGACTAGTATTTTGAAAATAATTATGAAGTAAGCGATATACTTACCTTGTTGCATTTTTTTATAGGAATTTGTAAACAAACATCGCCATATGTGCTTCGTAATAAATTTAATGTTTGACTCTTTGTTAGACCATCATTTCTTAATTGTTCAAGAGATTCCTTTAAAAATATATAAATATAGCTAAAATTTATATTTTAAATAACATAATTTTAATGTTAATTTAAATATTTACCTCTTTATTTTGGTTTGAAATTATAATTGCAATTCCATCCTTATTTTTATTTATAAAGGATTTTCGTTGTTCATCCAAGAAAGGATCTTTATCTTTAATCAATTTTATTGGTTTATTTATTACTTCTTGCCATAAATTATGTGGAGAGAATATTTCGGAACGTACGATTTTTTGTATTCCTTTAGTATTATTTCCACTTTTATTTGGCCTTTTGAGCTTTTGCCTTGTATTGTTTTTTCTTTTTTTATCATGAGTCAGTCTTAAAATGCTAAACCTTGTTTTATCTCCAAAAACATTATGTTTTATTGTATAATTTAAATGTTTGTCAGGTTTTTTATCAGCATTATCATTTAATATATTCCAAGTTGGTTTAAGTAATACAATGTCTTCTTTGGGAGGTATTTCGAGTGCTATTTCCTCTATATCCTCATCAGACCTATCGTATTCTTCGTATTCATCTTCCCCAGGCTCGCCTTTGTCTTCGTCATATTTAGAGACATTAATTTTTTCTGGTGTTCGTTTAACTTCTACGTTTTCGTTTGGAACGCTCATTACTTGTTGTGCCTTATTTGAAACAGACTTAGCTTTTTCTATTGCGTTTCGAATTTCGTCATGAGAAGAATCGCTTTCGTATATTATAGCTGTTACAGGATATAAGGTGCTATATTTAGATGTTGAAGTTTTTTTAAAAGAGCGATTTCTTTGTTTTGATTTCTGCTTCTCAGATGTAACTTTATAGGATTTGTCAATTTCAAATGATGATGAATAAGTATGGAATATTTCTTCAGATTTGTATATTTTTTTAAGATTCTCGTAATTTTTTAGAAGATCCTCTATCATTTTATTTGCCAAGGAAAATTTTTTTATGACATCAGTATAAATTTGTTCGTAAGCTTCGACTTTTACCATCTCATTTATGAAACATATAACCTGAAATTTCGAAAATATCACTTATAATCATATAACATTTATTTTATAGTTTTACCAAACCCAACGTTACCTGTACATTCATAATATAAAAAGCCAAATAGGAAATCTTGCCGAATAACATTGATTTTTTCTTCAAATACAGCGATAAAATAAATCGATTCACATAAGCCAGTGGCAATTTAATTTCTAGGCATGACTTCTGCAAAGTGTGCGTTTAACTGCCATTGTTTTATGTGTATACTATATTACAATTACATAATTTCATGATATTACCAATGAGAAAAGATATATATACGTCACGCCCAAAAATCGATTTTAAAAGTTTCATATATAATTAAAAAAATAATAAAAATAAATTAAAATATTTTAACCAATTTAAAAAAAAAGGTTATCAATTCGACAATTATATAACTGTGTAATATTGTGCTATTTTAGTACATATGCTTCATACAATTTTTAATTACTTTATACATTTATTTTCATACAAATTCACATAATGTACGAATCCCTTTTTTTTTTTAACGTTGGAAAATGCATTTACGCACGACGTGTGGGACTCACCGGCGTAATACAGCCAGTACTACCCACTTAAACCCAACAAAACCTTCCCCCGTCTTAATGGGGCGTCGCAGGATCGCTTACGCATTCAACTACGACGCCCCGACGGCAGGTCTGCCAAAGCAGACCACCACAACCATGGGGTTGCTCCAAGGTCCACTCTGCTATCAGAGAAGTACTAGGAGCAACCCGCAAGGTACACCGCCCCCCGAAGAGGGCCACCTCCCACCGCCCACCGAAGTGGGCAACCTCCCTGTGCGTTTCTTAGCTTCGCGCCCGGTTGGATTGCCGGGCACTACTGAGCCCCCCCACCACGACAAGGTGAATGAACGTTGGGGGGGATAATGTACGAATCCCTAATTTATTCCCGAATGCGACTCGCACTTGACCAATTTTGTTAAGTACATGGTTATTAATAGGCCTATTACTTGTTTAAGTGGACGAAATCCAAGTGGCATCATACAAGATGTTAGGCTCTCTATACACATTGGGAACAGACGTCGGCCTCACGCACGACAGGAAGTATTTGAAGACTGAAATAGAACGTCATAAGCCAGCATTGGTAAGTTGATATAAAAAAATATACTGAAATCTAAAAAAGCAATTTTCTCAATTTGAGAGTTTTTTGTGTAGATTTGGAATACCTTTGGGATTGTGAGCCGACTATGATTTTTTATTCTGATAATTCAAAAAGGGTTAGATTGGAACAAAAAATTCAACAAAATTACTATTAAATTCATGATTTTATGAAAATTACAGAATGCAAAGTCTAAGAGCAAAATGTGTACATATATTTTATTCAATATTATTAATATACCACTAGTGCTGACATCGACTTTACTTATTATTGTACTATTACAGTCATTGTTTTAACACAATTGTGGGATATGACAAATTTAAAGTTTAAATATATATTCGATATATTTGTCTAGTTATTATGTGTAATAGAAATATTCTCTTTTTAGGGTTCATGTTTGGGAGCCTTCAGCTCTACATTCCCAGTTGCTTTCTTAGAACCACATCTCAACAAACATAATCAGTTTTCTCTTCTGAACCGAATTGCTGACCACTCGCTCGAAGCGCAAGGTGAATATTTCTTCATTAAATTATTCCTTGATTTTAGTTTCCTCTAAATAATTATTTGAGTAAAATATTTACGTGCAGAAATTTTTGATATATAGCAATAAATTTTATAAACTTTATTAAATGAAAGAATTGCTAAATCTGTAAAGCATTTTAATTTATTCCTAAAAACAAGAAATTATTTATTGTTAGTAAATGATAACAAATATATTTATGCTAAAGTATATTTGTTAACATTTGTATTACTAATGTATTGCATTATTCATTTTCTCAGACATAATGGCCAAAATGGAGCAATCAATGCCCACACTAGAGACGATACTAAACGAAGTTGATCACTTCGTAGAGTCAGATAAAACGTACAATGAAGCACCGCATATAATAGATGTAGTGTTACCACTGTTATGTTCCTATCTGCCGTTTTGGTGGGCCCAGGGACCTGATAACGTCACGCCGACTGCTGGGTGAGATTACTGAGTTTTACTATAAATTACCATGAATTACCAAAATTTCCACGTATTTCCAAGTATTAGAGGTATTACATATAACATCGACCTTACTTTAAAATAAATATTAAAGATGAGCCCTTCATTTTATTTTGAACCGAATGTTGTATTTTTTTTATTTTTGCACACTTGATTTTTCATCTTTATATCATAAAAAGAAAAGAACAAAAACTAAAAAGTCTACGAAACTATAGATAACAATTTTTTATTACAGAAACCACGTAACAATGGTGACAGCAGAGCATATGAACCAATTGCTCAAAAACGTCCTGAAACTCATCAAGAAGAACATAGGCAATGAAAGTGCGCCGTGGATGACACGTATAGCGACATACACACAACAAATTATCATCAATAGTTCAGAGGAATTGCTAAGAGAGTCCTTCTTACCATTGGCAGAGAGAGTGAGAAAGAGAACTGATAATATGTTCCATAAGGAAGAGAGTTTGAGAGGTTTTATTAAGGTATGTTTATGCTAAGCTATCTATTATCATCTTTTTAATCTATAATAGATATATAAAGAGATTTTTTTTGTATGTTTATATGTTCCCTTGTAATGGATAAACTAAAAATCCGCTGAACTGATTTAGATGATATTTGGTATGAAGATAGTTTGAGACCCCGAGAAGAAGAAGAACATAATATAGTTTTTATCCCGTAAAACATCCCGAAGGGGGGTGAAAGTTTGTATGGGGAATCAATTATTTGTCAAGTAAGGGATGTAAAACTCTTCTTACCTATGTATATATAGTCTATCTATTCCATACTAACCATTAAAACGTAACTAGTGACGAAACCGAGCGAAGCGAGAGTGAGTCGCTAGTTATGAAATTAACTTAAGAAGGAAGAGTTTTAAGATTTCCCTTAAAATGCACTAGTTTATGATATAGTTATGATAACTTAAAAGATTATTGAAATTTAAAAACTTCATTTAGTTATCTTTGGACTGGATGCATCAAATAAGTTTCATCTTCATTTTGTACAAAGGAATTTAAATTTCAATTCTCTTGTGAACGGCTTCAAAACGCGCCACTTGAGCACAGATTACTTCGCCAATATCACGTAGAATACAGAAGACATACAGGATATTGGTCGGTAAAATAAGATTATAAAGAATTTAGGTTTTTTTAACATTATAATTATTTTTCAAAATGATTACAGTCATCAACGGATGACACGTCACAAGTAGAGTCTCAAATTCAAGAGGATTGGCAACTACTAGTTCGCGATATTTACTCCTTCTACCCACTGCTGATAAAGTACGTCGACTTGCAAAGGAACCATTGGTTGAGGAATAATGTTCCGGGTAATGATATTATATAGTGTATTTTTTGCCTTTACACTATGACTTATATACTTCTTTTTATGCTTAACAGAAACCCGAAAACCGGAATAAGAATTTTCTTTAATTAATTAAATTGAAAAAGCTGTTATTTTGTTAGTATTGTTTTAGTTGTAATATTGTATCAATAAGATTAAATCCAACTTATATTATCTTGCGAATGTGAAACTTTGTAATTATGCTTGGATTTACATATTATATATGTTCATTACTTAAATTAATTGAATTTTTAAATAATTGTATTTGAAACGAAACCAAACTAACAGATTTTTAATTGAATTGTAATTTTACGTCAATGACATTAAATAAAATCTAAATTCATTAAATATTTACTAAATATAGAACAAACAGAAGAAAATAATTACCAAGTTTTAAATTTTCATTTCCCATGTTTTCTACAGAGGCGGAAGAATTATACAATCACGTAGCAGAAATATTCAACATTTGGTCCAAGAGTCAGTACTTCCTAAAGGAAGAACAAAACTTTATATCGGCCAATGAAATCGACAACATGGTAAGTGACATAATCGTTTCTTTTATTTATATCACAATGTCATCTACCTATTTCTTTGTTCATGTAAATGTACTGCGTTATCTTATTTTCTGTTGGTAAATTAAATTAAAAAAGCTTAGAACGCTACGTTATATGTGAGTGTTGTGCCGTCTATCTATTTCGTTTTTGTTTTATAGGGTACATGACTGAAAATGTATAGGTATAGGTTAAAATGTAGACTTTCCTATATTTTTCTGGCAATACTTAATAAGTAAATTAGAATTTTATCAGCATATTAAATATATTATTTCTAAAATACCAAAATGAACTCAATGTGCTTCAGTTCAGTAATAAAAATAATACAACAATATCAATACTGTCTAAAAATAAATAACATATTTAATATGGCTTGAATAAAAAGAACATAATAATTATTATATGAACTAAAACATAACCGAATATAATAATATTTGTTATATTGAATAAAAACAACATCATATCTTTATTATGCTTAGTGCGAAGAACATATAATGAAATAGTAGAATTCTCATACTTATGTATTACTAGCGACTCACCCTCGCTTCGCTCCGGTTCGTCCCTAGGTACACTTTCATTTTTTTACTGAAATAAAAGTGGCCTAAGTTACTCCTTATAACATTAAATACCTGCCAGTGAAAGTCCCGTCAAAATCGGCCTAGCCGTTTCGGAGATTAGCCAAAACAAACAGACAGACAAACAGACAAAAATTTTAAAAATTGTGTTTTTCTTATAAATACCGTATATATATGCATTTAGTAAAAAGCTGTTATTTTGACATTATAAACAAACACTTCATTTTTTTATCTGTATAGAAAATGCAGAATGCCATATTTCATATATCAAGTCATGTACCCTACGTATTATAATAAGATTCAATCTGACATAGGTATTGATAATGCCTACTGCGACTCGAAGAGTCACCACCATAGTCGATGGGACGCCTCAGGGTGGCGGGAAGGTAAGTGTTTCGTATATTGTCTATGACTAACACTCTTCTATCTATTTTTCTTCCATACTCATATCTGGACTTAATATGATATTCTACAATCGATATCGTTAATAGAAAACTTATGGAAATGACACTAGCAATATGTCATTACCATTTTTTTTGTCTATAATAGCGCTATACATCAGAATGTAGAAAGTTTATGAGGGGCTTAATTTAAATTTTAAAGTACTAAGATTTTTTTTACTCTCCTTATACATATATCCTCATATATATTTACTAAAATACGCTGCAGTTCGAAGTTTTTGAATTTTGTATTTATTTTTATTTTTGTTGACGTCTTTAATGGACTCATAATTTGATTATAGACAATATTTATAGAGCTTTTTTATGCTTTAACACGTAGAATTTAGTGCCATACATTGCATACTGCACAAGTAGTTAGTTGCATGTAAAAAGTTTCGACGAATACCTGTATTTCTTAATTGTCAATTTCAAATATGTGTCTATATATTGTAAATTTTTTTCAATATCCACTTTTTGTAATATTTGGTCTGTCCCGATTTTTGGCATGTTTAATTTATAATTGAAAACACTTCTTTTTAATTTTCCAAATAAGTTACACGTTACACAAAACGGAAATATTAATCACGTACGATTTTCACACTAATAACAACACACAGCTTCACATTTAAAATCTAACCCACCAAAAATTCTTACCCAAATTCCAAAAAAGCACTAATTCAAACATTCACACAAATATTACAGAAAAAGAAGAAACACCGTGATAAGAAGCGTGATAAAGATAAGGAAGTACAAGCGTCGTTAATGGTCGCTTGTCTGAAGAGACTGCTGCCGGTCGGACTGAATCTCTTCGCGGGGAGAGAGCAAGAGTTGGTCCAGCATTGTAAGGACCGGTTTTTAAAGGTAATTAGATATCTTTTTAAGTATACTGTGAAATTATTTTCCAAGGCACAGAAGGAAGTGTTTTTATCCTTTTTTTTAATTTTGGCAGCGCTATCTATTAAGTTAAGTTAAAAACTAAAGTAAACTATTTTCTCATGGAAAGGTCCTTTTTGTCTGTTTTGTCCAAGGTCGGTTTTCGTTTCATGAAGATCCAATCACTGGCTTAGGCGACATTGAATCATAAATGTCCAAACATATTTACAAACTTTAACATACCATATTGATGGGATTAATTTTCGCTGTTTAATATGAAAAATAATAATATAAAAGATTTTACTTCATTCAATTCTTTAAAATCATAATAATATCGTCACGTTATTTTACGCATTAGTGTTAACTTCTTTTTATATTATATTGTATTTATAATTTGTCATAGAGATATAAAGAGGTGCCTCTTATAATTTTACAGAAAATGTCAGAACAAGATGTAGCCGAATTTGCCAAAACTCAGCTAACATTGCCAGATAAAATCGATCCGGCGGATGAAATGTCCTGGCAACACTACTTATACAGTAAATTGGGGTCCAAAAGCAAAACGACGATAACCGTCGAAACATCAGAAAATAAAGCAAAGATCATCGATGATACGGTGGAGAGGATTGTAGCAATGAGCAAAGTATTATTCGGTTTGCATATGGTGAGTAACGTATAGAACTATGTCTAGAATATTTTTTATGAAAGTTAGGTGCAAGATTCCGAATTTTTTTCTACACTAATTGACTCGCACATAACCATTTTTTTTTAATTATAGTTGAATATTTGCCGTTCATCTTTATCGTGATCCGAGTTGCGTAGCACAATTTTAAGCCTAAATTTTTGTTTATTTGCTAACTTAACGTAAAAATTAAGGTAACCCTATTTAGGAAAAGTGTTATGAAAAATGTTTATTGACATATTTTTTGAAGTTATACTTCTTTTGGCACGTTTGGAAAAAATTATGAGAGTAAAACTTTTACGATGCGTGCGCACATCGACAGCCAAAAAGCGACATAATGAAGTTAGCTGCATTTCTTTTACAAACAGAAATTTGTGACATACGGGATGAAATCTTTAGCTATTTTTGTTCTGTTGCGCCAAAGAAGTATAACTTCTTACGTGCGTACATAAGTATACACACCAACATTTTCTTAAATTACATTGACCAAAGTAAGATATATAAGCTTTTATATAAAATTTGTATAAAGAACAGTTTACTATAAATTACCCATTGAATAAAATGTTATTCCTATCCACATAGATCGACCATCCCCAACAAATGAGTAAAAACGTTTACCGATCGGTAGTGTCCATACAACGTAAGCGCGCCGTCATCGCCTGTTTCAGACAGACGTCACTACATTCATTGCCAAGGTTCAAACGATAGTGTGCCGTGTGCCTACGTGTTAGAGTTGTTTTTTGTGTACATTATACTTGTGATATTAACCATTATTATACCTATTAAAATACACAATTATATTAGTGTGTGTTGTTAAAATTAATTAACTTAATTAATAATTTATAGAATATTCTACAGATAATTTAAGACTTGACGTCAAATATTTTAGTTTTTAAATATATATGTGTCTACGAAACAGTTTTCTAATAATAGCATGCAATTTTACACATACTCTTCAAATAACTGAAAAACTATAAAAAAGGAAATTTGTTCAAATGAATGGTTTTTAATATGAAATCTAATAACTAAAGTGCTATGCATGCTGCATTGGACTAACAAAAAGGCGACGAAACCGAAACAACGGTCTGATAATTGGAAGAGAATATTGTGTGCGGCGAGGAAGAGGGCTGCCATGGCTTGCCTGAGATCTAGACATTTGTACAAAATCAGTAGGTAAGAGATGTTCGTGATGAGATGAAGTAAGATTAATGCATGGACTATGGTTGACTATAACCATGGAGTAATTTTGTTGGAAGAAGCGTTTTCTATTGTTTGATTATATTTTAAACATAATAAGCTATTTCTTAAATAATCAATTGTAATATGTCTTTGTTTTGCGTTTTATTAACGAAAAACTTAAAAAGTTTAGTTTGATTATATGCCTTTTAATATGTGCACTATATAATTTACAAGTATTTATTCGTTCAGGTTATCTATCTAAAGTAACTAGATAAAATTTACATTTTAAACTTCTTTCAAATCCGACCGTTACCTCGAAGAAGTAAAACCGTCGTTATAAAGAAGTTACAGCACACAAACAACTCACTCATTAATTATTTAATCAATAATTTATTTTTTTATTTTTCAGACATCGTGCGTGCAATATATTTGCGCGGACTTACTATGAGCTATGGTTAGAGGAAGAAAATGTGGGACAAGAAGTTATGATTGAAGATTTAACGGTAATCTAGGTTAAATATATAAAACCACGATTTCATTCCACTACAGTGGAATTCGCGGATTATTTCGCGGATTTCTTTGTTTCCGACGTTTCGAATGCTTTACAGCAATCATGGCTACAGGAGAGACAATTAAGATAAATCCGCGAAAAAATCCGAAAAGATATTTTTTAAGTGTCAAATATTCGCGTAAATCTAAGAAAGTATTAAGAAATGGTTATTTAAATTTCTTTTTAATTATTGTTCTCCATATTTTATTTGAAGAACTAGGTAAATCTAGTATACATATATAAGCATATATGAGATTTTGAAGGCATAATATGACAAACATTAATATTTTTTCTTAGCAATCCTTCGAAGATGCAGAATTAAAGAAAAGTGATGTCGTGGAAGAAGAAGGCAAGCCGGACCCTCTCACACAACTTGTCACTACGTTCTGTCGTGGCGCCATGACTGAAAGATCTGGAGCTTTGCAGGTGAGAAATAATGGGATGTATTCCCTTTTTAACGTCCCACTGCTGGGCACGGATCTTCCGTCAATACTAGTTGGATCAAGCCATAGTCCAAAACGCTGAACCGAGTGCGGGTGGACTGAGCACATCTTTCGAAAACTTTTTGGGTTCAAAGCTTGCTAGGACATGCAAGTTTCCTAACGATGTTTTCCTTTACCGTAAGACAAGTAATGAGTTTGAATAATAACGTGCTACCTAACTGTTACACTCACGCATTTTAAATTTTTCAAAATCACTTTTTTCGACCCTTTACGGTAACATACAGAAACATCAAATCAAGTATATTAAAGGCATTAAGTTATTATGAATTACGAGTACGATCTTGGCCGATATTTTAAATGTACTCCCATAAAGTATAATTGAATGTATGGAAAAATTATTGAATTCAAAATGTCTTTAGATTTTACAACTTTTTTGATTTTTATTTTTTTTCTACTTCCTAAAAAAATATGACATTTCAATATACAATTTACAGGAGGATCCTCTATACATGTCGTACGCAGATATAATAGCAAGATCGTGTGGTGAAGAAGAAGAAGAAGGCGGTGAAGAAGAAGAAGGTGGTGGTGGGGAAGCAGAAGCGGGGGGAGAAGAGGAAGGCCGTGCTAGTATACATGTAAGAATTAAACATTGTTCTAGAAATAAATTGGTAAAATAAGAATGATTCCAATCAAAGTATAATAATGTAGCTGCAAAAATTTTTTTGTGAATTTTTAATCTTCAATACCTGTGACGTAACCCAATACGAGATTTTATACGACGTTTATATACATAATACCTGGATGATCGAGCTACGCTCGGAGTTTTTGGCCGAGAGTACAATTTTCTTTAATAAAAAAAACTTGAATAAATATAAAAAAAAAAAACAAAAGTAAATACTTTGTACACGATCGGAATTCGAACCTGGACACCTGTGATTGTCAATCTCGTTTTACTACAATGCTTATGCCCGAGCGTGCGAATATATATATAGCGATATTTTTTGCGTGCAAATGAAAACTGCATGAAAACTCATTTTTGGAAACACATTTAACATTTGGAAAATGCATTTACGCACGACGTGTGGGACTCACCGGCGTAATACAGCCAGTACTACCCACTAAAACCCAACAAAACCTTCCCCCGTCTTATTGGGGCGTCGCAGGATCGCTTACGCATTCAACTACGACGCCCCGACGGCAGGTCCGCCGAAGCAGACCACCACAACCATGGGGTTGCTCCACAGTCCACTCTGCTATCAGAGAAGTACCAGGAGCAACCCGCAAGGTACACCGCCCTCCGAAGAGGGCCACCTCCCATCGCCCACCGAAGTGGGCAACCTCCCTGTGCGTTTCTTAGCTTCGCTACTGCTACTGAGCCCCCCCACCACGACAAGGTGAACGCACATTGGGGGGGTCCCAGACATAAGACTAATCTAGATCGATTTTTCGCCAGCGTAAACCCCCATGTACCAAATTTCAGCAAAATCGTTAGAGCCGTTTCCGATATCGCCGGTATAAATATACTAGAATTGCTGTTTAAATATATTAGATAGATATAAAATGTTGAATTGAAGATTTCAATAAGTTACTCTATTTAACGCCCAGATTTTTCACGTTTTGCTTTACTTTGGATTTTTTTTATTAATGGAAGAATAAAAATATTATATTTTGCGTTGCAAGCAGAAAACGATGGATATGTTCATGGTATGTACGAAACGGTTTGGATTATTTTATTGATTAATTCAAATCTTTACCTCAATTTTATTCCTATCAAGTTATGGCCGAAAAACATATAGAAAATAATATGAAACTCCTATAAATAACAGATATAAATAATTTATGAGTACTATCAATCAATATCAAACAAACAAAAAATTTTTTATATATAGTTTAATTGAATAGTTTATACCACCAGTTAATACTCACACATACTCTTCTTAAGATGTTTCAAAGCCTTTCCCCTATACAATTTATATGGCAACAAAATCAAATTTTCAGAGATTCCAGTTTTTTTTACCAAGTATTTATGGTGGAATTTTGGATATTGGTGTCAACTACTCCATTCCATTCCTATAACGAATATCGTCTACCATTATTACTGAAAAAGAGTATTATTTATTTTTGCCTCTATATAATTATTTTTAATACATATTATAATAATATTTCCGTAGGAACAAGAAATGGAAAAACAAAAGCTATTATTCCACCAAGCTCGCCTCGCCAATAGAGGGGTCGCGGAGATGGTACTTCTCCATATATCGGCGTCTAAAGGAGTGCCCAGCGATATGGTCATGAAAACGTTGCAGTTGGGAATATCTATACTTAGAGGAGGCAATATTGATATACAGATGGTAAGAATTGTTTATTATATCTTGTGTAGATAAAGAATGGGATCAAAAATAGCGTATACATGCTCATTGAGCGACTTTGAGTTTGACTGAGTTCTAATATCATTATTTGTTGCAGCATTGTGGTTAATGACCTAATTAAATTTGTATACCTGTGTTACTAATGTCTCTCCCATGACCACGATTGCCGCAAAGTATTCAAACTATAGTTTTATTTTATTATGAATGTTTTAAAAATATTTACCAAATTCCATATCGAAATTTGATTTAAAAGTGATTTAATAATTTAGGCTATATCTCAAATTCGACAATTAAAAATTCCGAATATACAAAATTGAAAGAATAAATTCCCAATGAAAAACAAAGATATAAATAGAACATTTTAAAACTGTCTTTTCGATAATTTTCGCGGATTTATTTTGATTTTTTAGTCTCTCCCGTAAACATGCGCGTAAAGAACCAAAAATCAAAATAAATCCACGAAAATATCAGAAAAGATAGTTTTTTTTAATGTCAAATGTTCGCGTAAATCTAAGAAATATTAGGGATATTTATGTCGAGATTGCGAAATCTATGAAATCAAATGCGAAATTTATATTCAATATTGGTATTTATCTTATTGTTATTGACATTCAAAAAAATATTACCAACAGTTTGAAATGTCTCGTTCCCTTTAGTTCTTAGAACTCTTAATCATTTCTTGACTTCTTTTCTATAATAATAATAAAAAAATCACTTATTTCTAACATTGAATTGGCCTAAAAGGTGATCAGATAGAAAAGTATAGGTCATTTTAAAGTTTAATCTTAATTAAAATATTTTTCCAGGGTATGCTTAACCATCTTAAGGACAAGAAAGATGTCGGCTTCTTCACATCGATTGCTGGCTTAATGAACTCCTGTTCAGTGCTCGATTTGGACGCCTTTGAGAGGAACACGAAAGCTGAAGGTTTGCGTTTTTTTACATTGAGTATTGGAGTAATTTTCAACTTTGCACTTTATATACATATATGGAAGTAGGTTTATAGCTATTTATATAATATCTGTATCTAAACAATCCTTTTTTTTAATTTTGTTGGTCTGTATGTCGGTCTTTCTTTTTGTCCGGGGTAATCTTTGGAATGACTTAACTGAATGTAATGGGACTTTCACTGAAAGACATAGGAGTTTATAGGGCTACATACAGCACATGTTTTGATACTAAACATAAAGGAACACTTGATAATACCAATATTGTACATCCCAGGTCTGGGAGTGGGCTTAGAAGGTGCGGCCGGAGAGAAGAACATGCACGATGCCGAGTTCACTTGCGCGTTGTTCCGTTTCATACAACTAACCTGTGAAGGACATAATTTGGGTGAGTTATAGTTTTGACCGACTTTAAAAAGGAAAATGATAGATTTAATTAACAATTTTTTTGTGTACAAAATACAAAATTAAATTATTTAATTGTGAACTAATTTTCTTTATTATTTCTTATACCTCTTCCCTCTAGAGAACATGGCCTATAAATGGCAATATACCTATATAGGGCAAGGGTATTTCTGTTTTATATATTTGTTAACTAGAAATAGTAAACTCGAGTAGTTTTCATTATTCAATCTTTGTAGAAACTATGAATTATGAAAAATTTATTGTATTTCAGAATGGCAAAACTATCTCCGTACACAAGCCGGTAACACGACGACCGTCAACGTTGTCATCTGCACCGTCGACTATCTGCTGCGTTTGCAGGAGTCCATCATGGACTTCTATTGGCATTACTCCAGTAAGGTCAGTAAACATTAAAAAAATAAACGATATGTTTCAAATGAAGTCTTATTGGGTTTTGTCGCGGTTGTATTCTTAATTTTTTCTTCCCGATGACTTTCGAATGCTTGTCGGCAATAAATCATGGAAATAACAAAAAAAAAACACGTTTTTGTCTGGCGTTTTTTGTCGATGAGGGGAAATAATTTCGTAAAGCATGATAATCATGAAAATCAATGAACTTCTATCTTTAATTTAAAAAATCTTTTTTTGGTAAAGACACTTTATGGCCCAGAGAGTATTAGAAGATTTATTAGTTGAGGTAGGGCATATAAATTCAGTTTAAGAAATATTTTACAGAAATATTTAAATTATAACATCCTCGTGACAGATTTCGGCCACGGCGGCCAATCCCACTGAGACTGAGCCAACTGCAAGAGATATTATAGTGGAATGTCTAAGAGAGCGCACACATATACACTCTCGCACGACCATTTTATAATTACTCTAAGATATACATAGTATTTTCAACTTGCTATTGAATATTTGTTGACAGAAATCTCCAGTACCACTAGGGCATTCTTCTCAGACTTACATACTGACATTTAACTTAAATTTATAAAAAGTAAAGTGACGATTCAAAAGTGCTTATAACAGTCTATATGAATGAAGTATAATTTGATCTGATTTGAATAATTATACTAAGCCCGACTTGTGACTCGAACCCAGGGCCTCCAGAACTGCAGCCGTGCATGCTACCTACTAGCCATAATATAGGATAAAATCAATAATACAAACTATATCTCAACAGGAATTAATAGACCCGGCAGGTAAAGCAAATTTCTTCAAAGCGATAGGAGTCGCGTCGCAAGTGTTTAACACTCTCACTGAAGTCATTCAGGGACCTTGTACGCAGAACCAACAGGCATTAGCACATTCCAGGTAATTAATACTATATATATATATATATATATATATATATATATATATATATATATATATATATATATAACGTTTCCATGGAAACTGACATTTGCCGCCATTTTATTTATTTTTTTCTTAGTACCAACGCACGATGAAACTGGTGAATATGGATAGAAGATATTTAAATAAATAAAAAATAACAGCAACATGCTATCCTAAAGTGTCACTTTTTTGGGATATTTTGTAGTAAACATCCCTTGTATGAGAATTATGGAAAGTATTATATAAATACAATTAAAGCATATTATTAACACGTATTTATTTCATTTTTAATAATTGCCATCATTTTATGAGTGGTGATTTTTATTTATAGCAATAAGAGATACCTATTCAAATTCTCTAAAAGGCCCTCTCTAAGAATGTCTCAGGCACTTCCAATAAAAACTAAATATATAAATCAATATAAACATATATCAATGTACACAGCTTTTTAACGTCCCACTGCTGGACACGGTCCTCCCTTCAATACAAGGGAGATCAGGTCCTAGTCCACCACGCTGGCCGAGTGCGGGCGGACTGAGCATGTCTTTTGAAAACTTGCTCTCTCTAGGTCTCTCTAGGTAGGTTCTCTCAGACATGCAGGTTTCACGATGTTTTCCCCTTACCGTAAGACAAGTGGTAATCATGTTGGAAATGATTCGCACATGAAAATATCACAGGTACGAGACCCGGGATTAAAACCGGCATCACTCGGCTTTCCAAGCCAGCGCGTTACCACTGAGCTACCACTGCCGTCATATACATCAATATAATTATATTAATATAATCCTTAATCGATAATCAGGTTGTGGGACGCAGTTGGAGGTTTTCTCTTCCTGTTCTCTCACATGCAGGACAAGCTGTCGAAGCACTCCTCCCAAGTGGACCTTTTGAAGGAATTACTCAATCTGCAAAAGGACATGATCACTATGATGCTGTCTATGCTTGAAGGGAATGTCGTTAATGGTAAGTGATGTGTTGTTTATGAAATTTCATGAGAAATAATTAAGGTTCCTTTGCGAATAATTTAGTTTTTTATCGTCCCACTGGGCACGAGCCTCAACAATGAATATGTCGTTCGAAGTTAGATTAGACTTTCTAGTAGGGGACTACTTACTTACCATCGTTGAAGTAGATACAAAGTGTCTTGTAATTTATTAAGCAAAGCATATTACTCTGTTCAAGGGTTTCTTGTTGATGGAAATGTGTGGGATTGAAAAATATTCCCTCATTACGGGCTATCTAATATCTATAATGTTATATGAAATAAAATGTAACTTCGATATTTAAATGAGCAACTGTTGAGTTTCTCGACGTTTCTTCTCAGCAAAACTGCTTTTCGAGCCGGTGCAGTGGTAGATTCCTCACGGACTCGGATCTTTAAATTAAATTGACGATTCAAAAGTGTTTATATCATATAAGTCTAATATTATGTTTCATTTCATTTCCTCTTTTAGGCACAATCGGTAAACAGATGGTCGATACACTCGTAGAATCTGCGTCTAACGTAGAATTGATCTTAAAGTATTTCGACATGTTCTTAAAATTGAAAGATCTCACTTCAAGTGCTAGTTTCAAAGAGATTGACGCAAACAGCGATGGATGGGTGTTGCCTAAAGACTTTAAAGAGAAAATGGAACAACAGAAGAGTTATACGCCGTAAGTGTAATAAAACTATAAAAAATGAAAGGTTTTTATATTAAATTGTATTGACAAGCTTTTTCTTATATATCGAAATATGTGTTTATATTTTAGTGGTGTCGCTTCATGAAAAAAGTATAACTATAACATAATGGTTTCCAAAGTTATCACTTATCACCACCGCTATTCTAATGTTGTTTAGTTCACATGGCATATTAAATGCTGCATTACAACTACAACACTCATAACTATCTTACTCACACAGTAATATTGATTTATTAAAAAAAGAACATTTATTCTTAAAAATACATAATATATGATATTATTTTTATTTTTAGGGAAGAAATAGAATTCCTCCTAGCTTGCTGTGAAACCAATCACGACGGCAAGCTGGACTATGTGGGTTTCTGCGACAGATTCCACGAACCCGCCAAAGAAATCGGGTTTAATTTGGCGGTTTTGCTCACAAACTTGTCTGAGCACATGCCGAATGAACCTAGGTGAGTTTAAATCACACTACTGTATTTATGAATCAAACTGTGTGTGTGCGTGTGTATGTGTGTGTATTGTTACTCCTTAAAACTGAAATGGCTGGACGAATTCAGATAAAATTATAGTACACAGATAGACTATAATCTGGAGTAACACTTATACCATTGTTGACGCGTCCGAGCAAAGGGAGAGTAAATTCACTATAAATTTTTGTATTTGAAATATTTTTCGAACGTTAATAAAGGTATTTTCTTAAAAATACAAACATACTCGTATACTATACTCGTTCATTGCTCATGCTTTTCACACATATTTGTCATATTTATCGTGTAAAGAAACTAATCCAAATTATTATATTGGTCAAAAACTAAACGTTATTTTACGGAAAATAATTTAATCTGATACACATTCTTCATATTATTCATTCTTTAAACACAGATTAGCACGCTTTTTGGAGACTGCTGGTTCAGTGTTGAACTACTTCGAGCCTTTCCTTGGTCGTATTGAGATCATGGGTGGCTCGAAACGTATAGAACGAGTTTACTTCGAAATAAAGGAGTCCAACATTGAACAATGGGAGAAGCCGCAAATTAAGGTATGTATATTTGATATAAGAATGTCTCTCTTATGATCTTACGCATATTTATAATATATATATTATATATATATATATATGTTATATATGTGTAGTGTATCAACTATCTGGTACCCATTAGACAGTCCTCGTAGCTTACCATGGAACTAGATGGTGCTGTGTGTCTAAACTAAGAAAAATAAAATCTTAAATATAAATAAGATTATTTTAATTTAAAACTACTATAATTAATTACAATTGTAGGAATCGAAACGCGCGTTCTTCTACAGCATAGTAACGGAAGGTGGTGATAAGGAAAAACTTGAGGCTTTCGTCAATTTCTGTGAAGACGCCATATTTGAAATGACGCATGCGTCTGGTTTGATGGCCGCCTCTGAAGAAATAGCCGGAGGGCCGAAAAATAGAGAGGCTTATCATATATACATGGGAGATGATGAAGAGGAACGGTGAGTGGAAAGATGGAAGATGTATTTTATCTTTAAATTATCTTATATGTCTCAATGATATGTTAATTTAATTTACTTTTTTTTCTAATATAGTTTGTGTATGTGTACCCTAGGCAGTGGTAGCCCAGTGGTAACACGCTAGCTTGGGACACCTATAATACCTAATTATAATCAGGATGGCATTCACCATACATAGCGTAAAACTTTCTTAAATGATTTTTATCATTATTTTAGATGATATAATTTTTTATATATTAACTGCCTCTGTTTTATTATGTAAAAGAAATAATGTCAACCCTAAGGTTGCATATTTTGACATTTTTATTTCAGTAATCTATACATTTATATCAGATTTTCAACCGATATTAAAAAAGGGAAATACCTAAATAAAAATAAATAAGTTTCAATATAGAATTTCACCTCTGAGAGTGACTAAGAATGTACATTTTTACTTAGAAAGTATCAAATAATTATAAACATATTTTATTCCAGAGCTGGTAAAGACCCATTCCGTAGAGGTTTCCAATCAGTGAAGGATGGCATTTCCACAGCATTCTCGTCTCTATCGCCCTCCAATATAAAGGCTAAAATCGCAGATATGCAACAAATGCCGCCCGCTGAACTATTTATTGGCTTTTTCAAACTGTTCTTCTATTTCTTCTATTATATCGGATATGGTTTTGTTGTTGTTATTAGGTGAGTTGATCTTTTCTATATATATTTTTATGTATGTCTGTGTATAAATTATTTTGTTTTGTTAAATATTGAAAGAAAACTCTATAGGTATAACATTGTAAAATATTTCGGAATATTTTTAAAAGAGCAACTGCTTTCCGAGCCGGTGGTAGCTTCCTCACGGACTGACTAAACTGACGCTCTTTAAATTGACGATTCATAAATGCTTATAATAAGTCTAATTGAATAAACTTTAATTTCATTCATTTCGTTTAAATGTACTCAGTATATAAAGCAAAATAACGATAGCCATATTTCTATTTGAATTCATACAATTTTACAAATTAAATAGTCTAATATGTAATTTTTTTAATGCATTTATAAAACAGAAGGCTGAATGGTTAAAGGCTGAATACTGGTATATCCATGGATCAAAAAAGTATTAGATACACAATCAATATTTATTTTTTTAATTAAAATGTATTGATTTTTTGTGTAAAAACAACTTAAGGCACTGCATTTAAGGTTCAATTTACATTTTTGTATATTTATTTTAACTAGAATAATTACCTAAACACAATCGGTGACAGTTTTAAGAGAACTTTTGAATGGGATTGTGTATGTAGTACTTTTTTGATCGGTGGGTGTATCTAATTATTATTTTTTTTTTGTAAAATATAAACGACTAAATAATTTTAATACAAATCGTTTAGTGTGCAATATTTTTTTCATAAGAATTATAATGTTAATGGTGTCTCATTTCACGCAACGTAATCGATGCACAGTCATTGGTAATTTACTCATTATTACCTTTTATATTATATTGTAAACTATTTGTTTAGTTGATATTTTTTTTAATTCGTAGACGTTTTCGTTGTTTATACATATATGTATAATAATATATTATTATTTATTCACCTTAAAATTTTTAATATAAGTCACCATCTTGATGTTTTGCACTACTTTTTTATTGTATATACGAGTATATTTAAAAATAATACAAATTACTCGCTTAAATTTAACACTTCATAAGCTATAAATATAACTTATTTTCATTACTTACTTATTAAATTAATATAAAATGAAATTCTTATTTTCTTGAAATATTTTTTTAAAATCATTCGCTGATTTGATAGAAGCATGTGGTTCAATGAATATAGAACTGCGATAGATCTTTGTCTTCTACTCATTCTTTCACTGTCTTATCATTTAATCTTACTTATTTTCATAATTTCTTTAATTTCTCTGTTAATTCTATTCTATTCTTTTTTATAACAGAATTAATCGAGAAATTTATAAATAATCACATAAACTCATAGGTAAACTGAGTTTATGATTTTTTCCTATGGCATTTAATTAATGTTTCCACTACATTATTTCCATTTATTATTACATTTTTATAATAATTCTAATATCCCCCAATAATTAATATATCATATCTTTTTTTCACTAACCAGAATTTTATAGGTAAACTAGCGACTCACCCTCGCTACGCTCGGGTTCGGCCCTACTTACGTTTTATACCAAATTTCATTAAAATCCCTCTAGTGGTTTTTCCGTGATGCAGTAACAGACAGACAGACACAAAAATCTAAAAACTAAAGATTCGGACTCTGTATCGATAGTAATGTCTATTTCAATAAGATTTCCCAAAAAATATTTAATGTACAGATTCGGCTTAGTTACAATTTTATTATATGTATAGATTTTTTTAGGAACTTTGTGAGTTTATGTGCGTGTGTGGGTGTCTGTGTTTGAGTGTATGTGTGTACGTTTGTTACTCTTTCACACTGAAACGGCTGAACGGAATAGTATGAAATTTACTATTCAGATACATTATGACCTAGAGTAACACAGGCTGCTAGGCACTTAAGGACGCGACCCAAGCAAAGCTAGGGTATATCGCTGGTGAATATTAAACATATATTTATATAGGTACATATTTGGCGTCCTGCTTGGCCTCATGCGAGGCCCGCAGTCGGACGCGCCGCCGCCCGAGCCCACGGAGGAAGAGAAAATCGGTCAGTTGAAGCTCTCTCTTCACATGCACAGACACGCGCAAAGTAAGGCGACGTTTATAGTCGATGGGATGTCATGCGGGACTGTTTTTAGCTTCCAAATGTTTTCATATAATATATTATAACATAAAATAATGGCTTTAATTATGGGATATTAGAGTTAGATTTTGAGGGGAATGGTTTGAAGCTCTCTCTTTTCACATGTACTGACGTGCAAAGTAACGGGATTTTTATAGTTGATGGGATGCAAGCGGGATTGTTTTTGGCTTTCAAAAGTTTTCATATAATATATTATAACCTAAAATAATTTGGCTTTAACGGTTATGGGGTATTAAAGTTACATTTATAAGGGGGTTGGCTTTGTGCGGGATGGCAAGGAAGGCGACGTTCATAGTCGATGGGATACGATGAGAGCGTTTATTGCTTTCAAATGGTTTGTGTTTTGATATAATATATTACGAGTGTAGCATCAAATAACATGGTTTTAACGATTAAGGGGGGATTAGGGTTCGATTTTGGCGAAAATGGCAGGCAGTAATTGGCAAACTAGACTACTGAATTTAGGAAAGACTTTTAAGTAATTCAATTTTTAACTGGTTTTTCTTTGATAATAAAGTAATATTAGTAAAAAATAACTATAATTTGCTAATTCCAAATATTTTATATTTCGTCACTTAATTTTTTTTTATTATGATTTAAAATTGCAGCAAATACTTTATAATATTTATAATTTAAATATGAAATTATGAAAAAAACAAATATTACTAATAAATTAATAATTTACATATATATAATTTTCTTATTTGTTGAAGTTTTATGAATAACTTTGAATTAATAAAATTCATTTTAAAATCATTTTTATGAAATCAGCTTTTGGATTAACTAAAGGTAACACATTCACGACACTCACTTTACATTATTTGCATGGTATTTTATAATAATTATTATTTAATTATATTTATAAAAATATTACAGAACTTAGTAGGTAGTACAGTCTTGATATAATGGGTTCGATTCCTGTACAGTGTAAGGTTTATTATTAAATAAATGTTTGTCACATTAATAACGAAGAAATGGTCATCATAATAACGTTTATCATAATATTTTATTTTGGGGTACCTGTTTTAAATATTAGAAGGCGTGAAGATCACAGTAGTGCTAACAAATATTAGTATAATATATTATCTTGTGATTAATTCAGGTTTTTAGTAATTACTTTTAAATACTTGTATTAATTTTTTTTTTAAATATATTCCTTTAAAAACTTCAATGGTCAAAACTATATGAAATAGAGACACCTGTTTATAAAAGCATAATATTATTATTTCATTGGACGTGAAAAGCAAACAAAATTGCTCTCTAACCATATTACAATATATGTACTAATATGCGAAAACTTGTATGTGTGTATATTTGTCATTCTTTTACCTTCGAACACCTGGACAGATTTTCATGAAATTAAGTACACATACTATGTATAATAGGGAGTAACATAATAATAGGCTACTATTAGGCAAGTCTCTAGTTACAATATAAAATACTCTATACCTACATATATATTTTTTTATTGGAATTTTGTGTTTAGGCCCCGTACGACATTTGCCGGCGTTACCGGCGGCCGACGATACGGGGCAGATGCAAGTGTCGGCTTTCGGTTTGGATATCACTAAAGAAGATAATGGCCAGTGAGTATTTGTTAATTTTAATGCCGTTTTTACATATATGGAGGAATGATAGTATTTGGGTCACGCGAGAGTGAGATTATTATGAGATTAGACGCGGTAAGATTTTCATGTACCTGATTACCACTTGCTTATATGACCAGTCCACATTTGGCCAGTGTGGTGGACTATGGCCTGATCACCTTCGTATTGGCAGGCCTGTGCCCAACAGTAGGACGTTAAAATACTTGAACTACTTATTATCTTTATTACTAGTAATAGTAGATGGAAATATTTTACATTTAATATTATATATAAACAAACCAATTTTTGCCCGCGCCTTAGTTTTAGAACTGAAATTTAAGTTCTATAAATTACATACATATTCACTTGCCTTTAAAGAATATATCTTGTAACAATAAAACTTCCACACAGGATACAAGTGAAACCTCACGAGTCACCCAGCACGTCCACGCCGTCGTCAGGGGAAGAGGCAGAGGTGTCTCCCGACGAGAGTGTGGAACATTCTGAGGAGCAACAACCGCCGTCTCTTATCGATCTTTTGGGGTAAGTTTGTCCATCCCTTGGGGACTGGGGTGAGTTTTTGATCTCTAGGGGTAAGTTATCCTATGTTATATTTTATGGGATTCTATAAGAGATGTACACTGCCGTCTTTTTTATCGTTTATTCATTTGATCAGATTTTTTGGAAGAGTTTAGATATTTTAAGAGTTTTGTTAATTTTAGTGTATTCCGAAGTTGGTAATATATAGTTAATAGTAAAAAATATATTTATTCCAGCGGAGAACAAGCAAAGAAACAAGCACAAGAGCGTATGGAGGCGCAAGCTGTTCAACAAGCTGCCATGTCGGCCATCGAGGCAGAGAGCAAAAAGGTTTTATATTTATATAATTTAATTTATTTTTTTCATCTGTAATTTTATATAGTGTAACATGCGGATTTAATTTTATTTTTATTTGACGTAATTGTATGTTATAAATTTCATTTTATTTATACTATAATAATAAATAAATAAATAAATATAATTGTAATATAAATTTTATTACTAATGTATTTTATAATGTATTTGTTATATAATAATGCGTATATAATTTTTAGTATTTTTTAATATGATAACTATTTCTTTTTGGTATGCAGCCAGGATTTGACAAAAGATATTTTCGGTACAGAAAGGTAATGATAATGTAGCCTAAAAAAGTATCGAATATATTTTATATATCGAATATATTATAACCAAATAATTGGGTGCTATTATATAATATTTAAAATTGACTATTCAAACAAAAAATATTAAAATAAGTAAAGCGTAACCAAGTGAAGTGGGTTCAAATCCCGGGTTTCTCCTATGATATTCTCATCTGTGAATCATTTTCAACATTCTGAGGAAACTAACATGTCTGGGAAAATCTAAACTAGTTCTTAAAAGATATGCTAAGTCCACCAACACACTCTTGCATGGTGGACTATGGCCTGATCCTTACTTATTGGGTTGCCTAAACTTGTTCAATGAGTACCTGTGGTCATTGGTCAAAGGTAGTGTGGATTTTCTCCCTATTTATAGAAAAAGTTGACGAAAAGTTATTTAAAAAATATATATTATTTGTATTATAAAAAACTTTATACATTATTTTAGGTCATCTGCGATTATAAAAAAAAGATGCCTGACAAACATTTTTATTTTATCAAATTTTTATTTTTAGCCGTATATCGAATATACGGCCAATAATAAAAAATTATACATTTAAAGTTTGGTTAAATAAGAAAAATTAAAAAAATTAAAAAAAAACGACCATCTTGGACCGATTTTCATCAAACATAGCTAAGAACACTCCCGACTAACTCACCTTTCAAACAACAAAAAAAAATCAAAATCGGTTCATCCGTTCGGGAGCTATGATGCCACACACAGACACACACACACGCAGACACGTCAAACTTATAACACCCCGTCGTTTATGCGTCGGGGGTTAAAAATAATGAACCGTCCACACTTCCACTGCCAGCAAGCGGTGTCGGGCCCGACGCCGTCCGCGCTGTCGCAGGTGGACCTGTCGGTGTACACGCGCCGCGCCGTCTCCTTCCTCGCCAGGAACTTCTACAACCTGAAGTACGTCGCGTTGGTGCTCGCATTCTGTATCAACTTCGTTCTGCTCTTTTATAAGGTCCGTATTTGTTAGTACACACACACATACATTCATTGTTGTATTATTTGTACATAACAAAGTGTCACAGGTCACTTTATGTTTTCGTTGGAAATTTAGTATTTCTATTTTGCATATTCTGGAATTCGAATAGTCAAGTTTTAGATTTCGTTTTCACGTTTAGTATGGATTTCTCAGAAATGAGATATTATCCCGCAGTAAAAAGTATCCTATATGTTGACCCGTATAACAAGCTATTATCATAGCAAATTTCATCAAAATCTGTCCAATGGTTTTCTCTTAATGCGTTCCCAGACAGAAGAGACAGACAAAAATTCTAAAAACTATAGATTCGACCTCTGTATCCATAATAATGACTATTTCTATAAGATTTTCCAAAAAAATATTTAATGTACAGATTCGACTCAGAATTTTATTATATGTATAGATTTCTTTAAATAACTTTTAAATTAGATTTCGAGATGGAATCCGTAAATATTTTTAACATACACAATAGCAAAATAAAAACTATGTTCTTAGTTTTCGAAGACATTGATTAATATGTTTGTATATTAAGGTATAATAAATTAAAAATATTACACAAGAAAAAGAAAAATAAATCATCAATCCCATTTTTTTCAGGTATCAACATTGGAAGTGGAACGTACTGAAGGTTCAGGAGTTGGAGGAGCAGGAGACATCATTAGCGGATCTGGCTCAGGGCAAGGCTCTGGAAGTGGAGATGGTGAGTGAAGGGTTATTAAAAAAACAATTGAAAGCTATTAAAAAAAATATATTTACAAACAGCAGTACAATATCTTAATTTAGTGGAATATTTTATATTACACAGTCTAATTTTTTGTTTAGATTAACAGAAAACATGGAAAAACCAAATGATTCAAAATCATTTTTTTTGTTATAAGTTTATGTGTTGTGTAATAGACTAGTTAAACTTTTGATAAAATATAATTCCATAAAAAATCTAATCATCCACCCAAATCATTGTATAAGTATTGCGCCGTGTCTGGTCCTAGTGTTTATATGAGATTATCCTCAAAATCTGAGATTATCCTGAAAATCCTTTCACAATAATTGGCAAAGATTGAATAACTAACATATACGATTGTGACCATTATTGGTGTAAAGCATTCGAAACGTGCGTCGGAAAGAAAAAATCAAAAATACGCGAAATAATCTAAAAAGATAATTTCATTTAAAATAAATATTCTCTTTTTCATTAAATAAAACTATCTTTCCGAATTTTTTCTTAGATTTATTGTGATTTTTTGTTCCCGACGCTTCGAATGCTCTATAACAATCATGGTTACGGGAGAGACTGAATTAAGACGTATCAAAGGTAGTTGTTTTGTGAGTACGTGCTGTGTGTAACAAGTATATAGCGAAATCAAAATAAATCCGCGAAAAAATCAGAAAAGATAGTTTTATTTAAAATGTCAAATATTCGCGTAAATCCAAGAAAGTATTAAAGATTATCTTGTTAATAATGCAGGTGGTAGTGGCGAAAGCGATGAAGAAGACCCCTTAGAAGTGGTACTAATAGACGAGGACTTTTTCTATATGGAGCATGTTATCAAAATAGCGGCCGCTTTGCATTCTGTCGCCTCTCTCGCTATACTCATCGGTTATTATCATCTAAAGGTATGTGTCACACTAGTAACATTCTATGACTTTGTCTATGATTAGTTTGCAAGCAATATTAATGTTGGAGTTATATGAAATGAGTTATTTTGATTCATTAAGTTTAATTTTAGCTTTCAGTCTTGATTTTTGTTGATTTTTATCTATGATCAGCTATTTGTTTTAAAGAGATGCTACTTAAGAAATAACCTTTACATAAGATAAGTATATTAATTATTATTCAGGCCCACGTTGGGCGCCAATTTTAAATTCCTAATTATAAAATATTACTTTTTAAAATATTATTTATCGATAAACTCAAATGTATATATTATTATACATAAATTTAAGTATATTATTCGATTATTTAAGGTACCGCTAGCCATATTTAAAAGGGAAAAAGAAATAGCGCGTAGGCTAGAGTTCGACGGTCTGTACATCGCGGAGCAGCCCGAAGATGACGACTTGAAGAGTCACTGGGACAAACTGGTCATATCTGCTAAGTGAGTTTGCTTTTGACTAATAAATGTCCGCGACTTCGCCTATGTGAAGTGTTTTTTTTTTTTTGAAATTTTCTTTAAATGGTCTTAAGTGCCATCTATTGATAAGATTGGAAAGAAAATATTAAATTTGAACTATTGACCTACAAATACGTTTTACATGTTTTAGTCCAGGTCATCAAAAAAAAAAACAAAATGGTCATGGACTATACTCGTATAGTGGCATGTTTAAGTCAAATCACTTTTACACGAATTATTACTACACAATTATAAGTGATTAAGTTACACACCAAACACAGTACCTATTAAAAGCACTTTTTCCACTTATTCTCTTAGAGACAATTTTTTCTTAATTTTTTTTATCAAAGGTGCAACCTTTTAATTTTATTATTCAATACTTATTTTATTATACAAAAACATCATATAAATCGGTTTAACATCAACGAAAATATCTTTTAACATACACACAAAAACGTATATTCGAAAACATACGCAAAAAAAAACAAATAGATCAACTTCTTTTCTTTAAATTTGGTGAAAAATGGAACTTATGCCTATTCTAATAAATATTAAATATATACATTTATAATTATACACACATTATAAAATACTAGTATTATATATTTTTTATACATATATTATTTTGTAATTTACAGATCGTTCCCCGTGAACTATTGGGATAAATTCATAAAGAAAAAAGTCAGAGCTAAATATTCAGAAACATACGACTTCGACTCAATATCTAATATGCTGGGAATGGAGAAGACATCTTTCTCCGCACAAGAAGAAGAAGGAAGCAAAGGTTTCTTCCATTAGTAAGTTGATAATTAAAATACTTGTAAAATAGTGTAGAAATTGTAAAAAGCAGTAGGAAATATAACTTATTGACTAATTAACTGTTATGTTGTGCGTTTGGCACTTAACTGTCTCTCTTGTCTAGTGGCTAGTATGTACGGTGATTCTGGGTTTGAATCCCAGGTTGGGTTAAGTTTCTTTTGTTATGAAATTTTCTAATAATTTAAAATAGTTGAACTTCGACCATTATTAAGGAAGTTATGAGCAAAAAGGAGCGGTTTTTTTTGAAAATTCGATATTTTTGAACCGGAGATCAAAAAGATCTCAAAATTTACCAAGAAGCCTCTTTTGAGAGGTACTAATAAATACCAAAATATTAAAAAAAATCAAAAATATTTTTTTGAAACCGTCCGATTTGGCGTGGAATGCCCCATATGTAAATAGAATAGAATGTATGAAAATAATTAAAATATATATCTAATTACAGTATAATAAATATCGACTGGCGCTACCAAGTGTGGAAGGCGGGGGTGACGATCACGGACAACTCCTTCCTCTACTCCCTCTGGTATTTCTCTTTCTCCGTGATGGGCAACTTCAACAACTTCTTCTTCGCTGCACATTTACTAGATGTGGCCGTCGGTTTTAAAACGCTCAGAACTATTTTGCAGTCTGTAACTCATAATGGGAAACAGGTAGGTTATAACTATTGAAAATTTTAGTTATTTGTTGCTAGTTATCGTGATTAAATAATAATAAAAAAACGTGTGTATACTTATTTATGTACGCACGTAACAAGTTATACTTCTTTGACGTAACAGAACAAAAATAGCTAAAGATTTCATCCCGTATGTCACAATTCTTTGTTTGTAAAAGGAATGCAGCTAACTTCATCATGTCGCTTTTTGGGTGTCGGTGTTCGCGCGCATCGTTAAAATTTTCTCATAATTTTTTCCAAACGTCCCAAAAAAGTATAACTTCAAAAACTTTTACTGTTTATTATATTTACACAAATCTTATTCATGAAGAGTTCGCGTAAATTTATATAATTTAAAGTTACTCAATAAAACCGAAGAGGGCTCTATTGTGTTTTGAGTAGTATATATGTAAATAAAATATTAAGATGTTTAAACATAAGAATTAAATTACGGATCTAAATTCTCGTCTGCCGGTGACCACGGTTGGTGCTACCCTCTGGAAACATCGGGAATAAGGTATAATGCCATTACCTCGGTAGTGTAGTGGCTAGCATATACGGCCGCAGATCTGGAGGTTCTGGGTTCGAGCTCCAGTTCGGGCCAAGTTTAGTTATGGAGTTTTTCGGTTAAGATATTCCCAGTAACCGTCCGAAGTTGGGTAGTCCTGCACCGTTATTCTCACCGCGAATATCTAAGTATCGTCCCATCGGACTTTGAGAGGAAAAGGCATAGAGAGTATAATATCTCTTACGCAGTTGCTAATCTTAGTGAGATTGGCTACGTGGTCGACATCGGTCCGGACGACATTATTATTATGGCACTTATAATTAGACGACACGTTTGGCTTAGTTTGTTGTGACCCTACTTGATGTGCCAGCGGTCGTGGGTTCGAGTCCTGCTGGGGACATTCATTTGTGTGACGAGCACGAATGTTTGTACACCAGTCATGGGTGTTTATATTTATAATATGAATATATTTGAAGTTATATATGTGTAGTGTATCAACTATCTGGTATCCACAACACAAGCTTACCATGGAACTAGATGCTGCTGTGTGCTATAAATTTTAGGACATTAGTCCTAAAATATAAAAAAAATCGTCTTTTATTATTAGGCTTATTAGGCGTCTTTCTTATACAATCATGGGATGAGAACATTTAAAAAGTTATGTCTGATCATTCCAGTTGGTCCTGACAGTGATGCTGCTGACGATCATAGTGTACATATACACGGTCATCGCATTCAATTTCTTCCGCAAGTTCTACGTGCAGGAGGAAGACGATGAAATCAACAGGAATTGTCACGATATGCTTACTGTAAGTATTTTTGTACACCAGCTTTGTAATGATAAATAGCAACTCACCCTCGCTCCGCTAGGCTTCGTCCTTACTTACGTTTTGTTTAGTAGAGATTTCTCAGAGATGAGATATTTTCCCGCAGTAAAAAGTATCCTATATGTTGATCCGGATAATCAGCTATCATCATACCAAATTTCATCAAAATCCCTCCAGTGATTTTTCCGTGATGCGGTCACAGACAGACAGACAAAAATTAAGAATACCGATAACCTACAGGAGATTTGCTTCTTCCGCGTGTACACATTCATACATGCACTCTTTAATTTTTTTATATAATTGTAATCCGTGGTTTTATCTGTCCTTAGTGCTTCGTGTTCAATCTATACAAGGGCGTGCGCGCCGGCGGCGGCATCGGCGACGAGCTGGAGCCTCCCGACGGGGACGACTCTGAAGTCTACCGCATTATCTTCGATATATCCTTCTTCTTCTTCGTCATTGTTATCCTGCTCGCCATCCTGCAGGGTGAGTGATTGTCCACCTGGCTTCTTCTTATCTCCTTGTTTCTTATCCAACATGGTATCGGCACGTATCCTTCTTCCACTTTCCCCTTTCAACCGTCACACCTTTCAAACACATATTTCTCACTCAGTCTAACCTTCTTCGGTCTACATTTTTACACAAACACACATATCTCTCACACTATCTATAATTTCCTCATCATCACACCACTACACACACCATCATCATCCGCATTCATACCAAATATCCTCTAGCCATTATGATTTTCTTCCTTATCTTCTGTGTTACTATAGCTACTTTCAAGCTTCCTCTATTAAACTTATTCCTAATTACATTTTATCATCTCTAATGGTCAATATAACTAAGACTAGATGAACGCTCAAGACTACTATTTGGAGCTTTGGGAGCATTTTTACTGCAATTTGTGTAACATGCCCATTTTCCGATTTGTCTGTTCATTTTTCTCTTATATTTTTTCATCAGGTTTGATCATCGATGCCTTCGGAGAGCTGCGTGACCAGCTCGAGTCGGTGAAGGAGGACATGGAGTCCAACTGCTTCATATGTGGCATCAACAAGGATTACTTTGATAAGGTGTGAATTCATTTTCATATACTGTTTATGAAACACATGTCAGGCCTTAGTGCTTACTTTTTGTAACTAACAGTAGAGAGCTCTTTGCCTCTATTTTAAAAATAATGTTTTCTAAGATTTATATTCATACCTACATAAATTAAAAAAAAATAGTTTTTTAAAGTAAAATTTGTAATTTATACCAATAGAATTAATATCTAAACGTTAATAATTGTATGATACTACGTGACTTAAACGTGTAAATTCGTAAATAGCTAAATATCTTATTCCTGACGTTTCGACTGGGTTGCATCAGCCGTGGTCACTGTTCAGCTGCTCGTCTTAAACTCAAATGATCTATTCATTTAAATATCATGCATGCGTCGAACCGAAACCTCTTTTTCAAAGCCAATTGAATATATTTTTTGGATAATAAATTATTATTATATAAAACAGTATTACCTATAATGACCTCCTCGCAGGTGCCGCACGGGTTCGACACGCACGTACAGCGCGAGCACAACCTCGCCAACTACATGTTCTTCCTCATGCACCTCATCAACAAACCCGACACCGAGTACACTGGTAAATACTAAATATATATTTACGTTTATGTGCCTTTGAAACGTTATTCGTCTACCATTTATCCATACTAATATAAAAAATCCGAAAGTAATTCTGTCTGTCTGCTATCTTTTCACTTAATTAGAAATATCTCAGTAAGAGACGGCTGGACGGATTTGTATGAAAAGTAGGTACCCAAATACACTCGACACGATCTCTGTTTTCCTATCACAGAGCATAATGCCGTACTTTGGCGCATAAACACAAACAAAGCGAAAAAACACTTCATATATTTTCTTCTACTGAGTTTCTATCCGTTGCGCTCATCCCGCCAAAGCAGTATTTTTCAAAGTGCTCGATTGTGCGGAGCGTTGCTGTAGTTGAAACATTTGAAGTTGAGCATTATGCCGCACAATGCGCTTTAGTGCTCTAATTGGAAAACACCCACTATGACCTGGAGAAATACATAGGCTATTAAGCAATCCAAGCGAAGCAAAAGCACCTAAGTCGATGACAACTATGGCATCCATATTGATATTTGTGATGGATGGATCTATGTGATGACACATTTGACTCGGTTTGTAGTGACTACTTGCTGTGCCAGCGGTCGCGGGTTCGAGTCCTGTTAGGGGCATACATTTGTGTGATGAGCACGAATGTTTGTACTCCAATCATGGGTGTTTATATTTATAATATGTATTTAAAAGTTCTATATGTGTAGTGTATCAACTATCTGGTATCCATAACACAAGCCTCGTAGCTTACCATGGAACTAGATGGTGCCGTGTGTTAATGTCCCAACATATTTATTTCTCTATTTATTATTTTATTTTATTATAACAATAATTTACCAGACCAATATCGGACCGAAATGGTCTGCGATCGGCACTATAGTGTGGATCGGTCTTAAATTTTTTTTTCTATACGAAATAATGAATACTTTTCAGTTATTTGTTATCACTAATATTTTAAAATTATTACAATTAAGTATTTAATATATTTATCTTTTATTTCAGGTCAAGAAACGTTTGTATGGAACATGTATACACAAAGATGTTGGGATTTCTTCCCCGTGGGTGACTGCTTCAGAAAGCAATACGAGGATGTTATGGGAGAATAGAAATAATGGCCAAATACGCCTTTACCTTGTTTTCTACTCTTTTAAAATAAAGAGTGACAAAGACAAAAGATAATTGGCTTTTGTACAAATATTTTCAAATCTTAATATCAAATGTTGCTCAAAGTTTTTAACTTGAAATTGCTAAAATAGTGTGGTTATATAAAAAAACCTTGGGAATTGTATGTATTTAGCGCAAATTTATGCCTAAATGTCTGAAATTATTTTTATATGTCAGTAATTGTTAAGAAATTACAAATATATTTACCATTTCTATGGCTACTGTAGTCTGTGGCTTCACTTTCAATAGAACTATTCATCCCATAATAAGGTGGCCTTTCCAAATAAACTTTTCTATTTCATCTTTTTCGATATAGTTTATGTAAGATAATTTAAACGTGTTAAATAATATAATAAATCTTTAATTTATTGATTTTCTGTTTTCTTTTTTACCTCCCAATATATTCGAGTATTATTAAATACTAGTGGCTCACCCTCGCTTCGCTCGGGTTCGCCTCTAGGAAAACAAAAACAAACCTATCCCACGAGAACCGTACATTTTTCCGGGATACAAAGTAGCCTATGTGTCATTCCAGACTATAATCTATCTCTGTGCCAAATTTCATCCAGATTAGTTTAACCGTTCTGGCGTGAAAGAGTAACAAACATCCATACTCACAAACTTTCACATTTATAATATGTATTAGTATAGATGCAAAAACTGCTGGACGGATTTGGATCGAATTTAGTATACAGATAGATTGAGCCTTGGAGTAACATATAGGCTACTGTTAGGCACCTAAAGTCGCACTCAAGCAAAGAGAGGATAAGTCGGTACTATGTACTATCTATACTAATATTATAAAGAGGTAAAATTTGTAAGTTTGTGACGTTGTAGGGGTAATCTCTGGATTTACGACTGATTAAGATGAAATTTGGCAAAAAGATATTTGAGACCCTGGAAAGGACATAAGATATTTTTTATCCCGGAAATCATCCCTTCAGGGGGTAAAAATGGGGATGAAAGTTTGTATGGGGAATCAACCTAGGAACGAACCCAAGCGAAGCGAGGGTGAGTCGCTAGTTGTTTATAAAACAAATAAAATAACAATAGTCTAAATACGGATTTATTTATACTTTATTATTTATACTCGTTTCCAACGTCTCGCTTTCGTTTGTAACTAGCTCATGAAACTCTCATCCTCCAGCTCTCAGTAACCTAGGATATGCAGTAAGTAGTCAATATTACTTGCATTCTACATCACAGATATAATACTATACTACATACGAACAGATGTCATACAAAGAAATTAGACAGAGTTAATTTGAGCAATACTTCGGGCTGTTTTGGTTTGCTCGAGTACATTCACTAATTGCCGAACCATTTTATTATATAAATATGTAACTATACATAAAATAACAAAGCAAAATTGAAAAAAAATAGTGACTAAAGTCTAAGAACGTGACAAAAAGCTCACAAAAATATATGTATAAGTAAGTGCCATCTGTCAATATGCCACCACAAACTTGTTATTCTTAGGGTATTAGACTACATAATGAAACACTCATGACTTATAATATTTTATTAACAGATATTTACAGTTGATCTTTTATATACACTTATTTTTCTTAAACTAACGATTGTATCAGTCTTATTTACTATGGTTCTGTTCTGGCTTTGCCTCGATTTTATAACAACATAAAGAAAAAAAGAAATATGGAAGAAACAAAATTTTGAAAATATAAGTTATTAAAAAAAAAGAATTAACTTCATGAACTTTTCAAAACAGTTGAGTTTTTATTTAAAAAAAAAGTATCTTTTTATACAAACCACAGATAAAACAAAAATATAATCTGTACATATTTCAATTGACAGACGGTTGTTTATGGGCTAGATACAGAGTAAAAATACTGGTTAAAGCGCTAACTAGGAATATGACGTCAAACCATCTGTGATAGAAATTGAATTGTAAATCGCCCAACACTTGTGTTATTATTATTCTGTACTCTGGAGGCATGTTCATCCTCATTAGAAGTACAGACGAACAGAAATACATTCCCATTATTTGAGCGAGTATCATCACTATTATGTTTGAAGATTTTGATGATGAGATTTTGTAGAAAAACTGGAAAAAAATAATATTTTATACACATTATAATATTTATTATGATATATGTTGCTTAACTCAAAATAGAGGTAAACCAATATGCATTAAATTTATTTTATAATTTCATTGCATTTTTCGAATTATAAAGCAAAGAGTCTAAACTAAATAAACAATTTGTACATAATTATCGAATAAAAGTGGTATATTCAATATTTATTAGGATATGCGAAAGAATATTTTTGAATTAATCACTTTATAAATGTATTATAATGTGAGAGTTTGTGTGTGTGTTTGTTTCTAATTTTCGCTGAAAAAGCTCTATTACTTGGAATAACACATAGGCTACTGTTAGTAGCAAAATTTACAACAACAGCAAAAATACAAGTAAATACAAAAGGTATGCAGGGATGGATATATGTATATTATATAGTGACGATATACAGAAATTCTAAATAGTTTTGAGGCTGGATTACACAACAGATATTCAACTTCTTACGTCCATAGGAAAATATTTTTTATTACATAATACTTTGATATATTAGCTTTAATGTTGGGCAGAAAAAAAATTAAGAAAACAATTCCCAAGCGATACTTCCCAATATTTTCCAAAAACATAAAAAGTAAAACTATCTTTTTGGCTTTTTTTGCAAATCTATTTTGATTATTGTTTCCCGACGTTTCGAATGCTTTACAGCAATCATGGTCACGGGAGAGACAGTCAAAATCAACGAAAAAATCCAGACAGTTTTATATAGAATATCAAACGTATTCAGCCCTTTTTAACGTCAAACTGCTGGGCACGAGTCCCAATTCAATACGAGGGATCAGGATATAATCCATCACACTGATCGAGTGCGGGCGGGCTGAGCAATGAGCATGTCTTTCGAAAACTTGCTAGGTTCTCTCAGACATGCAGGTTTCCTCACGATGTTTTCCTTCGCCGTAAGACAAGTGGTAATCATGTTATTTCTGTCTATTCGCACATGAAAATACCATCCCGGGATTTGAATCAAATATTCGCGTAAAAATAAGAAAGTATTTACTTACTTTAGTTAATGTCAAAAGCAATCCTCTAATACTGGTAAGTACAATACATCCCACTAATATGAATGACACGTGTTGGGACCAGAAAGACACATCAATGTTCAGTCCGAGCCAATGTACCACCAGTTCAAGGCCGCGGGTCACAGGATCCTTCTTTCCCACTCTATCGAACACTATGTTTATTGTAGACTGAAAAAAAAACATAAATTGTTAATATTCAGTAGTTTATGTCAACTAGCTTTTAATTTAGAAGATTCAGACTAAAGTATTATATAGACGAAGACTGCCAAAAAAAATGTTAAGTCAAAAATAGTAGCGTGATTTGCTATTTATGCTTATTTTTGTAGATATTAGCCGTTAATGCACAATTTTTGGGAAGGTAATATAAGAACAATTTTACTTTCACAGATAATTTCAGGAAACTTAAAACTTTTACTTAATATGAACTGAAAATAACATACCACAAATATTTAATCTTATTTTTTAAACTTAAACAAAAGTCAATCAAAACATACTCACAATAAATATCTTCCAAATGCAATATAATGAGAAGAAATATCCAAGAAAATTGAAATATTTCCCTTGGAATGTTCTCGACCACTCTATCTTCTCCCTCATAGTTCTCACGTCATGGGCTTCGAGGAACAATTGCCTACTCAGTTCTTCTAAACCTGATATCTCTTGTCTTAATTGGTTTATATCTAGAAGATATAAAGTATTATATATTTAATTTTTAATATTACATTGTATTGGAACCCATAATAACCTCTTTGAAACTCTCAATAACTCAAAAAAGGAACCCTTAATGACCCTTATGCCTGATTTCACCAACATCCCATAAGCTACCACCTACGTATGGGATCCCTAGCTTAAAAGTTCCCTCTAAACTAGCCCCTAAATTAAATTTCGTTTACCATCGTCAGAGCCTGTATTTCTAGTACCTATATTTAGATGGAATTTTTTTTATTTTTAGGTGACCCCTAACTGTCGGTGAAACAGAAACTGTCCCCTAACAGCCCCCTAAGCATGCTTAGGGATCCTTTAAACTTAGCAAACTTAGCAGTAGCCTATGTGAAATTCTAGACTATAATCTATCTCTGTGCCAAATTCCATCTAGATCCGTTCAGCCATTCTGGCATGAAAGAGTAACAAACATCCATACTCACAAACTTTCACATTTTATAATATTAATATTTAATATGATATGGATGATGACTCATGGACATATAAATTATAATAATTTATAATTATAATAAAATTTTATTCATTATAAATATATAGTAATTTTAATGTCAAATATAAAATGGCTGCATATATTCATTCTTTTATCCCTCGTGTCTTCTCCGTTTTACGTGACATTGGCGAAGTAATCTGTACTCTACTGGCATACTTTGAAGCCATTAACAAGAGAATTGAATTAAATGGATTATTTTCTTTTATATTTTTTATTATAGAAAAATTTTCTTTAAACTATATAGAAAAACTAAACTAAGTATTTCAAATTATTAATCCACTATTTTACATTTTTTCGGATTACTTCGCGAATTTATTTTGATTCTTAGTTCCCAATGTTTCGGATGCTTTACAGCAATCATGGTCACAGGAGAGTCAAACTCTTTAGTTTTATTTAAAATGTCAAATATTCGCGTAAATCTAAGAAAGTAATATAATCAGATATTCTTATTAATTTAACAAATGAATATTATATAGTAGCACTCACTCTCAGTACCCTGGCTCAGAGGATTCGCTATATTTCCAACACTAGACAGAATATTTGTCCAAAACCCTCTATTTTTCACTCCAGATTGATCCAACATGTATTGATTTCTCCCCATTGTGTTAGCTTCGGCTAACGCTATACGTTTTTTCTTGACCAGTATCATATCCATGGTTTGGAGTAATTTCTTTTCTATAGATAGAACATCTGCTTGTGTGACAGGTCTGAAATCACATTAAACACACAATTAACTATACATATAATAAAATTATTGTAACTAAGCCGAATCTATATGTATACGCACTCAAGCGGAGCGACGGTGAGTTGCTACTTGCTAGTATATTATAAATGTAAAAGTGTGTGTTTGTTGCTCCTTCAAACTAAAACTGTTGGAAGGATTGTATGAAATGTAATACAAATATAGATTTAGGGACTAAAGTACTAAATAAGCTACTGTTTGTTAGAAAATTTTAATTTTATTTTTACCTAATAAATATAGCCATTGATGTATAAGGATAGTTGACAGCACCAAAGCCGGACAACAAAGCCATTACCGTCACTCCTATAACCCCTATACGAGACACACCTTGTTCTATAGATAATATTCCCTGAAAATAATGAATGTGAGGTATTTATTTCCAAAGAATATGTTCACTTATACATACATTGGAGCTAAATTACATAATGCAAAAAGTATATACAAGTAAAACTCTTAAGTAGGTATAAATAATGAAAAAAGTTATCATAGAGACTAGAGACTTACCGTAGCTTCGCTTAGGTGTGTCCCTAGATACGACTTGTTTTGAGAGGAATCCTAATTCTTTATCTAAAATAAAAGTAGCCTAAGTTATTCCTTATAACATCAGCTATCTGCCAATGAAATTCCCGTCAAAATCAGCCCAGCCGTTTCGGAGATTAGCCGCAACAGACAGACAGATAAAAAAATGTGTTTTTCTTATAAGTACTGTATATTATTTCATTTGTATTTAGTAAAAAGTAGTTGTTACGTTAAAATAACAAACAGGCAGTACAATTTTATTTATCTGTATAGATAAGTATAAAGTAATTAAAAAAAAAATAGATATGAGGGCAAATTGTAATGAAACTAACTTTACACATTTTTAAACAATTAACACAAAAAAGCTCTGCTAATATAAAACCAATCATTATGTTGTAAATATGTAAATACTTTCAACTATAAAAAATATAAGTATCTTAACTTATCTATACTAATACTACAAAAAGGTAAAGTTTGTGAGGTTGTTGGAGGTAATCTCTGGATCTACTGAACCAATTTAGATGAAATTTGGTAAGAAGATAGTTTGAGATCCTGGGAAGGACATAGGATTTTTATCCCAGTAATCATCCCTTAAGGGTGTGAAAGTTTGTATGAGGAATCAACCCAGGGATGAACTCAAGCGAAGCAAGGGTGAAGCGCTAGTTCTCTATATAAATGTATATGGCGGCGATTTAGAATTGGGGACTTGGCCCCTAGCGGAGTGGGTGGTATTTCTGGATAAGGGACGTGATAGAGAGTCGAAATGTTAAATAAATTTTTTAATACAACAAAAGAGTCAAAAGTTATTGAGACTTAAAGTTATAACATTTCCATACATTATTTTGACATTACTACCATTTAGACACTTGGAGTCAAAACGTCACTTTCAATTGTCAAAATGATCTCCAGATGATTGTCTTTATTTGTACTTTGCGTGAAATTCGAATTTTCTAGTTTTCTAGTCATTTATGGCACTCGCCGGCCGCTACCGCGGCACGCTCGCTTCGCTCGCTCGGCTCGTGCGTTGTGGCAACTGTTCTAACCTAACCTAACCAAGATATGACGAATAATTAATAAATAATCTTAAATGTTCTAACCTAACCTAACCCAGATATGAGGAATAATAAATAAATAATCTTAAATGTTCTAACCTAACCTAACCCAGATATGAGGAATAATAAATAAATAATCTTAAATGTTCTAACCTAACCCAGATATGAGGAATAATAAATAAATAATCTTAAATGTTCTAACCTAACCTAACCCAGATATGACGAATAATAAATATATAATCTTAAATGTTCTAACCTAACCTAACCCAGATATGACGAATAATAAATAAATAATTAAAAATATTCACAGATAAAAAAATGATTTTTTTTACTAAATGTACAATTGTAAAACAATATATTTTACATAAATCAAATAAAAAGTCATAAATGTATTTATAAAGTGAAAATAATATTTTTCTTTTTATTTATTTATTTATTAATAGTAATATTTTACCAACAGAAAAAGCAAAAATAATCAAATATAATCTGTTGTCATTTAAGCGGTAATATAAAACAAAGTGTCAGTTTTGCTTTTGTCAAAATGTAAGATCATTTTGTTTGTGTTGTGAAATTATTAAAATATTAAATACAATAAAGCATTAATTGTTGTGAAAATGTGTAATGTACCTAAAAAAGGATGCGTACTATTCGTTAAAGGTATGTTTATCTGTTGTAATCACTTATTTAGGTAAAGAAATGTATGGAAATGTGTTAGATATGTTATAACTTTAAGTCTCAATAACTTTTTAGTCGTACGTTTCCTCCAAATATTTTTAATATATTTTGACTCTCTGTCACCTCCCCTATCTAAAAATACCACCCACTCCGAATGGTGGTAAAGAAATATATGAAAATGTATGGAAATGTTGTAACTTTAAGTCTCAATAACTTTTGAATCTTTTGTTGTATTAAAAAATTTATTTAACATTTCGAGTCCCTATCACGTCCCTTATCCAGCAATACCACCCACTCCGCTAGGGGCCAAGTCCCCAATTCTGAATTTGTGCCATGTATATTAATTATAATTTCATAATTTTAATTTGAATAATTGTTAAACTTACTTGTTTTGGACTTAATATTGGAAACGGATCCCCAATCTTCCAAAAGAAATACAAATAAATGAACCATACAAAGATTGTCAGGGGCCTGATCATGTTTCTGGATACTACAATACAAAATTATTTCTTTAAGGTACAAGATATTATAATAAAATTTAAAAAATAATTTATTGATATGTCTTCTTACTTAAATTCCATTTTAAAGCAAAATCATAAAAGATTTAATATAGTAAATAATTTTAATCTTATGGAAAAATAATCTTACCAAATCTAATATTACTAATGCAGAAATAGGCAATGTAGAAAGGTATTAAAGCAATCACCATAAACAGCAAGGAATATAGACCCAAGTTCCAATGAAAGTATCTAGAACTAAAAGTAAATACAAGTTAATCAAACTGTAGTAGAACTCTTAATTTTCGTTCACTTTTATATATACTATTAAACAATATCATAACAAAAACCAAGTACAGCCACAAAAAATAATTAAGTGATTTAGAAGACCAAAAACATGAGATAATAATTCATGTGTTATATGTGATATTACTTTTACAACTCCTTTCAATGAAGTTAATTTTTCATTTTGCTTTTTCTCCTTATCTATATGTAAAGTATATATTATTATTTTTAATGACATTTTGATAAATTTTATAGCTTACCTAGAATCTAAGTATCCAATAATTTCAAATATTATTAGCTCAAACATCGTACAACTTAAAGCAAATGTTGCAGAGAATATTAGCTGCACCAATCTATGATGAACTTCATAGTCGCGGAAGAGCTGTTTCACAAAAAATATCCACCCGCCAACGAAAAAAATCGTCTAAAATTGAAATTTGAAAGACATAATAAGTACCTATTACTGAAATTATGAAACGTAAACGTTGCATAAATTTTGTAATCAAATAATTATAGATTTAAATAATCAAAATATAACAATATATACATTTAAGTCTACTTTACCTGTGAAATTAATATTATAAGTGTATCATCAAGGAACGTCATGTTGGCAATTTTAATTTATTGAATTTAATAATAACACATAGTTCTAATAGATTTTTCATACAGCAAAATTTGCAAAACGCCGACAAATACCAATAGGTGTTAAATGTCATTGTCAAAATTATGTCAATGCGGATTGAGCAATTGAGAAAAATGTCAAACATTGGTCTAGAACATAGATGATTAATAAAATTTAGAAAAGGAGATTTACCCTCCCTATTTTCCAATTACAGAGCATGATGCCGTACTTTGGCGCACAATGCCGAAGTGTGTTAATGCTTAGGCACACGTACGATTTTCTGAATGGTAATTCAGATTCGGAGAGTTTTTAGTTCAGTCTGGCTCAATAAAAGATAATACTATTTTTTATATAAAATGCACATTATTTTATTGCATGAGAATCTTAATAGAAACGAAGGTACTTTACGCATTTGAAAATGAGTGACGTATGATGACCGCCACATATACACGCACAATACACACGACAAATTCAAAGTATTTTATTCAGCATTAAATGATTCCAATATTTTACTGAAAGTCATGAGTCTATTACCAGTTCGGAAAGAAGAAGCCTCAGACTTGAGAAGAACTGGTGAAAGAAACTCAGCTGGACTAACATTATCTTTTTTATAAAGGTAAATTATAACTTACAATAATGATTTCTGTCAAGTTGAAGTAGCTTGGAGGCGATCACTTCCTTTCCAAGGCATGCCATATTGTATAAAATCATTTATTGTAAAAAAGCCTTAAGCACACAAACGTTCTTTAACATTTTCTTTTTTAATTTGGCAATAGAAGCTTTTTGAACAGTTTCTGGGATCCTGTTGTACAGGCGTATACATTTTCTTATTATGAATAATTCGACTGTGTTACATTAGATTAAACAGAACATAGTAATCATAGACAATACAGTTTTTTTCCGTTCGTTCCTATCCTTTACGCCTTTGAATTCTGTTAAATATTTCGCTAATAAATTAAATTTGAAAAAAAATATCGTTTTTGATACGATTTTCAATATTGAATATTTTATCACATCGATATATCGATAATTTTTCAACAAGCCTACGTCACTCTATCAGCTACCTACTGGCAGTGTATAAAAACTTAAAAAAAAATAGAAACCGACTTTCAGGCACTAAAATCAAAAATGTAAAAAATAACCTGAAAATAACTAAACGAACTACCTACGGAGGTTTTCATTTAGAATAGATACCTAATCAGATATTTTCGAAGTCGGTGCCAGCCGATGCAAAGAAAATCTAATATATTTCGATACGTAAAATACATATTTACCTATTAGATATTCATATCTTAAAATATTGTCGGCTGGTACCGACTTCGAAAATATCTGATTAGGTATCTATTCTAAATGAAAACCTCCGTTTAGCTATTATTTACATTTTAGCGCCTGGAAGTTGTTTTCTATTTATTTTTAGTTTTTATTTTTTCAATTTTTAGTTAAGCAGTTAATTTTTAAGGAGAAAGTTTTTTAATAACATTGTTTAATCGAATACGATTAAACAATTTATTTAAAAAATATATTTATTGTTGATTCTTTAAAAAACCGCTCGACCGATTTCGATAAAATTTATATGGGACCACCTGGGAAGTAAGTATACCCTTTGAAACAAAAAAAAGTTCCAAATCGGTTCAGGCGTCTTCGAGTAATCGGTGAACATACATAAAAAAAAAAGATTCCGACGAATTGAGAACCTCCTCCTATTTTTGGGAAGTCGGTTAAAAATTCCTAATACAAAAAATCGAACGTCTGCGCTAGTCTTACGGAATTCTGAATCAAGAATCCTGTTCAGTAAACCGAATCAGAAAACCGTACATAAGCAGCCGGCCTTAGGCCGAAAACTTTCTGTATAATAAATAGCAATTTCATATGTATAGACCTAACAATATATATGATTTAATGTTAAAAACAATCCATTTTAATTACGAGATTTACATATGACACTGTCCAAACTTAATAACATTAACATTTAATAGTACCTATAACAAGAAAGTATAGATATTATTGCTAATATTTCTTTACTAGCATTGCCCGCGGCTCCGCCCGCGTTCAGATGACCAAAAACTAAATTCTTAGGTGTTACATATTAGTATACTCTTACATTGCAGTTTTTGTATTTTTCCTCAGAAATAAGATATTTTCCCGCGGTAAAAAGTATCCTAGGATCGCGCGCTACATCGCCCGGTTTATATAGCTTGAGCAGGCGGTCGAGCGATGCGGGGCAGAGGGGATGGACTCGCCGTAGGCATCTCAATGCTCGCCAAGCATTAAAAATGTTTCGCTACTAATTACTTCTAACAACGATATCTCAAAAACTATTCATCTGATTGATTTAGTGTAAAGAGCAATTTTAATCTGCATTAAATGACTAAGCTAACTAAAATATTCATTTGGATAAGGATTAATACCGAACTAAAGAAAATAACTTTGAAAATAACGTAATGTTTTTAATTAAAAATGTTAACATAAAAGTGGTTATTGTAAGTCAACCGTAAGAGATAGAGATATGCTATCGCGGACTTTTTTGTAGCATTTTTATAGATTTTGAATTCTCTAGTACATTACTTAACTGTATCTTTGCTAGTTTACGCGGCGTTCGCGTGGAAAGTTCCCATTTGGCGAGATTTTTTGCGACCTCTTCAACATTTGTCGCCGTATTTCAGCTAATTTACATAAAAGCATAATAAATTATATACCTAAACCTTCCTCAAGAATTACTCTTTCTATTGTTGAAAACCGTATAAAAATCCGTTCAGTAGTTTTCGAGTTTATCGCGTACAGACAGACAGGAGGACAGACAGGAGGACAGAAAGACGCGGCCGGGGGACTTATTTTTATAATAAGTATAGATTTATTCAAATAATATTTTATATAAAATAATTTAGATAAAATGGTTTAATGCAAATATTTTATTTCTTCCATATAATTAATATTAATGCATTTTAATTTATCTAATAGTGACATGCCATGTTGTGTCTTAAAAAGAGTTCTAACTCTTAAAATGTAATAATTTTATAATAAAAAAGATTGATTTAGTTGACATAAAAGAAAATGTTAAATACATATAAGACAAAAAATATTTTTTTTTTATCAATCGTGTACAAAGAGTACTTTAGGCTTCCCTTTGCCTTTAAGCTATATACATATAATAACAAATCTTTCTTTAATTCTTCACAGTTTATACCACCAAATTCTGTTCAGTGTAATTTATAATCAAGTCCTTTAAAACATAAGGGTAGTTTTATCAAACATGATCAGTTATGTTATAATCATCATCAGAAACTTCCAGAAAAATTTCATCTTCATCTGACAAGCCTTTTGGAATTTGTAAATGTAAAGTAAGCTTATCTGATTTTTCATGGGTTTTCTTATGTTTTTCTAAACATAACTGAGTAGTATATTTTATGTTACATATATCACACTGAAAAGTAGCATCCGAATGGTGACGCTTTGTGTGATCAGCCCTTCTCGATGCTGAAAGAAATCTACTATCGCAAAAATCACATTTGTAAGGTTTTTCCCCAGTGTGAGTGCGAGTATGATATAACAAGGATTCTTTAGATACAAACTTGCCTCCACACATAGAACACTGAAACTTCTTTTCTTGAGTATGCTTAACTATGTGGGCCTTCAATCGACTTTGAGCCCAAAACTTTTTTTTACACCATTTACATTCATGTCCTTTATAATTACCATGCTCATATTGTATGTGTACTCTTAATGATACTTTCTGAGTATATTTTTTATTACAATAATCACAAGTAAACTTCGCATCAGCTGGAGAAGCTCTTGTTTTTTGGCCACAAATATTTAAATCAATATGTTTTTTAAATGTAGTCTGGCTCTTGTAAACTCTACCGCAATCTTGACACACTAATTTTAAGTAGTGCCCTATTTCATGCATTTTCAATGTGTGACGATTGTGAAATGTTTTCCCACATTCGCTACAAACAAGTGTACAATGGCTTTCACTCTTATGTGCTTCTAAAAGTGCCACAGATCCAAATTTTCTTTCACAAATTGAACATTTATAGTCCTTTGGTGCATGAACTCTTATAAAATGGTTCCTTAAACTAGATAACGAGGGATATATCTTCAAGCAAACTTTACATTTCAAATTGCTTCTATCATTTTTATCATACAACATTTCACTGGTTTTGAGAGGTAGAGAAAAGTAATCTCTTCTTTTTTTTCTTATAATATTGACTGTCCTCTCCTTATTTACTGATGATTCATTTTTAACATTTGGCTTTGAATCTACATCAAACATAGATTTAAATCTTTTATATGCCATTGAAGTGGAAGTGACAGGATGCTTATTGTCATAATATTGTTGAGTAGCTAAGCTATTTCTTTCCAAGGTAACAAATAAGGTTTTGCATTCAAAGTAATTATCGTTTGTGTTATCAAAACAATTAGATAAACTGTAAAGAGCGTTGCTTAGTAACTCTGTATTTTCTTTTGAAGTTGATATAAACTTATAGCATGTCACAATGGAACGTGTACATTGCTTGCATAAAATTTCAAGTGCACATACATTATTACAAGTCTGAAAAAAAAGATTATGTTAGATATATAAAAAATGAATTGATAGAAAGAACACAATAGAATGAGTACATACCTCATAACCTAGAACGAATAATAAAACATCGAATATTTTAATAGTTTTTTTATTATTGTCGTCCTTTAAAACAACTTCATCTTGTATATTAACAGGATTGTCTTCTATTATTGTTTTAAAGCATAAGCAGCAAACATTACTTTTTCTAGTAATAATACTATGTAATGCATGATTTAGAGAACCCATTTTATCGCAATATTCATTCGATTGTTTTTACTTCAGATGATTGAAATAAGAATTAGTTTCAGCTCACAATTATGTTCATCAGCTGCGGTTTGCAAAAAATATTTTGCCTACAAAGTACAAACTCGATGTTTTACTAAAAAATAAAATGTCAAACGACAAACAGTCAAATTACTAAAATGTCGCCTGTCTGACGTTTGTATTATAATAGTGATGTTGATAATCAATTAATCGATTATTTAGTTAATCGACAATCGATAGCAAATAAATTCAATCAATATAAATAAATAATTGTTAAAACGAGTGACTAATTTAAGATTAGAAATGGATTTTTTACCTACACAATTTACTAACCAGAGCAGATTTGTATTACATACTAGTGACTCACCCTCGCTCCGCTCGGGTTCATCAATCATCTCTAGTTACGTTTTAACGTTTAGTATAGATTTCTCAGAGATGAGATATTTTCCCGCAGTGAAAAGTATCCTATACGTTGATCCGGTTAACCAGCTATTATAACAACAAATTTCATCAAACTCTGTCTAGTGGTTTTCTAGTGATGCGTTCTCCGGCAGACAGATCGAAGTATATAATAATATCGATGATAATGACTATTTCAATAAGATTTTCCAAAGAAAATTTAATCTTCAAATTCGACTGAGAATTTTATTATATGTAAATGATTAGATTTGACAGATTTTTAAGAGTACCATTACATAATATAAATTACTTAATAATTTACATAAAATAAAAAGTGATTGAAGAAATACTTTTGTTAAAGAATAAGAACGGTTGCTATTTTTGTCTAATTTTGCTATAATTTTAGTATTTTTCATAATAAAACACTTGATTACATAATTAATAACCTAGTTTTACTAAACTACTTACTTTACTGTCATTTCGGGAAATTTCGAATGTAGTAAAAAATTATATAGATAATCGATTAACAATCGATTATTAATCGATTAATCAATTTACTTGTTTGACTTGCAATCGATTAATCGATTATGAAACAAATCGATTATCAACAAGTGATGTCACTTGTGTATAATATTGTGTGTCAGCGATTCGACAATAAAGATAATAAATCTTTACTATTTTAGAGACTATCAAATCATTATAAAACAAGGTAATATAAATAATTATAAAATAAATACGAGTCATTTGCTGACTGTTGTGAGATAAGGAAATCTTAGATAAAATTATAATGCATTTATGAATAACATTTTTCATTAAAATAAAATGTATATTTCAAAGAATAAAGGGTTGATATTTGTTGGCTGTTGCAATTGCTTATATGATATATAATCTATTACAGTTATTCCGCGAAGCCGGGGGTGTGAACTTCTCATTTTCGTGAAAATACCGAAAATTAGAAAATAAAATTATGTTAATAACGTCTGGCTAAAATATATAAAGACTGAAAAAGTGTCACACATATTTTGCGGATTTTATTTTAGTTATAAAAAATTGCAGCAAGCGGTAAGAATGATTTTTTGTTGCACATAATGTTACACAATTTCTTTTGAGAATGAATTTTTCATTAAATTCATTTTTAGTCATTCTGACGGTTTTCTATATAATATGTGAGTAAAAAGTAAAGCAAATCTATTCACTATTAATCAACACTTAGCAAAATATTAAAAAAAAATATTTAAACTTAAACTTGATTTTTTTAATAATATTATTTATCTTATATCATGAACATTAATCTTTAACTTATGTTATTACCTTTTGATAATATTAATTTTACTTTAAAACCAGTTTGTTCATCCTTAGAAAAATATGCTTTCTACCTAGTATTTATTTATGTTTAAAATTAGGTATTATTGTTAGTGTTTTTAAGCTTATAAAACATGTAGATTTACCAAAAACAAATTTTGAGTTACAACTATCAAAATATTAATTAAGTGATATATGTTTATCATTTGTGACTCATTAAAATATTCAATTTGTTTGAAATAATATAAAATGACAAAGGGCAAAGGTACAATGTTGTGCAATAATCAGCTTTATCATTTGTACTTTGGAAGGAGTGACCTTCCATTATCTCTTCATTTGTTCTATCATTAGATTAACACAAATAGCATTAACAAATACTTTGTTTTATGAAAAAATACCAAACTATGTGATGTCAGTATAGTAAAAAAAATATATTTGCAGATGCAAATAATGGAAACTACATGCAATATTTGTTATAATATGTACTCTCTTATTTCTCAACATCTCAGTTACTTGCTATCAACAAAATTAGCAAAATATAAATTTTTGAAAATGTTATTAATGATCTTATTGTTAGTTTAGTAGCTGGATAATACTGATTATTATTAAGTAAAAAAAATAGTTTTTCTTCGTACAGGAAAGATATGAATATTTAATGTTTTATTGAATCCTGGTTTGAACTATATAAAATCCAAAAAAAGACTTCATTTATATAGAAACACAAATACAAATCTATCCCTCGGGAATCATATATTTTTCTGGGATAAAAAGTAGCCTGTGTTATTCCAGACTTTTATATATCTCTATAAAAAATTTCATCCAGATCTGTTCAGCCTTTCTGGCGTGAAAGAGTAATAAACATCCATACTCACAAACTTTTACATTTATGATTATTATTATTAGTATAGATGACATAGCATCTCTTTAGTATTTCTTAACACCATATAAATATTTTGAGTAGATATTATCTCGGAAAGAAATGGTTTAATATTAAATGAGCATTTGTATGCAAGGAAATTTTATATTTTATAAAAAATAGCTCAAAAATGTGAATTGATATGACCATAAAAAAGTTAGGTACATACATTGATAAATAAAAACATATATGTACATAGGTATATCTTAACAAATATCTGTAAACAGTGGTTAAATGTGACGTTAAATTAAACCAATTTTTTTAAACAACATGCGTTTTAATTTTATTCAAACAAACACACTTTCACATTTATTATATTATGTATGACGAAACGCGGTAGGTCACGAACAGTTCGCGAAAAATAAAAGGAATTACTTTAAAATCATTGAAACTTGAGTACTGAGCACACATTCATGTTCATTTTATGCAAAATCATATATGGAAAATGAAACACTTTACAATACGAAAATGAAATAGATGGCACGTTTGGCTCAGTAATCAGTTTGTGTGACTCTACTTGCTGTGCCAGCGGTCGCGGGTTCGAGGGGGCATTCATTTTGTTTGGTGAGCACGAATGTTTGTACTCCGGTCATGGGTGTTTATATTTATAATATGTATCTATGTATTTAAAAGTTACATGTGTGTAGTGTATCAACTATCTGGTATCCATAACACTAGCCTCGTAGCTTATCATGGAATTAGATGGTGCTGTGTTAATGTCCCAACATATTTATATTTATTTATAATGTATATTTTTTTTAGTGTATTTTATTTAAATAATGGCCGTCATTACTAAACCACAGTGTTATTTGCGGTTTACCTACTCGATGTCTTGAGTATACTTATGGTTTCCGATATACGCCAGTTTCCTTGCCCGCGCCAATGTTTATTACTGTTTCCCATAATACCTAACTTTGATGTAAAAATCTTTGTTTTATTGATATTTTTTTGTAGTTTAACTATATTTAATCTGTGTTATAAAAGCCCGAATTAAAAAGTTTATATAAGTGATGAATCGACCAGTTAAAAATTTATTAAGTTGTTGATATAACTATTACATATTATTTTATACCAACGACATACCCTTGTTTCGCTTGAGTGCGTCCCGTGCGAGGTGCCTAATACTGTCTTACTCCAGTCTCCAGGTCATAGAATATCTTTGTACTAAATCTCTAAATCCGTCCTATAAGCCGTCTCAGCATGAAACTTTCGAATTTATTACAATATTAAAAAAAATGAAGTGTAACCTTGACGAATTAAAAAATATAGAAAAAAAAACGCGCGTGTGTGTGTGTGTACTTATATACGCACGTAAGAAGTTATACTTCTTTGGCGTAACAGAACAAAAATAGATAAAGATTTCATCCCTTATGTCACAACTCTCTGTTTGTTAAAGGAATGCAGCTAACTTCATCATGTCGCTTTTAGCTAACTTCATATGTCGCTTTTTGGCTGTCGGTGTGCGCGCGGATCGTAAAAATTTTACTCTCATAATTTTTTCCAAACGTGCCAAAAGAAGTAGGACTTCAAAAATATAGAAAGTAAAATTCCTTTTTAGCGAAAAAAAATTACTTACGTTTATTAAAACTTAATAAATCTCATTGATACAAACAATGGTCTGCATGTGCAGACAATGGCATTGTCCAAATTGTCTTTTGACTCACGTCACCCACATAGTCTTAAATATAGCTTACCACGCGGGTGTGACATGAAAACCATTTATTACTTTCGCCTATAATACTAATTTCTTCGTAAAGCTATGTTTATTTATTTTATACATATTATTAATTTACTTTTTTTTTCATACAATTATTTATAATAAAATTGCAGCGTAAGTTCGTTTATTTTTTATAAAAACTAGCCACTCACCCTCGCTTCGCTGGGGTTCGTCCCTACTTACGTTTAAACGTTTAGTATAGATTTCTCAGAGATGAGATATTTTACTGCAGTAGAAAGTATATTATATATTGAACCGGATAACCAGCCGGATATCATTATACCAAATTTCATCAAAATCCCACCAGTGGTTTTACTGTGATGCGGTTACAGACGGGCAGACAGAAATTCTAAAAAAACTATAGATTCGGCCTCTGTATCGATAATAATGTCTATTTCAATAAGATTTTTCAAAAAATATTTAATGTAAAGATTCGGCTTAGTTACAATTTTATTATGTACTAGCGACTCACCCTCGCTTCGCTCGGGTTCGTTCCTAGGTGGATTCCCCATACAAACTTTCATCACCATTTTCACCCGCTTAAGGGATGATTTCCAGAATAAAAAGTACCCCCTATAACGTCACAAACTCACAATTCACAAATTTTACCTCTATTATATTAGTATAGATAGATTATATTAGTAAAGATATTTATAATTCAAATAAACATGTTTTTTAGAATGTTTGTCCTGTTGGTTGTTATAGACATCATATTTTATTTTTATTAGACCTTTAGGAAAATTTTCAGTTTTTATGACATCATGTTACCTGAAGATAGCAAATATAAAATAAGCGATCATCGAACCTCGATGATTATCACTGGATTTATGCGATAGCTCTGCTGATAATTACTGACTACTACTACTTTACTATAACTCACTATTATCGTAGTACTTAAATAAAATACTAGCGACTTTACCCGCACTTTGCTCGGATGCGTCCCTGGCTACCTGACTAACATCCACGTGTTACTTCTTTTGGTCGATCTGTGTACTAAACATCTAATTCCATTTGACCGTTAAATAAATTCTAAAAAGATGAAAGTTATAATAATGACCTCCCGACCGACTTCGGTCACGGCGGCCAGTATCTTTGAGACTAGCCATTTGCGCAGGAGATATTATAGTGCACAATTGTGCGTGCAGACACAGGTGTACTTTCTATTCCTGTCACTCTCATACTCCGGTGAGACGACTCGACACAACCGGTGAAGTTAAGGCGCAGGACGGACGGCTTTACGTTCTCTCCGAAGCACGGGGGTGACACACCGCCAACTTCCCAACTTCGGGCTATTACTGAGACTAAACAGAAAGATTCAATAACTAAACTTGGCCCGACCCGTGACTCGAACCCAGGACCTCTCGATGTGCAGCCGTACTTGCTAGCCACAACCACCGAGGCAGTTAGAGATGAAAGTACCTAAGATGTAACACCATCCAACTTGTGAAAAAAAAAACTATTCACATATTTATTTATTTTTGTATATAGTTATACCTACTTATTGTTCATAACTTAATTAATTAGAGCAAGGTAATGGAACGCCTAATGGATTGATTGGATGGACAGATTGCGTCAATGCTTCTTTAGTGATAATTATAGCCCTATATTTAATCAATTAGGGTTCTGTGCAAAAATTTTCAAATATATTATTAAAAATTTCCAGTACAGATAGATATTACTACTATACTATATTATAATTATCGGAAAATGAAAAAAATATTTTGTTTTTTTTTGTAACTATTATATAATCATTGTTATGAATGATTATTACTTAGGTATTCGCAAAAAAAATTACATTACGTTAAAGTTGTACGCTTTTTTAGATGTTTAAAAATTTTCTTTTTTAATTTTAATTTTTAAATAGAGAGAAGTGAACTTACGTGACTATAATAAAATAATTAAATTGATTACGTGAAAATGATCCCTAAATGGCATCTATGCAATTTTAATTGTAACTATTTTTAACATGAACATTGTCTCGCCAACTTCCCGATCACCAGATCTACGGCCTTAAGTGAATGTAGTTAGTTCATTAAATTTCGTGTAGTCGTTCAGGTGTGAATTGTGACTGATAATGAGTGTCAAGAAGATTTTGAAGAGACAAAAAAGAATTTATGGTAACTTCTTTTCTGGACATAGATAAACTAAAAGTATTTTCTTTATTACGTAATAATAGAAGAATAATTTATTTTTTATTATTATACGTCACACCATTTACTTTATTGCATCATATTTAGATATTTTTTCAGTATGTGCTATATTGTCGCCGACAAAGTGTTCGTTCGATATTATAATTCAGTAGGTAATAAAGATACGTAGGCCCTATATGCTGTGACGTTTCAATACGTCAGAGCTTGGCTGAATGTGAACGGGTCGTGGGTGTGACTTGCCGCGCCTCCTCAGTGCAGTTACTCGTTTGCGCGGGAAAGCCCGTGTTGTGTTGTTTGACAGATATTGACGTATTGTTTTTTTTTTCATATTGTTCTGTGTTCAGTGCAAGGATAAAAATTATACAGTAAATTATAGCTTGGGAAAGATTTGGTGTTGAAATAATGAATGATGGTATGTTATGTTTGTTTTTATTATAAAGATATTTAGGCAGTAAATATGTTATTTTGAATTTATAGAAAAAATATGTTTTTATAAATAATGATTATTATTTAATTAGAATACTTCTAATGAAATTGTTTAAATTAATAAACATGTATTATCTATTGCGCTAGATCTAGGTACTGGCATATACAGAGCAAAAACAAATTAAACTTATATACATATATAATATATGAATTTTCTTGCATATGATTATGAAATGAAATGAGAGAAAATTTCTTAATATTTTTTAATGGTGAAGTCTATATTATTTACTTATAAGTCAAGTTCTTTTAAATTAATTAGCCGTAAAAATACCTGTCTCAATGCTGTTTTAAATATAACATTTAAAGGTTATAATTAATTAATATAACAATTAAAGGTTGTTATCACGTATCTTAAAGTAAACGAAGGTAAAACGAACTAAATGCTGAGATATGAATTGAAGCGGATAGCTAAAATGATTACGGGATGTGCATCTAACGGGGGAGATCATTGCAGGGAAAATCTAATACGAATATGTAGATTAAAAAATGTATAATTATTAATTTTTCATAATCAATACACCTAGATGAAAAATTATTGTAATTATGAGTATAATGTAATGATTATACGAATTTTAAATTTAAATGGTATTTTCCAAATGAATGATAGAGCTTTTTAATTATAACACTGTCCACAAATTAAAATTTGGACCTTAATCTACTTATATTAAATCCTTTTTATATTAAAGAAACTTACTATACACAATATGTTTTTTTCTAATTTCGCGATTAAAAACAAGTACGTAAAAGTCTTTGCGAAACTAAACATATTAGTAAACAATTATGTGGAAGTCATTGTCTAACTTTGCTCTTTAAGATGTGCGTCATTTCAAGGTCTTCTTTTTACCCGATTGCGGTGATGCTTAAAGGAGAGTTATGTGTTTGATGTATGTTTGTATGTATGTCCGAACCTATGTCCATCGGTAATTACTAAACGGCTTAACCAACTTTGGTGATTCATACGTCGCTAGATGCTTTTTAACTATAATGCGAGTGTCATAATATGAACATACATTTTTTTTGTTTCGAAGTGATGTCTAAAGGTTATTAAGAAGCGATCACAAAAATATATAGGTACAATCTTTGTTTAAAAGTTATTAGGAGTAAAGGCAGGTTTAGACTAAAAGCATCTTACTTAGTGTAAACTGGCATTAAGACACTATACACGGTACGTAGTACATACCTACACTCAGTGTATACACCGGGTGTCTTTGTGTGAACGCGAGTCTTTATAATTATTGTGTTTATCGCGATAATTAACATGGAGCAGTGATCACGTTGTGTCCAAGTATCTCGTATGGTTGAAAAGTTTTCGAACAGTCGACATTTTCAATACACCGCATCGCGTAGAAGATGACTTAAAAATGACTTTCACATGGAACAAGTAGTGTGAACAGCTCGGACACAATTTACGTATATTTATGTGCAGACATTACTCTGATACTAAAATTTCGTAAAATTGTGAACAGTACAGGCATTTATGTCGCAATTTGTGTCGTAGTCTAAACTCGCCTTAAGAAATTGTTCAAATGTCTAACTGGCCAAAACTAAAAAGCTATTGATATAAAATTAAATTATAAACATAAAAAAAACTTACTGCGTAAAAAGCGACGTAAATAAAAAGGTACTTTGTTCCTTCATCAACATGTTTTCATCTTTAAGTTCGCTTTAAAGAAATATACCTATAATAATACGAGGAAAAATGTTATTACCCTTAATGTTTTGTTTTTTTGTTGAGAATAAGTAAAAATTTGAATTAAGAAATCAACCTTGAAGTTCTGCATTAATATTAAGTATAAGATAATGATCGAAACGCTAATTGGCTAATATTTACAATGCACACACACACACACACACACACACACACACACACACACACACACACACACACACACACACACACACACACACACACACACACACACACACACACACACACACATATATATATATATATATATATATATATATATATATATATATATATATATATTTGTATTCGTATTTATTACTATTTACTAGCGACCTTCATTTCACTTTGGGGTTCGTCCCTAGGCAGAAATAAATCTATCCCACGGGAACCGTATATTTTTACGGGATAAAAAGAAAACTATAATATGCTATTCCAGAAAGAATGAATTAAAATTTGACCTTCCATAATATTATAAAAGCGAAGGGCATTAATGCATAAGGCCACTAGTTGAATCCATACTTAATATTATAAATGTGAAAGTTTGTGAGAATAGATGGATGGATGTTTGTTACTCTATCGGGCCAGAACGGCACGGCAGTTTGGCACACAGATAGATTATAGTCTGGAATAACACATGGCTACTTTTTATACCGGAAAAATGTAGGGTTCCCGCGGGATAGGTTTGTTTTTGTTTTCCTAGAGGCGAACCCGAGTGAAGCAAGGGTGAGCCGCTAGTTATAATATGTTAATTATCACCCTGCTACTAAAAGTTTTTGTGTAATGTATCATTAAAGATACAAATACCTAATATATAATTATGATGGGTATACATACGATTACTATTAACGATAAACAAAAAAACTAAAAAACGTTCGCAGTGGTTAGTAGCACGGTATAAACTTCAAGTGTAGTGGAACAGAAATTGATAAGAAGATAAGCGTTTCTAGTTTTTTGTAGTAACGTTAATTTCGTTTGTAATACCATTATTTCGTGTGTACAAACGAAGTAATAGTATAGGCTTTCAAATTGAATTTATTTAGTAAATAATAAATATCGTTTTGAAAAAATACTCGAGAAAAAAAAAGTTTTTTTTTATTTTACTACAAACGAAAAAAATTGCACTACAAACAACTCCCATTTTTTTTTCTTTAAGAAATAGCCAAAAAATTTTTTTTTCCAATTTCGGGGGATGACATTTTTTTGTCGTCTGTGTGTTTTTGGCAACAATGTACCCGTGACCTCTGATGTAAAACCCAACTAAATAACTATGTACTTAGGAATTTGTATTTCCATCGCACTGTACCGCTATGGACTTCGCGTTCACCTATAAGGTATAGTTGTTAAGTACATTTTTATGGTTCCGTACCTGAATGTACGCTAATAATAATTACTAAGACTCCTTTGTCAGCCTGTCTGTCTGTCAGTGGGCTGTATCTCATGAACCGTAATAGATAGATAGATCAAATTTTCACAGAGTATGTATTTCTATTGCCACTTTATCAACAAATAATAAAAAACAAGATGGCAAATTGCAAAATGACAGCCATGCAAATTTAAAAAAATCGTATAGTTCAGTGTTATATCTTGTGCGATGGTACGGAACCTTTAGTGTGCGAGTCTGACTCGCACTTGACTGGTTTTTTTATAATATGTAAATACTAATAATAAATACTACCTACTTACATTTATCTCATGAAAAATATTATTTGTTTATTTGTCGATTATTAAAAAAAACGTATTCTTTTTATATTTATGACGTAATTTGACAAGTCGTTACATATTTATATTTTGGTGTGGTTATACTTAGTAAACAGTAAATTATTATATATAAACCTTGCATAATAATAAGTACGTTTTAACGGTTAGTATGAAATACAAATCTTTCAATTTCTCGGCTTTTCCGTACTACAATATGCATGTATTATACATATAAACCTTCCTCTTGAATCACTCTATCTATTAAAAAAAGCCGCATCAAAATTTGTTGCGTATTTTTAATATTATCTAAACATACATACGGACAGACAGACAGCGGAAAGCGACTTTGTTTTATACTATGTAGTGATTAAAATTAAGTTTGTATTTGTTGCTTATTTCAAAAACTACTGTACGGATTTTTACCAATAGAAAAAATTATCCGGGAAAGTTATAGGCTATAATTGACGATAATTAATAAATATTGCGCAAAAATAACCTACCGGAATGACGATATTTGTGAATTAAATCGGAAAAAGTCGTGTGGCGCTGGGAACGACTCTACCAGAGCGAGTATAAACCACTAATATTTATTTACATTAAACCCACAGCTTCTCTCTTAAAGTTTACTTATGAAGGTAGATAGGTACCTATAAAACCTGAATAAAAAATAGGCTAAAACTTTTTTTTTTTTAACAAATCAGTCTGTTAGTTCTCGTTCGTTCTAGAATCTAGATAGAATAGCGCGCTAAAACAAATAAAAAATGTATCCACCTGTATAGTAATAGCTAAGTAAGCAGTTATAAGTAGGTATGTATAGCTTTAATATTAAGGTATTTTTTTATAAACTTGAAATTTTTTGAGTTGACGTTCAATTTTATTGCTGAAAAATATAAACATTAATTAGATATGTAATTAGATATTTATTTTAGATGATGAATCGTACCCATTAGCTTACTGCGATTTATGTTTGCGGTTCAGAGTTCAAATCCGTTCAGCTCGTGTTAATTAAAAGGACGGTTAATATATATGTTAGAAATATACAAAGACATTATGTTCTTTATTGCACATGATTATTTTACATTACATAGTAGGA